CTTACTGGTGTTGACACGCTGTTTGACAAATAGAGTTTTAAACCCTTGACAGCCTTAACAGCCTTGACTAGAACATTATTAATCTGTTTAAATCTGTTTAAAAGAAACACCATCTAAACAGATTTGGACGCCCACTTGGTCTCTTAAACCGCGCTTAAATTAGACTCTGTAAATAACCAGCCCAAGTTTTATTCATGTTTAATCTGGATTGCATATTCTTCTTAGATTCATAGAAAAAAATAAGGCTCCACCAAGAACGAACTTTGATGATTTCCAGAACGCCATGCTTGCTGTGTTTCAGGTAGGTGAAGACAGCGACGAGGCAGTTAGTGAACGGTTGCTACCAGTTTCAAGACACTTAAGTGGGTCACAACCCAGTTTCGAGCAGGGGCCTTTCGGTCGCCTATCTCTCTCCCTTACCACTTCAATATCACAGCCAACCTGCTAAAATTCGGAAAAATTTCTAAGTATATGTTCACATAAAAGGTCTTTTATAACTGATACATTTATAAAATGTGACCTTAGCCCTTTCCCTTGCTTCAATTCATCTTGGGATTTGATTTCGTTCTTTGTGAGACTATTTAAAAGGTGTTATTTCCCTTAACTTAATTCAACTGTTTCCAGTGGCTTTATCCAGGGAGTAGTCGTTTTTCAAAGGGGAAATAGGCCGTGACAAGTTTCAAATTCTCTAAACCTGGGTGACTGTTTTGTTTCTCCTTACAAATAGATTCTCACTGGCGAGGACTGGAATTCCGTCATGTACAGTGGTGTGAATGCGCTTGGTGGACCGAAATCATGGGGAGGGATTGGAGCAAGCTTGTACTTTATACTTCTTGTTATCTTAGGAAACTGTATCCTTGATCCCATGAGTGTATACTTACACGTGAATATTATATCTGGTACTCTTTCATGTTAGGGGGCATTCTGGTTGTTGTTTTTTGTGTGTGTGGGGGGGGGGTGCGGGAGGGCGTTGGATGATGTTGATTTGAGATTTGAGAAGGAAACAAATTAGTGTAGAAAAGGTATAAACATAAACCAGTTAGTCCGCTAAAAAAATAGAGGCACCTTGTTTTGGCAGTGGACTATCGGGTATTTGTCTTATACATTATTCATTTCATTTTGATTTTTAACAACCAACAAATCCCATATTTTCCATTTTTCAAAATTTAACACACCCCGCTCCTAATTTTAATTCGTAAGAAACATTCGAAAAATCATCCAAATTATTGAATCGAATGAAATTTCGGCCAGAAGGGTTGAAATAAACGAAAAACAATGCTGTTAACTAGACTACCTCCTTTAAGAGACAAAAATATTGTAAGGCGCCGAACTTTTGGCTTCTAGGCGTCATGGATGTTTCATGTATTTGTCCTTAGAATGCTTATACTTTGGTTCTCCTAGTACTCGATTGTTGACCGCTGTGTTAATCAGTCTTTTAAAAGCAACCCGACAAACTGAAGGCTTAAAAAATACAGCACAGGGCAGGGGGCCTTCTCTGAAAAGAACATTAAAGTGAACCCGTTTCCTTAACAACACAACAGACACCCTGCTCAACGTCTTCTTGGCTATCGCTGTCGACAACTTGGCAAACGCACAGATATTGACAGAGGACGAGGAGAATGAAAAACTAGAAAGACAACGCAAACGAGAGGAAAACAAGAAGAAGTACAGTCAAAAGCCCCAAAAAGGAAAAGGATGGGGGAAAGCTGGGGCCAAATTACCCGTTGTCATGGCAATCAATCATTTTGTTCGAAAGAGGAATGCACACGCATCCACGGTAGCGGATCCCAACAACGTTTGGTCAGTATCTCTTTATCATTTTTCTTTTTTTCGATTACTTTGTTATTGGCTTAGACTGCGAAATTGTTAATTTCTTTTTCGTCAACAGACGTTTCTTCGTACGAGCCTTAAACGCCCGTTGAGGCCACAGCTCCGATTGGCTTGGTTACCTATACAATCTTGACTGCTGATATATGTGTTGAGTTGTTCAAGATTCAAGAAGCCTGTTTTTTTCGCGTGCGTTACCGTCGTCCCTCTCTCCTCGCGCGCACTTCGGCCTTCTCGCGCTCGAAAAACTTCTCTCCCTTCCTTGAAATTCGCTGAGATTCCCAGGCTGAGATTCAAGTGAATTGATTATTCCTGTGTTATCCCATTTTTAAGAACGTAGAAGTTTGTGTGTGTCTCTCTGTTTATGTTGTACTTTGCTTTATTAAGCTTCATTAATCGGTAAAAACGAATAATATTCCTTATTAAAGAGGTTTGAAAAAAATACATATTTTTTCAAGTTCCTGATTTTACTGAGCAAAAGTAACGTTTTTCTCATTTTATTTGTAGTATGGTGAACGGTGAAACAATCACCATATCTTCGGTAAGTATTGTGTACGTTTTTGACGCACACAGGGATTAGTCGGCGGGCGAACGGGCAGGAGATTGTGGATCAAGGTAGTAAAGGGACATGCGAAAAACTTGACTTCATTGTACAAACGTTTATGAGAAGAACGGAACGAACGATTCGCAGTAGACTGTAGAAATACATTTCGCGATTTCTTTAGTTTCCCATGGCCACGCATAATGGTAGGCTTCAGAAATATAACGCCACTGAATTTCTCAAACAATCAGTAGTTAGAAAACCGCGAAATTATGACTTCCCAGTATGCATTCCTCCGTGCTTGACGTAGGCCGTAGATGAATTTACCTGGTTTATTCCAGGGTTTTCCTGCGTCTTAATTTTGCGTTTGTTTAAAGCAACTACTTTTGTTTAGCTTAATTCACACAATTTTTGAAGACTGCCCTAAATAGTCCGTTTCCGAGGTCTAATAACCTTCACTTTCAAAACGAGGCTAAATGCAAAACCTTTCTTGTGAAAATGATCACCGTGATTTTCACATCAATTGCTTCAAGCTTGCTTCACACTTAGCCTCGCTTTGAAACAGAGGCTTTGGGCAACTCAGAAATAGCCCATTATCTAATGTGTTGAGCGGGGATATCTTGAGGGCATTTTTTGCAGTCGTAGATAATGAAGCTAGCATTGCTTGCTCGCTTTTTTGTTTAAAATATTCGTCTCCCTCTGTTTTCAGTCCTTAAAGAAAAAGATCACAACATACAGGCGAGCAGCCAGTCATTACGACAAAGAAGAAAGGAACGGAGCAGAGACCTTGGAGCCAGCAGAAACCCTTGGTACAAACGACGAAGGTGATGAGGGTAAACGAAAGATGAGGGTAAGAAGGCGAAGGAACGAAACCAATGGACATGCAGCAAAAGACGAGGATAAAGATGAAGGTTTGTGTGTGACGTGTCACATTATCCTGTCCACTGGTCATCTTGAGATTGCTCGAATGCGTCGATATTTCGAATTGCACTATGGTACAATTCTGGCTACTAAAAGGTTGCTTAGGAACCTGGGTCAAAATTCGTTCCTAAAACAGTCCCATAGTGCAGTTCGACACAACACCGACCCAGTCCCAGTTTCCACGCGTCCTTTCTTTGCTGAATCCTTCATTTGGGGGCTGTTTACAGTCTTCACATGGACGGAGGATAATCCTAGAAGGCGGATAATCCTAGCGCCATACGTTTTCTGTATTCAGTTTACATGCAAAAAGTTGTACGTGTCCCTAGCGCTAGGATCTTCCTAGCTGAGAGAAGATCCTAGCACCGTGTAAACTGCTTTTCCTGGGAAGATCCTAGTACAAGGGATAAACCACACAAAAATGGCGGCCGGTCGTTTAGTGAGTAATCTTAAATCTTTAATTTCTTCTTTACTGGTAACCGTAAGGACTGAAATTTCTGCATGTAAATCAAACGAAACGTTAGTTCCGTCTTCTAGGATCTTCTTGGTGCTAGGATCTTTCTCCCTCCGTGTAAACAACCCCTTGGTCGTTGATAAGACATTTTGTAAAACGGAGCTTAACGCATTGCTTCTTCTGTATTCAAATTTGTAAATAGGCCTCTTATTGTAAATAGCTACCTCACGTAATTTTAGGCTTTATACTGTATATAAGTTTTTAGACTTCCCTTTCTTTCTCTATTATTTTATTTTATTTTATTTTTTCCCTCGGCTTATAAGCATATTTTTGCTAGAGGTCTAACAAACCTCATCAAACCCGAGATTGAATAAAGCTTCTTTCATTCATTCATTCATTCTTCATTGCTGGTAACCAACACACGTGTGACAGTGCAAATTATTAGAAGAAGGTCACGGTTAAGCATGCGCAATGGTATTCATTAGAACCACTAGAGATGTGTTGGTATCAACAGTGTACGTACCCTAACTTGACAAATACTTTTCGTTACATAACTGTCTCGACGTGAATTTGTAAAGCAAGTTAAAGCGATGGGATTCTCCGAAACACAAATAAATATAAACGATTACGTAAGGTGTAAAGCATAGTGTATCGCCTGTAGAACTTTATAATTTCAAGTTGGATCGGTGTTTTTTTGTTGTGTTTCTCGCAGATGAAGACGATCGCCCGATAAGTGGACGGAATTTTATGAAAGCTCTAAAGACCGGAAGGTTTGGGAAACGGCGTCGGGCTCCACGCAGAGCCAAACCTCTTCTTAAAGTCAACACACTGTTTTTATTCAGCCCAGAGAACCGGTGAGTGTTAGCCCCATCAAAGGGTATCCGCATTCCGAAATCCGGGAAAATTTTGGCAGTGGGATCCGGAATCCTCGGCTTTTGAATCCGGACTATAGCTTAAGGAATCCGGAATCCCACTAAAGATTGGAATCCAGAATCTAAGTTCCACTGCCAAAACTGGAATCCAGTACCTGGGGTCTGGAATCCGCGGCGTGGAATCTGGAATCCAAGACTGTCTTGGATTCCTTTACATAGGGTGATCTAAGACATTGCATCGCCAGTCCAGTTCTGAGCGGTTTTCAACTGGGTCTCGTTATCCAAAACTACACTAGTTTCTCTGGCCCGTTACTAAAATCTTATGTCTACATTATTGCGGACAGCGTTTCAATTCGACATGGAAAGACTATGGCCTGGTATGAACAGAAACAGCCCCGATTTGGAACGAGTCTTCCACATACATCGCGCATCATGGAAGCGGTTGGCCGAGAGGGTTTTGTCGACTAAATTCTTGTTCTCACTCTTGAATATTTACTTCCGTCTCATTGGGTACCAATCCTCGTGTCTAATCATTCACTTCCTGTATGGTTCGAACTGCCATGATAATAGTGGCACAGAAACGTGTCTAATCATATGAAGATCCACTTTCATCCACTTTCAAGACCGGCGCGGGGCAGCTTCGCCCCGTTTTTTTCCACGGTTTTTATTTGTGAACAAAAGCCCAATTTGATATGGATTCCTTTCCCCGGCGTAAGAGCTTCCTTGTACACTGTAAACATAGTCTTAGCACCACTTGATTAAAAACTCCGTCTCGCAGAAGAAGAACCAGTTGTCTATTTTTAATCATTGACCATTTTCACCCAGACTATAATGCACCATGTTTACCCCCCCAAATTTTACATTATCTTCTTGTTGTACATAATTTCTCCTGAGTATTACAGTCGTTCCAAGAGAAATCTAAGACAATGGTTATGCACAACGTGCATTATGGTCTTGGTGAAAATGTTAAATGGCCGAGGAGTTGATCTCTGGACTCCTGAGAACGAATCAACATAGCGGTCGGAGCGTGACTCGAACTATGGTCCTTCGGGTCATGAGTCAACCGCAATGACGACTTGGACAAGCTATTCCCCGTTTGCTTTCCTGATTTAGCAACAGGGCGGGAACGTCAGTTGACGACGGGAAAGCGCGCGGAAAGGACTAAACACGACTTGCGGTGCTCAATTTGCCGCTCTACAATTGGTCAAGCCAGTTGTTTGATTTGCGCGCGCCGTCGTCAACTGACATTCCCGTTCTGTTGCTAAATCAGCCTATTATAAAGATTTCCCGCCCATTTTATCGAGTTCTGACTGGTTCATTGGATTATCTACGTCTGTCATGAATCCTTTTCTTGATTTAAAACCACTCTTATATGTTATTTACCTTTTTATTACAGCTTTCGTCGATTGTGTCACCGGATTGTCAATTTACGACATTTTGACAATTTTATGTTGGTGATTATCATGCTTAGTAGCATCACCATCGCCATTGAAGATCCAGTCAGTGATGATTCCCCGCGAAATAGGGTAAAATTCAAGTCACTGTTTTTTTTTTGTTGTTGTCAGGTGATTTGCCTAAAAATCCCAAACTTCACGGTGCGAGTCTCACTCTCTGTTTTCAGTCTCGTTCCAGACCTTTTGTTTGACTGCTCGCGCGTACTTGAATACGCCAAAATACGGATTGTTTTGCAGTCTACTGAATAACCTCATTCCCAGGCTCTCTCTTCTTGCGAGGAAGAAGAGTGAGTCTGGGAAGGAGGGTGACCTATTATGGTTAGTTACGTGAGTAATTGTAACAATTTGGTTGAATGATGTCTGTTGGTAGAGCTTTATTTGTCTTTCTTAACTAAACTGTTCCTTATTTTCGTTGTTTATTTTTTCGTTTCAGCATTCTAAACACTGTAAACGTTGAGTTCATTTGCTGAATTTTGTTCTGTAGGTCCTGATGTATTTTGACCATGTTTTCACCGCAATATTCGCCCTAGAAGTTATTGTCAAGGTGAGCTATTTACGGCGGGTTCTGGGCTTATCTAGCCTGTGAACGCAGATGTATTTCCGATCGTTGTTTCTCTCCGCCCCGAAAAGTTGCTTTTCGGTGGGGGAAGGGGGCGGGGGCCGGGGTTTTTAAGTGGGGGAGCTTATAAGTGGGACTTTACGGTAACGAACAATTACGGTAAACATTGTAAATTTGTAAACTGTAACTTCAGGGACGGATCTAGGGGGAGGGTGCAGGGGGGTGCGCACCGCCTTCCTCCCCCCCCCGGCTGAGATGACCGGCGGTTTTCTAATACAACTGGTATTCTGCGAAAAAAAAAAACTATGTGGCTTATTGGTGTCCAGATCGAATTGGAATTTGGAAGTGTTGATTTTTAAGGAGAGGGGAAACCGGAGTACACGGCGAAAAACCTCTCGGAGCAAAGAAGAGAACCAACAACAAACTTAACCCGCACGCCAGGATTGGAACCCGGCGGGCCACATTAGTGGGAGGCGAGCGCTCCCACCACTGCGCCACCCCTATTTTAACCCGATGTGCTGACGATGAACTCTCTTCTCAGATTATAGACGTAGGTGTTATTCTACACAAAGGAGCCTATTTTCGTGATTGGTGGAACGTTATCGATGCTCTCGTGGTGACGTTTAACCTGGCGTCCCTTATCTTAGAGTAAGTACTTTAAAAGTGCCTAGACGGTGTAATCGTGATTTGATCGGGCAATGGCCCTTGTACATGATTACTTCAGACGAGCGAATTTCATCAGTAAGCCTCCTTCCCATTTGCACTCTTTGTACGTGGGTATTCTATTCAACTGTGTCGCCTTGGGAATTCATTTATGCAAAACTTCGCAACTTTACAATAGGCCGCTTACGAGTTCCAAAAACCCTCACTTTCAAAATGAGGCTAGGTGCACAACCTTTCTTGTGAAAATGAGTTATATTTGCATGAAAACGAAAAGTGATATCCATATCAAAGGCTGAGCGCCTACCCTCGTTTTGAAACAGAGGCCTGGGGGAACTCGGAAATGGCCTATTTCAAAACGAAGCTTGGTGGTGAAATTTGCTCGGTTTACATACATGGTTCATGTTATTTCACACTATGTACAGAAAAGGTAGACTGATAAAAGTTTTGAAAGTTACAAAACCTTTCGAATTCGAATTAAATAGAGAAAATAAAGTACAGTCACATAGGATATAGGATTTGTGGTGTGGCCAAAGTAGCAGACACATTCGAGTTGGCCAACACCTACTAGGGAATAATTAACCTTTTAAACCCCAATAGAGTACCGAAGTGTGACGTCATAGAAAATGAAATTTGTGAAATTATGGGATTTGTTAAGATATTCTGAAAGAACAACGTCCAAGACGCCTACTCGCCAAAAATTAGCAATTTGGGGCAAATTGTCTCTGAGATATTAGCCCAGTTATGCTCTGACGATTCCATACAAATCCTTCTAAATTTGGCTTGGTTCATAAGACTAGGAACCAGGTAAGATTTAGAAGGATTTGTATGGAATCGTCACAGCATAACTGGGCTAATATCTCAGAGACAATTTGCTCCGAATTGCTAATTTTTGGCGAGTAGGCGTCTTGGACGTTGTTCTTTCAGAATATCTTAACAAATCCCATAATTTCGCAGATTTCATTTTTATGACGTCATCACTTCGGTACTCTATATCCACATACAAATGCTACAAACTGAGCTCTATAAATTTTGAGAAAGAATTTGATAAAAGATCAAAGCATTTTCTATTTAGTGATCATTTCATTAATTCTCATAACCTAATCTCTTGACAAGGTATGGATATCGTTAGGAGAAAATTGGTTTTGGTCACCATTGGGACTTAAAGGGTTAAAAAAAACTCACCGAGTTTTTTTGACATGGATTTGTAGGGCGTTACACTATAGTTTCTTTAGTGGGGTGGATTAAAAAAACTAGAATTGGATTACTAGTATAATATTAAGTAATGAACATTTGAATTTCATATATTGGAATTGGGGAATGAAGATCTTCCTTGCATTTATTTAAAATAATATTATTATGAAAGCTTAAGATTAATTAATTAAAAGATATATTCAACCAGGAGCTATGTATTTTAAACCATGTATTTTAATTACATAGTTTGTTAAACAAATCAAGCTATACTCATGGAGCGTATCTGCTTTTTTGTTTAAGGCATACACAACGCTCTGGAGATGGTCGATCTGTCATTAAAGCACTCAGAGTGTTCCGTGTACTTCGGCCATTTAAAGGCATTCATAAAATTAAGAAACTGCAGGTATGGTTTTGCATTTGCTTTTGATCTCTCGCTGTTCATAGTAGCTGAGTTTTAAGGGAACGCAAGTCATGTGACTAAAATATAGATAGGAAGACTGTCGGATATTCAGGAGCAAGAGTAATGTAGCTCATTCTCTCTTGTCACGAGGTATGGCCCTGAATACCAATCGAAATCTCACTTTACTCGATGAAATCGTTCTGCTGTTAAAAAACGTGTATACTTTTTAGACCCCGCATTTGCTTTAACCTTGGTCCATATTAACTTAAAGTATATTTATTAATAGGATAGTATTAATAAATATACTTTTGCAATATAGGGAGCTTTACGTAAGCGAATGTTTGCGAAAACGCTGTCGAAATTTAAGTCCTTTGGGAACGAGGTTGAAAACGGAGGTTTATCGCCATAGTGCGGACTCCATAACCACTCTCAAGCATGGCCCGCCTACGCAAAGCAGCACCTCTGAGGATTGAAATGCAACTTACCACCAGGAAACCTTTTTTTGGAAGTCCTTTAGAAGGACTAGAGTAGACGGTTAAAAACGCCGTGAAAACGCAAGAATGGACGCGAACCTTTTGAAGCGTTTTGGTTGACATGGAAACGGAGGTTTTCGAAAACGCTTTGGACATCTATTTAGTCAAGTTTAGGTATACAAGTTTAATTTGAACTTCGGTTCTGTTTCTTGCAGGCGGTGTTTCGTTGTATGTGGTACTCTGTGAAGAACGTTGCTAACATCCTGATGATTACAATGTTATTTTTGTTTATTTTTGCCGTCATGGGAGTGCAACTGTTTAACGGAAAGTTTCAAGAGTGTAACGATGGGTCCAAGTTGACAAAAGACACGTGCCAGTAAGAACAGCAGATAGACAGGAAGACATTCACCACTTTAGAAATGAGAAGGGGACTGGAGCCGAAATGCGTCCCGCAATTGTCTCTGGGATCGTTACTGGTGACGTGCCGGTCGAATATTGGCCAATTTTTTTTCCCTGTCCCTGGTAACAGCCTCAGAAGTCTAAGCGAAATTTAACCCGTCCTAGTCTCCTTCTCGTTTCTAAAGTGACGAATTGCATTCACCATCGTAGTTTCATCAGCTTGCCCTTGTTAACATAAAAGCTGTGCATTACAATATATATTTATCCAATATATATTCTCTCTATCGTCATATACACCCAACTGCAATAACGTCGTCATGGAAGATAAAAAAAGGGAATTGGAAAAAGCTAAGTAGGAATAAATAAGGCAAGCTAACTACTTTCAGCAATGTAGTCTGATGAAAAAATGAAGACGAAAACATCGTAACCGTTGCCGGTTTACCTTCTGTCGACTCAACTGATGTCAAAATGGATTGTCATACTGCTCGGCAAAGAATATCCAAAAGGGAATTTGTTTGTCTAATTAATTCCTATCTGGCTTTATTTGTTTTTGGTTTAATATTTTTATATGACAACGCTTTTGCCATTAGGAATATGCGGAAAAATATGCGTAAAACTAAAAGTGTAAATCTGTGATAAAAATTTCTGAACAAATATTATTGTAATGAATCAATCAAGTTGGGAAGCAAGCAGTCCAATTTAGATTTAAATGTGTACATCGATTTGCGTTTACGCAATTCCATGGGTAATTGATTCCAACTGAAATGAATGCGTCTCTATAACCATAACGTCTTTTTTTTTGCCTCAATTTTTTTACTGCTTGATTTTGAAAATGTGTAGACAAATAATTATCCATTGCGGTAGACGCTTTATACCCGTTGGCGTGAATTGCGATAGCTGCCTTCTCTTTAATCTGCAGAAAATAAAAAGTAAAAAAAGCTTGGTTACTGCAAATTGTCGTTTCCACACATGATACTCTAAACGTTTATTTCATCAACCTGACAACATTTGAAAACGGAATTCAGTCGCCTGACTCTCGTTTGGTTTTGCGTAGTCGTGGCTAACGAGTCGTTGAAATTTTTTTGTCTATTTCCAGAGGACAGTATTTCATTTTTGCCTACGATGAAAAATATCAAAAGGAAGTGGTTGTTAAGGTAAGCACATCACCTGTAATATTTTCACCATTACCATCATCAACGTCATCGTCATCATCATCATCATCATCGTCATCATCAATATCATCAACATCATGTCATCATCGTCATCATCATCATCATCATCGTCATCATCATCAACATCATGTCATCATCGTCATCATCATCATCATCGTCGTCGTCGTCGTCAGCATCATCTTCATCTTCATCGTCATCAATTCCCAAGTGACAGCTTAAGCTTTAAGCCCTTAGTTTTGGATTATGTTTTGCCCTCATTCTTGGCAGGACATTCTCTACGTAAAGATAATTTCTGAAATTTGGCTTTTAAGTGACTGAACTCGACTGATAATGGATTTTCCCATGAATGAAGTGCTTGTTGTTAGAAAGAAAAATCACAATGTACTCTACTCTCCAATTAACAATACTCCTCAATGTAATAGCTTCGTTTTACTAGGAGTAACTCTACAGAGTGACGGGAAATTTAATGAGCATGTAAGAACCAAGCTTGTCAAAGCAAACAAGTGTTTACACGTCCTACGAACACTAAGAAAGGAACACTACTCTCAGGCAGAGATAGATCACCTTTTTATATCTATTGTTTTACCTAATTTTAGCTATGCTCTTTCAGTCTATGGGGCATCGGAGTCCGATCTAACGGTTATACAAAATTTTTTAGACCGATGCCATAAACGCCGTTTTATTTCATTTTTTTAAAAATTTTTATTGTAATGATATACTTTTTTAATATATATATATATATATATATATGTTGCATAAAAAAACGGTCCTTGTAAAAAAGCGTCATTTTTGTGTAAAAAAGCTGCTTTTTTACAAATTGAGCGGTTGTAAAAATACTGCTTTTTTACAAAAATATATTTTGTAAAAAAACGGTCATACTCTAAATGTTACTGGCGATTTCAGCTAGTGTTCATATTAAACTTGTTTAGCCTTTACAAGTGTTTTCTGGCTGATTTCTCGATCTCTAAAATAAAACACGCATTGTCGTACGTTACAGACCGCCTTTATAGTCCCTAATTCTTATAAACAAATCGGCTGCTGTGGTCTGCTGTTTTTATGGCCTCACAAGTTGCTCTCTGTATTGCAAAATTAGACTAACAAGCGAGTGTATGTACGCTTGTAGCTATAGGCTAGCGTTTCCTTTTCCTTAATTAGCCGACTGAACATGTTCCTACATCATGTTGAAAGCTTAAACTTGTAACGCAGACATGACAATCTTGCATGCATCAACATGGATTTCAACATAGCATGAATCCCGTGATAGAAGTTTAGCGCATCATACATAATACAGGAAATTGCCTAACAATTGCTGTCGTTGATTCTTGCTGGAGATTTTATGCTAGAAATGGAGTTATAATTTATTTATCCACTGCTAAGAGCACCAAAGCATTATAGCCAAGTATTTTGTTGACAGTTAAACCGATCATTGCAGCTGATAACCTTGGGAAAATAGATAAATAATACAGAACAATATTCTGTACAGTTTTCGGCTTGAACAAAAGTAGCAATGAAGGAGAGAATAGAAGTCTTTGGTTGCTGCAAGAGATTGTGACAGGCATTGCTTATAAATAAGACAGTGAATAACCCAGCTATTCTATTATTGCCTAACATGCAGTTACTGCCGTGCGTGACCTCAGCCGATAAGCATAACAAATGAAATTACTGCCTGTTCCTTCTTCGCATCCAACAATTAGAAGGTCCTGGAAAATTGAATGACAAAGGAAACAAGAAGAAAGAATAAAAAGAATAAAAAGAACGTAAATTTTTAACGCTGTCAGCGAGTTAACAAGGGAATTTAAATGCCCCACAATAAAGGGGACACGGGAACGTGAACGTGACTAGCCGCACGAAAACTACAGTTCAATAAATTTCGAACCGTGCTATGGAAAACAGCCTGTCTTCGATAAATGAGTTTGTCATATGGTCTATACGTGTAAAATAGCAGGATTTTTACATAAAAAAGGCAGCTTTCTTACAAAAATACCTTTTGTAACAAAACAGATTTTTTACATAAAAAGGCAGCTTTTTTACAAAAATATATTTTTGTAAAAAAGCAGTATTTTTACGACCAAGTAACTTGTAAAAAAGCAGCTTTTTTACATAAAAAAGCAGTATTTTTACAAGCGGCTAATTTGTAAAAAAGCAGCTTTTTTTACATAAAAAAGCTGCTTTTTTACAAAAATATATTTTTGTAAAAAAGCAGTATTTTTACAACCAGGTAACTTGTAAAAAAGCAGCTTTTTTATGTAAAAAAGCTGCTTTTTTACAAAAATATATTTTTGTAAAAAAGCAGTATTTTTACAACCGCTCAATTTGTAAAAAAGCAGCTTTTTTACATAAAAATGACGCTTTTTTACAAGGACCGTTTTTTCATGCAACATATATATACATATTTTTATCATAGTTTTTTATCTTCCGTATTATTGTAACATGAGATATGTAGTTTTATCTTTTGATGAAATAAAGATTCATTATTATTATTATTATTATTATTATTTGTCTGTTGTTTCCTTAATTGCTTTAGGAAGAAACTTAAAATGTACATAAAAGAAATTTGTTTTGCACGAAATCCACAATTGCACCCAAAAAATCGCAAAATGTTAGGGCAAAGAGTTTTTCAAAATGGACAAACCCTCTTTTTGTGCAAGTCAAAAGAATTATCGTTTGGTTCTTTTTTTATCCTATTGAGATTGTCCTGATCTTATGATGAATACAGTTAGCTTTGGGCTCCAGGTTACCTATTCCGGATTATCGTTTTGATGTTTCCCAGAGCTAATTCACCAGAAAACAGGTTAAGGTGAATTTTAAAAAGCAGAATTGCAGTTCCAAGCATTGAATCATGACGCACTTGTTCTTTCAGGTTAACAACCGGACTTGGGAGACAAAAAAGCTCAATTTTGATAATGTGTTTGCTGCTATGTTGACACTGTACACTTCATCAACGGGTGAAGGCTGGCCTAGGTGAGTTGAATACATTATTTCAAAGGTGGGTTTATCATAGTTTAATGCTTGACAAGTTGGTACAGCGAACTCCTCAAAAAGAGGTCAACTTGTGGACTGCTAGTAGACAAGATGCGTTACACATTTTTCTATTGTGTTCTCTATTTTGACAGAAATAACGGGCGAAAAATATTAAAAACAAAAATTCTTATCTACGTTCGGCAGATTACTTCACCAGATAGTCAATTATTTTAACAGTATTATCTTAAATTTTAAGAAAGGTTATCTCCGACGCTTGTGGATTATAACGGTGATGTCCACTGACAAAAAAATAGCGAAAATCTTGCGTGTGGCTTGATATAATGTTTGCCTGATTTCCTAGGTCTTTACCGTCAAAAACTACAAAGCCCTTGATCCTACTCTTGAAATGTGCCGAAACAGTGAGAAACTGACCAATGCTATCTTTGTTTTTGTCCTTTTTTCAGTGCTATGCAGAGCACCATGGACACAACAGAGGAAGATATGGGTCCGATCGTTAATAACAGTCCAGGTTACGCCATTTATTACATCAGTTTTGTAGTCGTCTTCTCCTTCTTTTTTCTTAACATCTTCGTGGCTCTGATCATTCTCACCTTCCAGGAGGAGGGCGAGAGAGAAATTGCCAGTTGCGAGTTGGATAGGAACCAGGTATGTCTCAAACTGCAAAGTATATAAAAACATTAGCGCGCTACATTGTTAGCTCAGGGTTCATCTCTCGGCTACCAGTGTCTCGGGGATATGTCGTCATAATCCCCACGTATTTGCCATATTGCCCTTCCCCCTCCCTCCCCCCCAAAAAAAAGCGAGTAATTTTTTAATCATTTCACATTCCCAGAAATGTTCTCACTACTCAGTTTCTGATCAGGCGAGCATTTTTGTTGTTGCGGCTCTATGGGCGTAACCACTTCTCCACCAATTGCGTAAAGACTGGTTTGCAAAAAATTTGCCGGATCGTCTCAAGTTTTTGGGACGATTCAGATGACCCGGACGAATATATAGAAGCCAGCTAGTTTATATACAGACTTCAGTCAGACTTCAGTTATCTCTAGATGAATATGATCGCCCCAATCGTGCGGATTGTCCCACACAGCATCAGATAGAGGCGGTCTCCATATGATCGGCTCGATACCCTGAAAACATGTTGAGAGGATTCAGGACAATTATATGAAAACCAGACAGACAGGAGACTCTTTGAACTACGTTGACGCGAGAAGTAAAAGGGCGAATATTGAGCCAATTTGTGCTTCTCTTAACAGCGTGACTGCATTCAATTTGCACTAACATCTAAGCCTGCACAGAGATACATGCCCAGGAACGTCAAGAGCGTTCAGTACAAGATATGGACCTTGGTTACATCCAAGCCGTTTGACACGTTTATCCTTTGCTTGATCGCGCTAAACACGGTTGTCCTTATGACCCAGGTAAGGCCTTAAAAGATCACCATTACAACATTTTATTTAGTATTTTGCAACGTACAAAAGTTGGCATTAATTAACTTGGGTCAAATAGGAAAAACAAGAGATAATAGTAATGTATGAGGGATTGATTGCGCGGTAGGTTGGGGGAGACTATTAAGTACGGATTACAAAGCCAAACGAATAGCACGGTCCTGGCATTCAAGTGGCGGGGAGTGCCCATAGCTTACTTTGCGTTGTTTCCACTATCTGAACGCCTAGTACAGGCTAATAAACGACAAAAGTTGAACTTAAGTATTCAGACTTTAAGATGCGAAAACTCTGACATACTTTTGCTTCTATAAATACGCCAAAGTGTAAGAGAGACGTCTTCTTAAAAATTTGTATTTACATTAGGTAGACCTTACACCTTTGAGGGATTCACAAAGAAGTAATGTAAAAAATGCCAAATCCTGGAGGGTACCCCTCATAAAAAAGGGTGCGCGAATTCACGTGGGAAAATTAGTAAGAAAACATTAAAGGAGACCAATCTGTTCGTGACTCGGGCATTTTTTTTTTACCCTAAAGGAGACCTAGCTGGGCGTGGCTCGGCCTATTTTTTACCCTTGAAGAGACCATGCTCCAGACAGCATGCCAGGTGAATGCCATGCAGAGTGACAGCCCCTGAAAAAGTTTTTGTATAGATTTTTCTTTACGCGCAACCCTTCCTGTCTGGGAACAGATGTTGGCTTTAGGTCCTGAACAAGTGATGCCAAAATCTACAATTCGTCCCCGTCGCTTTCATAATGGAAGTTACGAGTGCCATCGGGAACTAGTCCTTAGCAAGAATGATGACAAGCGGTACAGTTTGGCTTCAGAATGGAGTAAAACAGTGTAGGGGTTGTGAGGGGCAACTGGAACCCCGGTTTAAATAATATTTTAAGGATCGAACCGCTTCGAACTTAAAAAGACAAGAGCCTAAAGCATATTGGGTTAAGTCGGGCTCCTAAAAAGTTTTTCTTTTCTCGTGACTTTCTATTTCTTTGTCTGCAGCACTACGACGAACCTGAGGATTTTAAAGAGATTCTAATGTACCTCAACATTTTCTTCACTGTACTTTATATGATAGAAGCTGGATTGAAATTTATAGCTCTCAGATGTGTAAGTAATGTTGTTGATAGTGTCGAAAACGTTATTTCCTTAACTGATGTTTTGTAGTTGCTCTCCATGAGAGCTTAAGTTATTAAAATTAATATTAAATGCTTAATTATCCTCTCCCCTTATGGCGCTTTTCAGGAATTATAAAACAAATAAATGGCCAATGGAAAATAACAAAGTTCAGAATCCCAACTGGCCGGGGGCGAACCATTTGGCTATTTACAAGCGTGGCCGAGGATTTGAGCTCGGGACTACCGTGAACAAATCCAGCTAGCGGTCAGAGCAGGACTTGAACTCCGGGGGGGGGGTAGTTTAGGAATTTCTGGGTGGGGATGTGCCGCTGGGACCCTGGAACCCTTAACCTATACCAGAGCTAGTTCAGTTGAGTTTTGCTACCCTATACTAGAGTAAACTCCCCAAATCCCCCTATCCTAGAGTAGCTGTTTCCCTAGTTTAGATAAAATCTTCAACCAACTGATCAGTTTCCTGAAAAATGATATCCTATTCTAGACCAAAACGCTCTGATTTATATATACCCTATCCTAGAGTAAACTGCTTTAAAACCATACCCATCACAGCGGCACATACCCATATAGCCCATGTATGGCAGTACCCCCCCCCCCCGGGACCCCGGACCTCCGGATTACAAGTCCAGCGCTCTAACCACTCTGCCATGCTGCCTCCCTTAAGCTTACGATTTTTGTATGCATCTCTGGTTGGGCGGCCATGAAAATGTGGTCGGGTTATTGGGTTGATATCACCCTTTCTGGGTATTCATTTACCTCATATGACTTAAAGTGATTCCCTAGTTTTGCACTGCGCATCTCTTACTGCGCATAACAAGATGGCCGCCGTAAAAAAGAGCATGTGAAGTAATATTATTAAAATGAAGTTGACTGAAGAGAAACGCTATTGGAATTTTTGCTTGCTGTTGTTTCTTGCCGAGGTGAGACTCAATGTGTTGGGAATGTGCATAACGTAAGCAGTACGCGTGTTGCTGAGTTCGACCTCCTCTCGGAGAACCTCGATAGTGGATGTTTAACTTGTGCTTACTCACTTTGATTTTCATTTAAACGCTTTCTTTATCACATTGTGTCCTAAATGTGATATATCGATGTAAATTCTGTAAAAACGGATTTTTCAATACTTTCTTCCCCCTTTCACATACATTCTATTTTGAAACACGCCCCAGTCCTCTCTCAAAAATTGGAGAAAATGCGTTTGGTGCGCACTTTCTGCAGCTCTACTGCAAAAACGAGTACGGTGACCCCCATTTTTTATTTCATGATTTTAATAAGGACAGTGCTTCCTTTCGATGAGAAAAAAATTGGCACAAATCTATGTTCAATTTTTTGGCAATTTTACTAAATTGCACGGATTGAGCCATCACGGGTAGACAAGCGGGCGTCCAATTTAATTCTACTTTGGAGCGTAAAGTAAAAACAAGGGCATTAAAAGGCATTTTTCTGGTACGTAAGTGGATAAAAAATACATTAAAGTCAAATTCTGTGTGATGCCACATGCATCATCGAAAGAATCTCTCCTTTTTGTCTAGTTTTGGGCTGCCCGCGGTTTTTGTAAAAGGGTCCTAAATAGCCGCATTTGTCAGCATTGTGACGTCAAAACGAGCACGGTGACCCCCACTTTTTAGTACTTTTTTATCATCTTCTTGACTTGTTACATCAGTGCACCAAGTTTTAGCTACAATCTATGTTAGGTTCTTTTACTATGGAATCGCCTTAAACGCTTACGTACTTTTAACGACTTTCAATAAAACAGATGAAAAAGCGTTACGGTTTGTTAGATTTATTACTGCTCATTTACCATCGGACATGGCCAGGAAATCTAATGTCGTTGGTCGTGTTAGCGGAATATTAGAACTATAATGGAACTGGACTTCTGTCCTGTCCAGCAATAGTATTCGTATTTGAGAGGTGGTTGTTTGCGCTGTTCATCGCAACTTATCTGGCTTAAGATCTGACTTATTTTGAATGCTTGTCTGATTTTGTTGAGGTTTAAATTCGTATTTTTTGTCAGTAAACTGTAGTTCTGACCCGTTTGTTCCACTTTCGTTTATTTCAGAATTATTTTAAGGACTACTGGAATCTTTTCGACTTTATTGTTGTGTTGGGAGGCCTGCTGGATGTCATAGTCACTATTATTGACGAAGTGGTAAAGCCTTTAATTTAATAAACGAAGTAGTTATCTTGATTTAAAAAAAAACCGCCGACTAATCAGTAAAAAATAGCAATATTGATCGGAGCGCAAGAGTATGAATTTATTCGGCTGACACAAGTATAGGAAATCCGCGTTATACATGGAGTCAAGCGATTATAGATGTTTCGCGTAAAATTAGCATCAGGAGTCAGACAAGAATATTAGAATCACGCAATAGTGAGGAATTCGCGTTATTCCAATCACGAAAGGATGAAAGATTCACGAAAAAAGGGTGTCAGAGGTGAGGCAAGAATGGGAGATTTTCGTCAGATTAGAATCAGGAGTCACGCAAGTACAAGGGAAAATTACAGTAAGACCATAGTCATGCTGGGTTAGGGGAATTAGCATGAAATTAGTATTAGGAGTCAAGTAAGCATGGAAGATTTCGCGCTACATCAACATCAAGTATGTCACAATCATGAAAAGTGTGTTTGTTACTCTGAAAACCTTTCCTTGTTTTTTGCTTTTTTGCTTAGTACAATTCTCACGCTGAAAATCCATTAGGAATTGGAATTGATCCCAGTATGTTTCGTTTGTTTCGCGCGGCGAGGCTCATCAAACTACTTCGTCGTGGCTACACAATAAGAATATTATTGTGGACATTTCTTCAGTCATTTAAGGTAATATCTTTCAACTTTGCTTACTTTTTAAGGCTAGAAGCTACAATCAGCTTTCTCCGTTTGTTTCCTCAGAATCGCAGGCAGAAGTTGCCACCGCTCGTAGACACAATGCAATGCAGTTATATAAAAATACCTAACGATGTGAAAAAATCCAGTGCAATGTACTTCAATACAATGCAAATCAACCTCGTTCCCAGGTTCTCTTTCCTACTCTCTCTCGCTCCGTAGGGGCGGGTAGGAGAGAACCCTGGGAACGAGGTTGAGGTAGGACGCTCTTGCACTCGTTGATCGGCTTTTCTACTGTAAAAGGGTCCGAATGGGATTTAGTGTTCAGTGTTATTTGCTTATAGTTTTAAGTGTTTACTCTTAAGAACTGAATGTTTACTGTTTCCGGAGAAAATACTGTTAAGTGTTTAGGGTTTTTCGTGTAAAACATTATATCTTTCACATGTGAATATAACGACGGAAATAAAGTCTAAAATTTTCGGATTTCTCCTCGAAAATCTTCGGCAGTCTTCGAGGATCCTCGGTAGTCTCATCGGGAAATGTCGGAAATGGCTGAAAACTCCTTTATATACTGAACAAAGCAATTTTTGCGTTTTGGGAACCGTTTTTGTTTCTTTCTAGAAAAAATTACTGTTCAAGTGAACTTTTTACTGTTAGTGTTAAAATGCCTAAAAATTAACTGTTCCATGTACAGAGCCAAAAATCGAAGTGTTTAGTTTTATCGAGGTGCCCCCATTCAGGGCCTCCTATAAATGTTAATTTAAAAACAAAGCATAAAACAGACAGAAGCAGCCAAAGAGACAAAACAGTCAGTGTCATGTTCAAACTGTCTTTAGGTGGTAATGTTAGTTGTTGTCATAATTGTTTGTGCCCTTTCCATTGCGCTGAAATCTAAGTCAAGCAATTATTAACCGAAAGGTTCTTAACTATTACAACAGGCTCTTCCTTACGTCACTCTTCTTATTATGTTGATGTTCTTCATGTATGCCGTCATCGGAATGCAGGTAAAAAACTACAATTTCAATACACTTGTTGTCAACGAGCTACTTGAAAATGTGAAAAATCGTGTAAACTGCGCCAAGACAAAACTGCCGAGAGAAAACGTGGAAATTCACAGCAATGACCACGTGACCAGAGCGACTAAAAACAACGCGCGTGCGCAGTCTTTGCCAAAAGTTGGCGAACAAACTAATTCGTCACTTTAGAAAACAGAAAGAAACTGGGCCGAGTTAACTCTCGCAAAGACCTGTGGGACTGTTACGAGGGACAGGGAAAAAACGATGGCCAATAGCTGACCGGCACGTCCCGACTAACGCTCCCACATATCTAAAGTTGCTTAATCGAGAGTATAAGCATGACGTTTACGCATGACGGCAAACGTGAATTTGTACCACGTGACAAAGTTCCTTCTTTACTTGTCGTTTATTGTTCATTATTTCAACCCATAAATTAGTGGTTTCACGCAATTTTTTATCCATAAGTATTGTTTGAGCTGTTTTTATCTGCTCATTTTCTGTTTTGAGAAATCCTCAACTTGAAACTGACGTTATCGAGCCATAATTTACTTTCCCCCTGCATTGACTGTACACATTTTAGGCCCGCGAATGCGTTCACACTGCCAGTTTTCACATTTCTTGCGCTTGATCTGTGTGCAGGGGACAGAAAAGGAATCAGTTGAGGTATTTTCTGGATGTTTCTCTTTTTTAAGTAAATACATTAATAGTTTATTTCTCTTCTTTTCAGCTTTTTGGGAAAATAGCTCTTGATCGAAACACGGAAATCAATGAAAACAATAACTTCAGGAATCTTCTAGAAGCTTTGCAAGTTCTCTTCAGGTAAGAGCCCGTGTACTGAATGGTGCTTTTGCTGACTTCACGGTCTGGGCATGAGAAAAAAAATTCACACAACTCAATAAATAAAGTCAGGAGTCTGAGACATTAAGAAGACTAATATTTAAGCAATCTTACCAAGCTTCAGGTCTGGGCAGGTTTTCATTATTTATCAGCAAATCAGTGCCTAAGGCTGTGTGTGATTAGCCTGCGAAAACATCCGTTTCTCTTCGCTCTTCGTCGCTGAGGACGTTTCGCGCGAAACGTCCTCAGCGACGAAGAGCGAGGAGAAACGGATGTTTTCGCAGGCTAGTGTGTGATCTGAAGGATTATACGGCCTAGGCGGATAACACCCTCCGATATCTATGTTATTCATCAGATCACTGGAAATTCGAAAGCCGAATACGGTCAATAATAGACCATTTCCGAGTTGCTCCAAGCCTCTGTTTCAAAGCGAGGGTAAGTGCAACAGTAAAAGGTGTTCCACTCAGGCTCGTTTTGATAGTGAGAGCTTTTGGAACTCGGAAGTAGTCTATTGTTTTATCATTCATTTAAAATAATTCATACTCTAGAATACGCTTACCTTGATCGATTTTACGGTCCCGTCCTCATTTGTCTTTTCCTCTGCACATTCAGGATAAAAAGGGATGCTTAGTGGAGCATACAGTTGAACCTCTCTGCAACGGCCGTCTTGCATTGGAGACAGAAGAAAATTGCCATTGTAGAGAGGTTGAAACAAAAGTCAATCTATGGACTGTCCGTTAGGTGGCCATTAGTGGAGGTGCAACTGTATATTCTTCAAATAGCAGTTGTCACCTGTCGAATTGTTATTGCTATGAGCTTTTCATATAGACGCCACGTTGGTGTCCCTCCCAGAGACACCATGGTGGCGGTCGCAAACAATGGAAAGCAGTGTCGCTGATTAATTTTGCTTTGAGGAAGTAAGTCATCACTTGGGAGGCCATGAACACTGAAATTAGTACTTTTTATTATACAAGGCTGTTCATATGGTAAAAACCCGAAAGGAAAGTCATATTTTATCTACACGAAAAGTTTCTCGACCGCGTGCGACCTTAATGTCGTGTGGCACGTTAGCGAAAAGAAATTCAAACTTGCTTTGTTACAAAACAGAGAACCATATTGAACTAAAAATTTACAAAAGGTCAAGCGTTAGTTAGCTCATACATCGGATAAAAGTAAAAGTTCCCCGCTAGCGTGAGAAAGACCTCAACTGAAAAACCACTCCAAACCTTGCGTTTCATAAGCGACGCAAACACATAAGTCCTAGCGCAAGATAAAACTTTTTCTTATTCTTCTATAGTCGAACCTTTACAACCGGTCACATCTCTACAACGGCCATTTTTTTTGGTGGACAGTCCGTGCATTCACTCTTGTTTCAAGCTCTCTATAATGGCCACTTTCTTCTGTCCCCAATAAGGCCATTGTAAAGAGGTTCAGGTTTACTACAGACCTTTAGATTCTAAGACGAGGACGCCAACGATGACGAGATTTTCTTAATACTATAGTGCGCATGCGTGAACCAGCGTCATTTTGGTGGGAAAACTTGATAGGCAACGTTGTTTTTCAGTAATACTACGAGATTTGGCGAGAATGTCGTCGTGGCGGGAACAAGTTATAGAATGTTAGAAGTTTTATCATTTTGCGATCGGTTAAAGGCTTAACCGTGCTAACTTTTCTGCTGAGAAAACGTACAATAAAGCTTTCCAGGGTGTCTAAAAAAACTTAAAATTAAACCGTGTCCTCATAGTCGTCTCCGTACTCGAATCTAAGGAGAAAACGAACACCAGCGCAATCACACCTTGTTAGCCTTATGCTGGTGTTTGTGTTTGCGTTGCCCGTAAAAACCAGTCTTTTTCAATCCTTATTGACAGGTCAGCGACTGGGGAGGACTGGCACAAAATTATGCTGAGCTGTTACAACAACGCTAAATGTGATCCTGCTGCCAACGATGATTACGGCCCAACTTGCGGCTCTACAGTTGGAGCCGTCATATTCTTTTGTTCGTTTATTTTCCTGTGCATGTTCTTGGTGAGTAGCCATGGTAACGTCAAGCTGCATAAACATTGTTTGATTAGCCTGTGTGGCTGGCTGGCGGGCCAGAGTGGGTGGAATGGGGAGCTTAAGCAACGAGGAATGATGACGGTGGGGAAAACGTCTCTTTAAAAGTGAAATCACGCTGTTCCAAAATGTTGATGAATTAAACTGGAGTTGAGTTCTAAAGGACTTAAGCAAAGTTTTAAAAAGGAACTAGAAAATCGTGGTCTTGTGTTCACGTCCTTCAGGAAAAGTGAAATTAAGCAGTTTCACATCGCAGTCTTGCAAGACGGCAAAGAAATGTACAAAAATCGTGCTACACGTGCAAAGTTGTTGTTTTGCTAATCTAAACCTATTACTTTTATGACGCTCTCGTTGTCATCGTTGTCGTTGCTTAGGCCCCGTCCACACGTATCAGGATATTTTTGAATCCGCAACTTTTTCTTTGCGTATTCGGCTTCCGTCCACACGTATCTGGTGTATCCGACATACGAATCCACAAGTTTTTGAATCCGCTCTCCAGAGTGGAAATTTTTTAATACGCCACGAATCCTCAAGACGGTGCCGAGCCGAATGTTATCGCTGCTTTACTTCTTGGACTTCAGTTTCAAGTCTTATAACGTGTATGCTGTTAAACCTAGCTATGATTACTGTACACCTCAATTATGCTAAACGGCGACTCGACATTTTATAGCTTCTTTCCTTGTGTCACCCTCAGACGGACAAATTGGACGTTGTAAACATGTTAAGGGAGCGAAAAAGTGCTTGGTGAGAAAATTTTGTCAGTGAAGAAGATTGGCCATAAAATTTTCGCATGAGCCGAAGATCGCTTTACAAATTAGCTGACGAACTGAGAGTGAATACGGATACGTGCGGACGTGGCTTTAAGCTCCATAATGCTTTTTGGTGGCGGAACCATTGCGCGTGCGTACTGAGCGACAAAGCCACGAGGGATTTCGCCGCGAAAGATCTCAATTTGACTCGTCACCATTCTTCTAGTAGCTTTATAGCCTTAACAAAAAAAGCACCCTTTGAGTGAAGCAGTCGCGCGTAGTTAATCCTGCTGGCTACGCTTTATTTACTTCCTGCCTTTGCGAGTTACCTTATGGAAGAAGAATTTACAAGAGTATTGTTTTAAACCTGCTTCATACCAGTAGAAAGGTAGGCTTCAAAATTAAACCATTTGCAGGTCTGATAGCCTGGCGCGGGATTCGCGGACGTCTTTTATATCTTGAGCATTGTTCCTCGACGACACCCTGCTGTTATAAGAAAATACCGAAGATTATCGCGTTCATCAGAACGCATCCTAATCTGGTGTTCCTGTGGCACTAAGGCAGACATTCTCAAACTATCACGGGCGACTGCAAATTAGCCGCTGCTATTAATTTCAACAGGGGCACCTCGGCCGGGAAACTGGACTCCTTTCGACTGGATTTCGTTTCCGTAATTTTTCCATAAGTGACGAACGCGGATCCATAATCAATGATTACCTCTAGTTATATTTCCTGGCATCTGGTGCTCTGCCTAAGTTAACCCTTGTCGAATTGAAGCACAAGTCTTCGTGGAAGAGATTAATATAGTGACGCTTATCATTGTTTATTTGCCAGATGCTTAATCTTTTCGTGGCTGTCATCATGGATAACTTTGAATACCTTACTCGTGACGAGTCCATCCTTGGTCCACATCATTTGGATGAGTTTGTCCGCGTGTGGTCTGAGTTTGATCCTGGTGCCAGGTCAGTAACAGACTAGTGACAAGGTACCGTAAAATTCCGAAAATAAGCCCCTCCATGTATAAGCCCCCCAAACCGGTAACGCAAAAAAAACCTCCATTAAATCGCCCCTCCAAATATAAGCCCCCCGGGGGCTTGTACTTGGAAAATTGCCCTCAAATACAAAGTACAAACAAGCAAAAACGGTAAATTTCCTTCCAACTATAAGGCTTGCCCAATCGGGTTTGAAACGCAAATTTCCCTCCGTATATAAGCCCCTCCAAAAATAAGCCCCTCAAAAAGGGCCTTTGAAAAATATAAGCCCCGGGGCTTATTTTCGGAATCTTACGGTACAATGTCCGATACATGCCTCCTCCCTTGGCTCGATTTCCGCCGCTCTCTCGCTTCTTTCCGATTAGAAGGGAGAGGAGCGCAGGCTCATTTCCCGAACAGCGGCTGGTGATCGACCGTGCAGCCTACCCCACAGGTTTTCCCAAAGCTTAGTAACCCTCCCTTCGCCCCCGTGTTTGTTATCGGTCCTCTCCCTAAGCTTGCTCCGTTTTTTTTTCCTGGTAGTCCTGTTTTCTAACTTACAGTTCTATCCGGAAATGGCAGATAAATGAATGTGCATGTGCATGTGCTACCACTTTATTTATTTACAATAATTTATCTACTGGATTTCTTTAATTTCAGACAAAGCTTTGTCGTCAAGCAACACGTAACTCGAGCTCATGAAATATCATCGAGCCTTTAATTAAAAGACTACTAACATGTGTTAATTCAAAGTAACCCAACAAAACAGTCTATAAGAAGGAAAACTGAAAACTGGGTTATAATTACAACCTTTGGTTGGTACTTGTCGGCCTTCGACCAACTGGACCCTGCATATATTTTGTAACGAAAGACGATGTTTTAAAATTCACTGTTTTTACTACACAGCGGGAGTGTCCACCATAGCGAAATTTACAGGGTAATGTGTAGTATGTCACCCCCAGTTGGCTTTGGCAAGAAATGTCCAAAGATAGTTGGTTACAAGGTATGAGAACTATATCGTAACTGCATGTGTTGACTCTGGGGATTGAAGTCTGTTTTATTTTCCCTTTTAAACGCGGCTAAAATGCATATGTAAGAGTATCCCCTCCGCCCCCAACCCCAGAACGGAAGAAGACGAAAATTAGCTTGCTCGAATGAAATAACATTCAGTTCTCCTTTTCTTTACCTCCAAATTAAAGTGCTCCCCGAATTTTCTTCTATTTTTTTCATTTTTTTGGAGTCGGGTGCAGAGTTTTGGCGCTTTTTCTAATGCTCTCTGTTTGCAGTTTTTCATTTGCTTGTTTATGGATCCAGTCTTTGCTTTCGTTCCATCATCCACGTGTATAATGTCTTGGGTACTTGTGCAAGGAAAATATCCAACCTAGCCTAGGACCAGGCTTCCTCGTGGGGGAAAAAGCATAAAAAGGGGGTGAAACAGCAATGAAAGCTGTGGACTGGGGAGGGGAAAGGGCGACGGAGCTCCGCCACCCTCCTCAGACTTCCTCTCGGCTCGCTTCGCTCCTCAATTATTTCGCCTTTTCCCCCACAGCGGAGCCTAGTCCGAGGCTTATCCAACCCAGTTCTCATTTCTTTCTCGCGTTTTGGTCGGTGTAGCCGCTGTTCTGTATAATGGTAATCATCGTTATTGATGTCATATTTTTCTAAAAGTCGTGTTTTTTTTACCAGCGTCTGATCAAGATGAATATGCCACTAAACGAAGATAACACTGTCTCATTCAGCACCACGTTATTTGCTCTCATTCGAACATCGTTAAACATAAAGTTGCGTGGAAACATGAACGCAAACGACACAGAGTTGAGGAAAATGATAAAAAATATCTGGCCAAAAACCTCTGAAAAGGTGCTGAATAAACTGATCCCTAAACAGTCAGGTAAGTGGAGACTTCATGGGCAGGGTATTTTGCGCCGCTTCCCCTAAATTTGTGGAATAATTCACCTAATAACATTAAAAGCAGTAGAACGCTGGACATTTTGAAGGTTTTATCGACTCTTTATTGAAGTCATTTATTTTAAGGACGCTTTTAATTTTAAGTTATTGTAATGCCAGGCGATCATCTATCCATGAAGCCTGCGCAATATAAATGCATGTCTCTTATTATTGTTATTATTGTTAGTGTGGCTAGCTACCAAATGTCTTTTTAAGTACTGTTACTTCCAACATTTTGTTTTGCCCCAGAAAAATGGGCGTGCAAACCCTTCGAGTCCCGATATCTGCGTACAAATTCTTTCTCTTTTGTGATCATTTTATTTATTCTCATAACGTTGTCTCTTGATGATGTGTGGGTGTTGTTAGGAGAAAATTGATGTTGGTCGTTGACTATTTATTTTTTTGTGCAGTTCTTAGTTGTCAACAGATGACCATAGGAAAAATTTATTGTGCAAAACTTATACACGAGAATTACAAGTACTTGAAAAGAAAAGGCATGCCGACAGAACGGGTAAGTACCAGGAACAATAACAGCAAAATATTTCTCTCAGTTGTTATAAGTAAGGCCCGGACTGAAAGGAGACTGGGTAAAAGAAAGAAGGAGTAAAGGAGATTCTGACGTCACAATTGCAAGGCATTTCTCGTTCTTTGATTGGTCAGAGTAGGTCGCATAAGGTCAACCTCGTCCCCAGGGCTTTTCCCTTGAAAAATGGTTGGGGCGGGAAAAGGCCCTGGCATCGGCTGGTCACGTGTTCTCTCGTACACCCTAAAATCCTGGGTGTAATAAATTAGCGCTATGTGAAAAGCTAAAATTATGCGCAACTTCACACCCCGCGATCTTGGGCGGCCTCTTATATATCTTGACGATTAACGAAAAGTTTTACAAGATTTCCTTTTTGTCACAGATACTGGCTAAAGTATTTTTTTGCTTTCCTCCGATGTCTATGAAGGGGACAGCGAGTAACATTTATAACAACGTTTATAGAGCGATATAAGTACATATAAATGACAAACAAGCTATCGTACATGCATAAAGTTTGTACTGGAAAAGTCCGTTTTCGTGACTCTTCTCATATTTTATTTCATTTCTCGCGAAGTGGACCGCCGTACACAGCCTAGTTCTATTTACCTTAACTCTTTAGCCATATCATAGCGACACGCCTTGGTTTAGACTAATCTTGTATGACCTGTATGTTTAAAAAATTAATTGACCTCTGCGATCAAACGACTGGCAACAAAGAAAGACTTTGGCCGATTTAAAATTCACAGTGCTGTAGTTGATTCCAGTCGATCGGTCAATCTTCCCTTTAATATAAGGAAAATCCTTTGTACTTATCCTCGGAAGAGAAAAGATATAAGAGGTCTTCAAATGTTTCAGATCGGCGACCTGTCATCGTTCCTGGCTGGAGGGCTGACTTGCATCCGGTGCGGAGATTTGTTTGTTTCATGGTCGGTTTGTAGAGAAGACCAGACTCCATAAAGCATTTTGATGAACAATTCTATTTCAATTAAGTTCAATTTGTTTAAATTCACTGCAGATCCTGTTTGACATTGGACAAAATCATTTCCGCTTGATCGTACAGTAATTCCACAGTCACGATGAATTTCTGAAGTACTACTCGATAACAGCTTGTCTCAACTCTGAAGCATTTGACATATTTTGTACGTGACAACGTAGAGCCGGTACGCCCTTTCATAAACTTGTAGCATTTGAATAATACGCAATTAAATGGATCTTAGGCTTTTGAATCGCACACACGCCAAAATATTGACATATCTCGCGATGCTATTATTTTCCATTGTTGCTCCGTTCGACTTCTGTCAGCACAAAACCAGTGGGTTGCATATAAATTAGCTTCTCAGGAATATTTAGGTTGTGCACGTGACCAGCCGATGCCAGGGCCTTTTCCCGCCCCACCCATTTTTTAAGGGAAAAACCCTGGGGACGAGGTTGGCATAAGGTGTTTCCAGTTTCCTTATGATTTCGAAGACTATTTTTTAATGATTAAAATACATTTATTTTTCATTCGCCGGCCAATAATTTAAATCCATACGTTTCTTTATTTTTTAAGACTGAAAGGAGTTACGAAAGAAGCACCAATCACTCTAAGGTTTGCTTTTTGTTTGTTTGTTTTGTTTTATTTTTGTTTATTTGTTTGTTTCTTTTTTCGGGGCTGGAGCAGAAGGGAAATCCATCATAAAAGGCTTGTACGTCGCGAGCTGTCTTGTCTGTGTAGAGCATAAAATCAACTTATTTTGCTTCTTGTTTAAACAGGGAGGACTTTTCTCTAAGTTGGTGGGATCACTTCGGCGAAACAGGCGGAATACGGACGACATTGAGCTCGGGGATGTGGAAAGACTAAGGGACAGAGCCTATACCACTGATGCGAGACTCAACTTGGCACGGTAAGCAAAACTCAGATACAGTGAAACCCTGTTAATGTTACCACTGTTGAGTCATAAAATCCTGGTCGTAATAACGAGATGATCGTATTAACGGGATCTTCAATATTTAACAATTATTCTTCGAGCCCGAATGGGTTCTGAGTCAATAGCCCATCAGGCCGAAGGCCGAATGGGCTATTGACTCAGAGGCCATTCCGGCTCGAAGAATAATTGTTTTAGTAAAATCCAACTAGCTGGTCAAAAATATCGAGACAAAACAACTTTAGCTGGTTAAAGCTAGACTTTAATCCTTTTTTTGCCGCCAAAAAGCCGGCGCTTTCGCTACTAGTGGGCTATATAACCATTGTTTCTTACTTTTGAGTCGAAAGATTGTGGTGATTGTGATCACGCGGTAGTCGTATAAAGGGGGTGGTCCCTAAGGCGAGATCCCTACGTAACAAGAGGCATGTCACAGTGGGTCAGAGTTTTAATCAGTAACTAAGCATCCTTTTTTTATGAACGTAAATGAAAATTTGAAGTGTCTCTGTAGTGGAACAATGAACCACAGTTATTTTATAATTGAAGTTTAGAAAACACAGGAAGCATTTAGTAATAACAAGATGGCTTTATATTTTTAACTGAAACCCTAATACGTTATTGGGAGTCGCCAACAAAAACGCACAGTTCCAGTGAATAAATCTTCCAAAAAGTGAATAATTCCAAATTAGATAGTTAATTTAGAAAACACACTGTTCATAGGTGTGGTATATATTGAACTTGTTCAAACTATGCGTTTTAAGATCATGTGACGTTTCATGCATGCTTGGAAAGTGTTTAAAGTCGGTATATAAAGTGTCCAGTTTGCGTTCTACTGAGTTTCTCTTTGACCATGTCTTTGAATAGGTCTGGGGGGTAGAGAAAACACCAAAGGAAAACAAAAAAAGATCATCCTTTGGGATCGGGACTCTCCGCAAATAGTAGATAGTAGGTGTAATAAAATGTCTCGCATCAAAATGTGTGAGATTGATGATGAGCCGTTCGGACGAGAGCAAGACCCGGATTAAATTGCTAGGGAGTGCAGCTATTTCTCAACCAAGTGGTGTTTGCTCGAGTCGTTACTATAGTCGCGCATGCGAAGTACCACCATTAAAGTCGAGAGTGTGTGAAAGAGAAACGACCCTTCAGATGCTGCGCAACAAATATGGAAGTAGCTCAAAGAAGAAACGAACTTTACTGAAAGTAATCATTGCCACTACAAATCTTATCGCTATGCGTTTTATTTTTTCAGTGAGAGAAGTGAAGAGTCATTGCAAGGTTCGATCGGCCCTCTTCCGTCTCGTAGTTCTGATCATAATATTGGGCCCTCTCCCTTAAAATTTTGGATCTGATATTCATTTCCAGATAAAGTGAACTCTTACAAATAGAGAATATATGTTATGTGAAAACATGGAGTCAAAGAGGACGGGCTCCAAACCTATATTAGCTTTATGACGTCAGACGACGCGCATGCGCAAAGACAGGCAATACAACGTCAGGAACCTTTTAAAGGTCACGCTCTTAACAGTAAACGACTTGTTTGCCTTGGATCAGATTGTTCATCCATGGAACTGGCTGCTCCTAATAAGGATGTCCTTTGCTTTGGTTATCTGAAAGAAGGAAATACTTGCGTTTAATACGGCGTACATTCCTACTGCATGAATGACATTGTCAATCGTTTCGCTGTCCATTATGGGTATATAAATCATAACCACAGACAATCAATACATATCGGCTTGAACCCTATCGCGATCAAGGAAAGAAATGTTTCCACTCCCGGTTTGCATTGCCTTGCAATACACGAGGTGAAACGAGAAAAAAAACTTGACCAAAGAAATGGTCTTTATATAGCGGTCGAGAGCTGCAACAAGATCTGACTTGATCTTATAGAAGCGTCATTTTCGCTTTGGTCAATACAAACAGGTGTCGTCGAACATTCAGATGCCACTACGCTGACACAGGGCTTCCTAGAGCGTTCAGACATGCTTTGTAATTTTTTGCTGTCAGACTATAAAAAAATTGTACGGAAGCTTGGTTTTTCATAGTTGTGTTTAGATAGTACATGAGGTCGGTATGCCCCCGCGGGACTCCGCACCCGGGTGCAATACCGAGGCGCACCCACGGCTGGAGACTGAGCCTAGTAGGAGCTCAAACCAATACATATTCATACATGGATCTCGCTTTATCAAGAAAGAAATGCAACCTGTAGTTGACGCAAAGAAGCTCACAGCGACCAGACCCCAATATGACAGAGATTGAAATAAGAATTCCTACCTGTTTAGTACAGTCCATACTCCACAATGGAGGCGTGTGGGGTTCAAGCCTCGCCCGTCGCGTTGTTTCCCCAGACAAGGAACTTTACTCCACTTCGTCTCTCTTCACCCAGGTGTATAAATGGGTACCGGCGACACACTGCTGGGTGGGGGTAGGGGAGGGGGGGGGGTTACCCTGCGATGGACCAGCATCCCGTCCAGGGAAGAGTAGCAATACTCCTAGGCATGCGTCATGCTAAGGAAACCGTTTGGGCCTTTTGTTCGTGTGCACCTTTACATTTTTATCAATACTCCACAATGGTTTATTTCTAACCGGCCTTAATGCACCTCATACCAACCCCATGAACAGTATTTAAATTTTCTGCCAATTAGCTAGTTGTCTGTTTAACATTACGTATAAACATTAGAAAAGGCTCGATGAACGAAATGAGTGTATCATCGATTTCTACCGATTGATCGATACAATCGATATCAATTAAATCGAATTTACCGATTTTTATCGATGAACTAATCCGGGACCACCACCAACAATAGTTTCCCCAACACCAAGGTCATCCTACATTTCTCTCTCCCAACCCATCTGCCCAGCGACCCACCAACCGAACCAGGTACTAGCACTCCCACTCTTATCTTCCTACCAATCTAACTACCTACCTGCTTACCTGCCTACCTACCTACCTTCCTACCTAACTACCTACCCATCTTCCTGCCTAACTACCTACCTACCTGCCTACCCACCTGCCTATCTTCCTACTTACCTACCTACCTGCCTACCTACCTACCTACCTGCCAACCTTCCTATACCTACCTACCTTCATGCCTACCTACCTACCTACCTGCCTACCTACCTACCTACCTGCCAACCTTCCTATACCTACCTACCTACCTTCATGCCTACCTACCTACCTACCTGCCAAACCACCTACCTACCTCCCAACCTTCCTACCTACCTACCTACCTACCTGCCTACCTACCTACCTATTTACCCACCTACCTACCTGCCTACCTACTTACCTTCCTGCCTACCGTCCTACCTGCCTTCCTGCCTAACTACCTACCTACCTACCTACCTACCTGTCTACCTACCTACCTATCTACCTATCTAGCTATCTGTCTAACCTAGCCTCATTACTTCCTACCTATTCAGCCAACCAGTTGGCCAACTTATATTCTACCTTCGACCATCCTCACTAATCATTTACCAAACCAACTACTTGTGTACTCACTAAGTCGCTCATCTACCTTTTCCTACATACCTGTCTTCCTACTCAAGTGCAACAACCTACCATCCCCACCTTCTGTCAACCCTACCTATCTGACCACCAGGGTTCTCTACCATTAGCCTAAGAAAACAGCCGACATTTCGAGACGCCACCATTGGTTTCCCGCCGTCTGAGAAACAAGCGAAGAAATTCCAAACTGATGATGTCACTACCCAGATCTGGGTAGGGCTTCTGATTGGCTGAAGCAAATTTCCAACTCGGCACGACCAATCAGAAGCACTACCCAGATCTGGGTAGTGACGCGTCATCAGTATGGAATTTCTACGCTCGTTTCTCAGACATCATTTCGCGGGGAAACCAGTGGTAGCGTCGCAAAATTTCGGCTGTTTTCTCAGGCGTCTCTACTATGCATTGCAGACCAAAATGCAAACTCACCTGAATGTGAATAGACAAAATTAATCTTTTTTGCCTTGTTGGTAGTAAAAAAGACTCGTAAATATGGTCCTCACAATCGTTTTGTCAACAAAAGCAGCGAGACGGAGTCGGGAGTCGTAACCGGGATCGCAGGAGTCCTTATGACCCAGTAAAAAACAAAAATCGGAGTCTTAAATCAGAGTTATAAACCTGATAGAATTCGAGTCGTAAGAATCAGACTCCGTCGCTTACAATCTAGTGAAAACCAGTCAAAGTCTATTATGTGGACGCAAAGCAGATAGTGAAGATACGAGATCTTGGTAAACAAGGCAATTAGGTTCCCGAGCTTATATGAAGAGGCCCTTATTTGGTAAACTACGTACGTTACTCTTTATTTCGCTTTGTTTGTTCTGTGAATATTAAGTTCTTTCAGAGTATATATCCCTTGTTTTATAAGGCATTTCCGTACACAAAAGCTGCTTAAGAGGCGGAAATCAAAAACTAAAGCAACGGCAAGGTGAAACATTGCATGCTAATCTTTTCTCTGCCCGCACCGTCTTGAACTTGACATCATAATTGTCCAGTGGAGCTCGTCCCATTTTCTTGGACGTCTATATATTTTTGAAACGAGGTCGTGAATTGAATACAAACATCCCGCAGCTTGAGTGCTGTGGTCAGCGGAAAAATGCCTTTAATGAATGGAGAGGAACTTCAGAATCGAGAATGATACGAAAACTATCAAATTTCGGAGTTCTCAAGTCTAGTTAGAGAATTACCCAGAAAATTATGGCATTTTCTCAGAGATTAATGAATGTAATTAGTCCTCGCGTCGCACAAAGCCTCCTGTTTCTAACCGAGAGCCTTCTAGCAGTATATAATAATTTGTGCCTTGCACAATAATACTGATATTCACATTTTTATCTCGACACAGGTTTATTCATATCCCTACTTAAAATTACCGTGTGCCGTATCTTGGCGCTCGCCATAACTTTAACGTTGGAGTAATAACCACCGAACAACTTTCGAGACAAGCTAAGTGAGCGCAGGTGTTTTTATGATCGTCTTCATGTAGTTAATGGAAGTACTGTCTTAATTCCATATGTTTTTTCGAACTTTGTTAAGAAGGATCTTCTCGCTGAATGGATTTAAATGTAAAAATATCAGGTGTAACCGATATTTAAAGAAAATTAAATGACTCAGAGAAATGCGTTTTCCGAGTTATGTTTAAATCCAGTTTCAAGACGTTTGGGCAACAATTAATAAGGCCATGCCCATCAACTGCTTCGATTCCAATTGCCCGACCTTCCGACCGATCTAACTTTTTGGAAAATGAAGCTAAACAAAAATTAAATATAAATATGAAATAAATAAATAAAATTTGTCATCCAATTAATCCAAGATCACAAGATCCTTTTTTGTGTTTTAGTTCGAGCAGGTTTCACTTTGGAAACGAAAGAACAAAACATTCTGCCAATTCTTCCTGGTGGTTAAACATTCACGCGGCAGGAATCACTTGGAAAAACAAAAACCCGTAGCTGGTTTCCGACTTCAACGAAAGAGGGACGATGGGTAACGAAACACTTTATGAGACTTTTATGAGCATGGCCTATCTACCTTTTAGTGGTTTTTGCAAAGCTGGTGAGTTCGGATATATTCACACTATACAGCCTGAACTTGTCGTACCGACACGAAAAATTATCGGGTGTAGTATGAACACCTATCCGATCGATATGTGACTCTGTACTTCAGAGATCGGCACGGTGTCTCTTCGCTCCGTTACAGAAATCGCGCCGAAATCAATATTCTTATGTGTGAACAGAGAAGCCCTGTGTGGTATGGTTTTATCGTGCCGGAGTGTTAGCGTAGCCTAAGTAAGCAGTTGTGTTGTGTTCGTTCTTCAACGACTCAATGGCAATAGGACTGCGGGCAGATTTTGGTACAGCACTTATTGTCATAGCTCTCTAGCAATAACATACAGCTCCTTAGGGTTAGCCATGCATGTCTCTGTTACACATTGTAGGAACTTTCCGAATTAAATGTAGATATCGTACATAAGCCCGAGACATATCTGAGAGGATCAATAAATGTAGCTGGTTGATGAAGTTCTGAAAAATGAAACATGATTGACTTTTCATTCGTAGTTCAATTTTTATTATTCCCTTGAAAAATGCTGCAGGCGATTCCCGCCTCCTACTGCGGGCACTTCTGCTTCAACAATTGTTATTTTAATTAAACTTACTGAACTTGTAAGTGGGGCAAAGAAAACACGGTTGATATCTTAGGTTGATAAATATATAAATTTCCGTTTATCCGATTGCAGAGATGTGTTTTAATTAAGGACATTTCTAACATGTGTCAACATGTGCACAAGCGCCACAGCCGTGCCAAAATTCAGCCACTTTATCAAAGATTATGCCTTAAAAGGAGAGAATCCTCATTATTTACAGTAAAATGGGCTTCAAATCGTAGCGTAATACAAAACCTCAGAAGGCAAAAGAAAAGATTTTGGAATAAGGTTTTTACCTTACGTGAAAATTAAAAGCAAGACCATCGAATCTTACTGAAACTGAACAAACGAAAATAAATGAAAACCTGTGGTGTATTAAATGAATATTAAAAAGCGCAATGCTTACACTTTGAAATTGTAATTTGCTAGAATTCTTTGTTTATTTTGTTCAGTGCTGACTGCATTAAAGCTGTAGGATGCGCGAATGAATTATTATTATCAAAATTAAAGTCTAGAAAGAGTCTTGACAAATTGTATTCTATGATGTTATACCTCGTAACACAGAAATCAGCTTAACATTATCTTACAATGAAAAAAAAAGATATTGAAATAAAAATCGAATTGAGTGGCCAACCCCGCGAGAAACGTTGCGGTAGATAAATTTTATACTATTTCAAATAACTTAGAGATTGTGTTTTTCGTGTAGACAGTTTGAGTGCACTCAGTTTCATTTCCTTTAATATAATTTTAGTTCTTTTGGTAATTTTGTCAGTAAATTAAACTTTAGAATTTTTGCGTATTTTCAAACACACCACTCACCTCAAAGAATCGTAGGTCCTTTCTTGTCCTGTTTTTAACCTTTGGTAGTAAAATAATTATTCCGGGATAATTTTGCCTCCCACTCGTCGACTGCGGTAAAAAGGAATAAGAGAATATGCATGCAGTGGTTTTCTCCATCCATCGTTTGACCTGAGAACTGAAACTCAACCGAAGCAGGTGAAATCGTTGTGTAAATTGGTAAACTCAGTACATCAACCAAAAGTGATCTGCATAAATAATAAATGTTGCTTTTTCATCAAAGCATATAGCACTCAGTTGATGGATTGCTATAACACATCTCTGTCATTGGTAATGGCGCAATTAAACTACATACTGGAGCGGGTTGCCGTGCTGGCGGCGGGTTGGATAGCTACGAATAGCTATTAATGTATGCCACGTCTCGTCAAGTCTGTACAATTCTCGTATATTTAGTTTTTTGGAGAATGTTGTGTTGTGTTTTGTCGGATCCTTTTCTGTCCCTTGTCAAGAAAATCTTATTCTTTATTTCTTAATCCCCTAGTCCTCTCCAGTCGCTTTGTTGACGGGCGTTTCTTTGTGTCAACCGAGAATAAAAACAATCTGCTTTTTCATTGATCAGTGGAAATTAGTATTGTTGTTTTTTCAATTGTCAGATATGTATGACAAAGGTACATGTAATTGTTTGTGGCACCATCTTATGATAATTTCTTTGAGCATATAACAATAAAGAAAGGTCGAAAGAAAAATTTTTTCTAATGGAAAGTACAGGCCTGCTAATTCTGTTTGGACGCGCGTTTCTACTTGTCCTGTTAGCCAGGACAGAACTAGAATCCCTAGGCTTTTACGTGTCGCTGAAGACTCGACGTTTTGCATAACCAACCATTATATTAGTATTGAAGTTGATTTTCCAAAAATAGATACATGGTAAAGAAACAAGTGCATATCCACTCTGAATAGGGGTAAATATGTTAGAAAAAATATTAGACACTATCAAAAGTTTTCTTATGTCAAAACATGACAAAATAATGATCGAAGGTATAAGAATGTTGTGTATGAAAGTCGACGAATGCTTAGTCTTCATAAGTCTGTAATGTTTGCGAAGTTAATCTTTATGATATTAATACAGTGTCATCTTGGATTTAGAATCTGTCATTTAAAATGCCATGTCTGTCAGGTGGACTGACCAAATGACACCCAGCGGCGTAGCTACCTTTAATCCATTAAGCCAGGGCTTAACAGGAATTTGAGACAAAAATAAGTGCAGGTTATCATGTGTTCATAAAACAATTTATATGACATTTACTACTCGATCGAACTAAAAATGGGAAATTCTAGAGCCGATAGTCTGCTGTTTGCAACATCATTTACTGTCTACAGAGAGCACTGACTTTTTCCGTACTGAAAACTCCACCTATATTGCTTGAAGTTATGTTTCCCGTTCTCTCGCTGTTTCTGTTTCTCGATGAGCTGGTCCAAGGCCCCACCGCTTGTTCCCAGGCGGTGGAGGTCTATCCCAGGCGACAGATAATCTACATCTTTTATAGCCTTTTTTTAGAGTTTCATGAGAAGATTACAGAGACGCTTGCGAAGGCAGAGATCATTCAGTACCAAAAGGGGGGTAAAAACGTACATGCCATCCACGATGCTTTCATCCTTAGTCTTTTTTAGCCGTATAGAGAAATGCCCATTGACTGCGAAAGAGTAATCGGCGTTTGTCACACAAAATGAAATGAAAAGAATTGCGGTGCTATTTACAAACCGTACTTTGCAGAGTGTGATTGAAGGTAAATTGACGAAACAGCCATAACATTTCATTTCAGATTTAAAAAACATGCTAGCATCACAAGCGTTTCAATCACTGCGGTCGATGACTGACTTTGATCATACCTTAGATTTTTATAAGCGCAATAACCGTTTTATTTTTAATCCGAGAGGAAACCTTTTTCTATTGTGGTTTAACATGTGCTCATGGACCATGTAACTACAAATAAAGGGAAACAACAGCCTTTTTCCTTCTTCAAAGGGATTTCGCGCTGCCATTTTATGAAGCGCTGGGATTAGATGATCGTAAGAGAACCTGGCCATTGGAATGGCAAAAACTGGAGTAGATTAATAGTGTATTTTATGACTGATGAAAACACTGACCTCTCTCTCTGCTATCCACGCCCTAAACTGTTTAATGAGTAGTTGAATGTTTGAGTCAAACCTCGTGTCTCTCCTTTCAGAAATATTCCCAGACGACCCAATTCGGAATCTGAAGACGATGCTCCATTTCGTAAACGACGTAGTAGTTGGGGTCCAAGTCCGAAGTTAAATGGAGATGTCAAAAAAAATGGACGGCAAGTACGAACGTCCCACTAATGCTGCTATTTTAGCTCATAGCACATATTTTTAATGTCTAGGAAAGGTATGAAAACGCCTGCTCTGTCTCTTGTAAATCCATCACTCGTTCGGTCTTGTCTTTCACTTAAGCCCATTTAACAACTGATTGAAGTCGTAAAGCAAAGGTAAAACGGACAACAAAAATGTGCGAGCTGTTTTAGTGCAACCTTGCTGGAAACGAATTGAAAAGAGATGTTGCACGTTTTGCCACCCACGTTCAAATCTGTCTTACAACCAGTCAGGTGAATACTGACTCCTTATTGGATAAAATTACGTGGGAGTCACGCCATACACGGGATTTACGTTACGAGCTCAAAACAAGTTTCCTTTGGGCCTGTAAAACGCGCAACGTGTACAGCTTTTGTTGCAAAATGTAGAACGTCTCTCTGTTTTCTGCAACAACTTTTCGCAACCTGCAAACTGGTTTGTTGCAGGTTTGATTAGTGGGTGGTAAATCGCGCAATTTAGCATTCAACTCGTTTAAATGTTGCAATAGAAGTTGCACGTTAATTTTTGCCTCCCGTCTTACCGTATCTTAGACGTGTCATTGTCAGCATACATTGGACTGGTTACGTGGTCATATTATCGAGCTTTCACAAAACGAGTCAGTTTTGGGTCGTTTTTGCTCTGTTTTGTTAAACATTTTGTTTTCACTACTAGTCTTACCCAGACCCATCCCGTGCTGTAATGGAGGTACCTTGTAGTGTAGCCGTACCCAGTGTAGCAGAGAACTTCAGGGAACAATCCGTTCTTCCATCTACTTATCTAACACCGACGAGGCGAAGGAGTGATAAAGGTAGCTTTGTAAACAGAATGACTTCATATCTAATTCTCTAACGAGTCTCTAATGTTGCTGATCAGTTCCTCCTATTTGTAATGATCCTCAGAGAACTTTTGACTCAGCGGCAATCAAGAATAGTTTTGTTAGCCTATGGGGAGAGGAGAGGAAAGACCGGTAGGGGGTGGGGAATTTGGCTCCCTCTCCTTTTTCCCTTATCTTTTCGTTTTGCGCCTGCCACTAAGCCAAAGTGTTTTTTTTGTTTTATGAGAGCTGCTGTCAAGACGGGTTACACCGCACACTTGACCTTTGCAGTTGCAGATTCAACCAGACAAAGCTTGTTGTTACATAAAGCTGATTTTACATGTGCAACCACCAGTACTTTCAAAAACTGTGCCTAATTTGGCCAATAGTGGTGTCTTTGAAATGTCAAAACTTTTATCTCCCCTCCCACAACTGATAGAGCTCTAGGAATTTGACGATCATAATCAGGGATTAGAAACGTGAACGACAAATTAACATTGGAAAGTAGAAGGACGATTTGGATTTCTATTTGAAAGGTGTTTTGCTGTGAGGCGCAGTGGAGTAGGAAAGTGGGTAGTTTTTTAATTTTGAAAAACTCAACATTTTTGCTCAGCTTTTCTACGTCTTAAACTTGCAGTTTCTCGACTTAAAGAAGGAGCCTCTCTAGATCTTGACAGTTCTAGTGACAGTGATACTGGAGTGGACGTGGATCAAGATCGTTCAGATCTTAGGAGGGATCCATATTACGACAATATGATAACAAGAATAAATAGCCAGTTGGCGGCAGCAGTTGCCCGCGGCACGAGTCCTTATGTTATATATGGGATGGAAGACGATGATGCAGATGATTGGTGTTAAGAAATAAGTGCAGTACTCTTCAAAATCAGCATGCACTTGATAGTGTCCAGTAACAGGTCGCCAGCTGCTCCAGACTATAGTGACAAATGAAACATACAGCAAAATACTGTGAAAGCTGCTTAAACGCGTAATGCCGAGACTAAATCGGATCACCCCGTTTACATGGTGAACAGAGAACTACAACAGGCATCTCAAACACCGCACGTGCATACAGAATCTGTTCGTTTTTATTGCTAAACGTTAAGGTTGAATTTAATGGTCCTTACAACCTGGGAATACGATTCGGTTCAACTTATTTAAGTGTTGATGAAAACCGTGGTTACCTTAGACGAATCTACAGCAGAATTAAGACAGACATTGCTGTTTTGGAGTGATCAAAATAACGCGTTAAACGCTTCAGTAAAGGATTCAATAGCGGAGACTTTCAGTTGTACAATGAAACGTTTTTTCCATTGCAAGACATTCTCTGCAAGAATTTGTGCTCCATTTCTGCTCAAAGACGGTTTGAAGAAAATCTTTTGTTTTTAAGATAATAAATTCTTTTAAGTTATTTTAAGTAGACAAGAATAGACATGGATATTATATTCTTTCGCGCGGGTCACAAAGAGAAATTAATATTAGGAAGATGCAAGAAAGGATGAGCTACAACTGGTTCATCGCTCTTGACAGATGTTAGGAGTTATATAAACTAAACTAATCAAAAATGTTTAAATTATTCCGAACCATATTCATACCGGCAAAGTCTAATATATACAGTTTTAACATATGTAATGTAATGCATGTATATTTGGGAAAAGAACATAAATGTAATCCTTATTTTGTAGTGTTCCAAATGATTTGCTCCGCTTTTATACATTCAGTATGTCTTCTAATAATAGTGCAACAAAATAACTTGGAACGACCGCTTTGTTTTTTTTTCAATTTTTTTCATTTTCGTGTCACCGCTATGTGGTTAGTACTGACGAAATACTTAACAGTGCGGTTTTCACTTGACTGTCGAAAGTAATTGAGGAATTGGTTTGGTTTTGGTTTTACTACGCCCTTTGGTTGGCTAGTGTATTTACTTTGGTTTTGGTTTTACGACAGTCAAGTGAAAACCGCTCTAACGATTTGTTTCGCTTCTGTTGTAGGCGAGCGTTCATAGTTAAGTTTGTGCATTGCGTATTGCTTTGTTCAGTTTTTTTAGGATAACATATAAATGACTAGACACTTGTGGGAACTCAGTTAAAAAGTGATTTCCTCAATTGAAATGTAATTAAAATCTGACAGAGGGTCGGTTTTACCCCTTTTTACCACAGTTTTACTCTGTCATGTTGGTGGTTGTGTAAACGTGGGCAATGGCCAAAATGTGTACTTGGTCTAAAGTCAGAGGAAAGGTTCGACAAACGGGACAAATATTGTTAATAGATTCTGAAGAATAACTCTTTTACAAACGCTGGTGACTCTAAACCGCTTGGGTACCACAATTCGGTTGAACGCGGCATCGCGACATCTTTGAAAATGGAAATGCCAAGCTCATACAGGGATCTTGCTCCTGCATCCCACATGTACACTTGTTAAATATTTAAAGAAAACGCTCTTATGAAACGTAGTGTTTCTTCTCGCATTTCAACGAGTGCAAAAACAAGTCCCAATGGACATGGCTTGCTTCTATTAACAGGTCAAAGTGAACACGAAGCCCGTCTGTGAGACAAAAAGCAAGTTTAATTATGGCTTTTAATGACTTGAAAGTCAGACGAACACTCCCTATGATTAGCTATAAGCTTAACTCCGTTCTTGATAGAAATTCTTGACATATTACTTTGCAGAGTGCTGTAGCAATGGTTATAGTTGGAGATATAACTGTTCTTTATATTCCAGCGCTACTTCGTACTATAAAACTAAACGGGTCGTACTACCTGTCTGTCCTGATTTACTCGTGTATCATTTTATCCATTCGCTGCCTAGCATGATGTTGGATGAGCGCGAAAGCATTTCGAGACACAAAAAACTATTTCATGCGAATATACTTTAATAGCTCCAGGTCAACAGTCGCGTCAACTGCTTGTTGGAAAAACATTTACACAATGCATAGTTCTATCTCTATAAATGACTAGCTTAGGGCCTGTTACATGAGGTGAACCAGCACGGTTAGCCGGGCTGTCTTGGCTCAGACCTTGTTGTCTCTTCAATTTTTCGTTGTGTTTATATGAGGAGCTGGGCTGGCCTGGCTAGCTCAGATCTTGGCTCGAGCAACCGGGGTCTCGGCAGGTCGGGCCAGCCCGCCTTCTCATATAAATACAACGAAAATTTTATGAGGAAAGAAGGCATGTGCCAAGCCAGTCCGGTAAAGCGGGCCAGGGCCCGTTTCTCGAAAGGCTCGGTAACTTTGTGGGTCCGAAGGCAAATTTTTGAATCAAAACCTGTTGAAAAGTAGCATGGTTCCTAGCTCGCAAACCGGCAAATTTTGCTTGGTTAATTGATAGTTGCATTGTATCATTCACTTTGATTTTAAATGCAAAGACGACAAGCATAAGACAGGTTTTCGGGCCCGAAAAGTTTTCAGGACTTTCGAGAAACGGGCCCAAGTCCGGCTAACCAGGCTAACTCAATTCATATAAACAGGCCCTAGTAAAGACTTTAAAGACAGGGTTCATGAGAACCTCCTAAGTCAAACATGCATGGCCTATGAATGTTTCGACCGTTACTCTAATCAGTATTAGGCCCCGTCCACACGAATCCGGATGCTTTTGAAACCGAATACTTTTTGATACGAATCGGCCTTCCGTCCACAGGAATCCGGTGAATCCGCACACCGAAACTGCATATGTTTTAAACGGTCCTCTGGGGTGGATTCTTTTGGATCCGACGGATTGGTGAATTCGTGTGGACGACTAAAACCGGATATTTTTAAAGCCAACTACGTAATAAACTCGGTTCAGTCTTAAATGAGTTCAAAATGGCGGACAACAATGTCCTGTTTGTCACTTACTGGCTTACACGAAGGCGTGTAAAACGTCTTCGTTCTGAACCTCGTCAAAGACGATTTGGGGTTCGTTCAGCGAGAACAAGTGCCTGGTGGGACAACATACGGGCAGGCCTAGCCATTCAGTGTGCTCGATATATCTTCAACAACAATAAAAAATGCCGCGAAAGCAAATGCAAATCGCTGTAGCCTGTGGATAGGTGAATATCAAGTATGCGGTTTCAGCGTATCCGGATTCGTGTGGATACAGATATGACTTTGGCTACTTTGGATGACTTCGTGAAATCGGTGCCTAGAGGTTACTCAAGCTGAGCGAAAGTCAAATAGTTATTAAAACAAAACAAACGTTCCACGCTGACCAGTAGGTACATCCTGACATGATCAGGTGCTCAAAACCACGTTTTACCGTGTTGGATTCACTTGCACTGTATACGCATATAGCTATCGCATTTGTACCTTCGAATATTTTGTTGTTTAAAGCTTAAAAACAATAAATAGTTCAACCATGCAAATGTGACGGCGATGGATGCGCATATCCAATAAATGGCCGTTTTCACACCAGATACGGATTATGCGTCTGAGACGGATAATCCATCCTCAAAACCGTCAAAATTGATGGAAAAACAGATGGATGAAGTCAGGCGGATTGTCCTTCCAAAATTAAAACCGTTCCACTTTCAAATTAAGACCTATTATCTGTCTGACGCGAATTATCCAACGCATAACCCGCCTTAGACGGATAATCCGTCTCTAGTGTGATTTACGGCCAATGAGTCTACCCTCGATGAACAAGAACTCCACTTTTATACAAGGAACCTTGCAACTGAACATAAAATAGGTTTTGATAACAATAATGATATGATAATACTTATCTAAGGAAAATAACAAGACAGGGAGGACATTCCATGTCAAAACAAATAAATACTGCGACTTTGTAATTCCTGCTTTACTAAAATGGAAGCAATTTGATTAATTGATGTATGACCTTGTCAATTCGATCACCGGTAGCAAACAGGCCCAATCTTGACGCCGAACTGTTCGTTTCCTACTGCTCGATGAAAAAACGACAGATCTTCCAGAGGTAGGACATCCACCCTCTCGCTATCAAATGTGATCTCCGTTCTGCGCCACTTTCCATCGTCCCGCTGTTTAAATGTCCAAATATCAAGATATCAACAAACCAACGTACAAATCAAATCATGGATGAAAAGTAAGCTAAAAAAGAGAACATGTAACTTGAACAAACTTTTGCAACATCTCAGCTCATAAGCGGGACAAGTCGTCTGGTGGGAAAGACCAGACCAGGGATGCTTACTCCTTAAAATCTGTTGCATAGACATAAAACTACAAAATTTGACGTGGTGGGAGAACGACCCGCTAAAACGTATATCCAAATCAGCTGAACAGACAAATTTATTCGCCTATTAAAAATCACAGCCCATATTTCCTGAAGTCTCCCAAACGGAAAGGCGCTAACCCCATTTGATTTTCTAACCGGAATTTCCGGTCTTTCCATGTAAATGGTAAGTACACCCCTAGATTTCCTCCCTATTTTTTCTGATTTTAGCCTGGTACTTTTCCCAGAGTTAGTCGCCCCCCTTTTGGAGCTTGTGGTATGAGGAACGATTCTCGTCGGCTGAAAAGTGGACGATCACAAAGTAAGATTACGAGTGCATGATCGCTTGAACTATCTTCCCTTCTATCACAGTAGTGTCATTATCGGATGTAAGGGTTTGACTGATACCACTTGCATAAGCTAGACAGCGAGTTGTCTTTCATTTCTGTCAAAAACGGTCGGTCGGACCATTGATGTGGCAAGCGTGGACATCTGTGATCGCCCCATCGTCATCGATGTGAAACATCCGCCCCACCATGTAAATAAGTTTACAGCTTTTTCTCACAAGCTGAGAGCTCGAAACAAGCTACTAATAGTACAAAAACAAAACTAAAAGAAACAAACAACCATATCAATAATGTCAATGAGAGCAAAGGATTCATCAACGCCCCTGGGTGCAATGGTTAGTAGCTATGTAGTCACCTGGCAATAGTCACGCATGACTTTTGGCTTCGGGTTGCTGTTCGGTGTGAAATCGAATCCTTTTCGTCCATGAAAAATCCACGAGTAACGATAACTTCTACTGACACGGTGAAACCATACTATAACTCTCTTACATTTGACTCTTACAGATTGCCTGACTCTGGTACTGAGAAGTCGCAGGAAATTGAACTGAATTCTACTGGCCGTGTAATTGATCTATAAATGAACCAAGGAAGGTTCTAGTCAGTACAAAAGAACATTGAGTTCCACCTAGGAAATCACATAACTCTCTAGCTATTGCAAGGACTACCTAGCTTATCAAAAATACTGCTGAACGACTGACGTAATCAAGTTAAATTACTATACCTCTAAAAACGAGATACCTCGTAGCAAACATATATTACCTTAAACCCTTCTTCAAGACGGGAAAATCTGTTCCAAGATGCTTCTGGACTACTCTGCCACGACCTTTTAGGAATCTAGGCATAGAAAGACTCCTGAGTTAATACTGAGCCATGCTTTTTCGCCTTTAATGACGGTGCCTCCTTCTGCCAATGCTCGTAAGATAAGTTCTTTAAGCTATAACAAACTGAGAGAGTTAAAGGGTGCTAAAAGGATTTGGCATGTTTCTTGAAAACGAAGTTTTCAGAGTTTATTAACCTTACAATCTTTGTAATTTTCCAATTTATTGGTGTACATTTTATTGTGTATTTACTACATAGAAAGTTTACTCGTAGAAATCGACCAAAAAAACAATTATGAAAACTGCCGTCAAGTTGTCAACAGGGACTTTAAGCAACGACGACGACGACGGCAGTGAAAACGTCGCTAAAAAAACGAATTTGCGTTCTTTCAAACTTAATCGCGTCTGTTTGGACCCGCTCAATATGTCAAATGTAGGCGACTTTTCCTGGAGTTGAATTCGCAAGGATTTTATTCAAGTTCAAAAAGAGGAAGGAAAATTCGTCGTCGTATGTCCACGTCCTCCATAAAACGTCAAATTAGGAGGTTTCAAGTCGTAATCGTGCAGTGGACGTCAAAGATATGTAGCGTGATGCACGTGCAGAGCTGTTGTTTTGATCATTAAATCTATTGTTTTGTGAATTTGTCGTCTTCGTCGTCGTCGTAATTGCTTAAGCTCCCTATCAAGTTCATTGCTGCACGAAAAGACACAAAAAAGGAAAACTACCGTATCTCGAGAAGGTGGAACACAAGTCTCTCCGCCAGCAGTAAAGTTGCAGTAGACTCGAATTGCATCAGCAGGGCAACCAAGGTTAGGGTCGATCCAAAAGTAACCTGTATTAGACACGACAGAATAGATTAGCCCTACGTTTACACCGCACCGGACGAATTTTCGACCGGGACCGTTCAATATTTTTCGCTCTGTTGACACGGAACTTTGAAGCGTCTAAATTCTCGTGCGGTTAAGATGGTTCCGTGTGACACCTAAACGTACGAATAGTCAACCAGTCGAAAATTCGTCCGGTGCCGTGTGAACTAGCCTAGAAAATGCAGTAGAATCAATATTTGTTTTAAAATGGTGATGTCTCATAGCTTAATGATGCGCACCATTTTGAATGTTGTCAATATCCATTAGTTCTTTACAAGTCATAGCAGGGTTATCCTTGGTACCAACAGGAAATTTGTAGTTTTCCACTGACGATGACATGTAGAGTATCGTCTTTAGATTTTGGACTGACTGAAAGAGAGTCATAATACTTGGAATCAGCTGCGGATATCGGAAAAATGCAACAACAACAACAAAAGTAGCAAAAGAAAAATACTCTAAGTAACCTGGTCCAGGGATTGGTAATGTGCAAGTCTGTTAAGTCCGAGCACAATTCCTGGAGGACCCTAAGGTATCAAAATACATAATTAGAAACACATGTTACGTGCTCAATCACATAACTGCACCGAAGACTAACACTACCAAAACAGTTGATATAAAGAAAATTACCGGAGACCCATTTTGACCCTGCAAATGAAATAAAGATAGGTAAGAACAATACCAAGTTAAGCTTTTAAATGAAACCCTAAAGGAGACGTCAGAGGGTTTATCCGGTCACAACACAGTGAAGAACCCCCGACTGATTCAGTGAATCTGAGCTGAGGCTAGTTCTACACTCAACCGGAGAGTAATTGCGCCGGCACGAAAACCATATCGGATAGGTTTTTTGTTCACGCACAATAACGTTGATTTCTGAGCGATTTCTCTAAAGGAGCAAAGCTGCGCCTCGCCTATCTTGAATTAGCCTGCGTCGCAGGCGCTTCGAAGTAGTGGGCGAAAGAGAGAACGCGCGCGCGAGGGAGACACGCGAGGGGTGAGCTCCCCCTCCCCTCGCATGTCTCCTTCTCGCGCGCCCGTTTTTTCTTGTGCCCACTACTTCCAAGTGCCTGCTACGCAGGTTACTCTTGAATGTGTATTGTCAACTATCGCATGGGTTTATTATGCTACCCACGGTAGTGTGAACAGCCGGGAGTATATCAAGTGCTCCTGGGAGGACTGTATATGGAGCGTTTTCACATGACGTCACGTAGCTTCGCCATATTGGTGTCCCAAAACAATAAAATGGCGGTCATGTTGGTGCCCCAAATCAGTCCTTTGGGAGTTGAACTCTTTTCTTATGTAAACTCTCTGTTTTGCCGCAATAATTTGCATAGCGGCTGGCCAAGACAGTGAAAAAGCTCTATGCCTAAGGGCATTTGCAAACAGTATCTTTGGGGAGAAAACAGTGTCCCATTACACAACACTCTCACTTCGCACTCGTTGAATAAATTCAGTTAAGGAAGAGTTGATCGAGCGCCTTCAGAGGAAATAGAACGTGGCAGTAGGCTAACCCCACGAATTTTCAGCGCGTGGGTGGGTGGGTGGGTGGGCCCTTCCGCCTTCGTCCTTGGCACTGATCTGCGAATGAGTGGAGCGAGAATGCTTTGCCACTACTTATTGATTGTCTCCCTCCCCAAGGGTCCTTTATCGCCCAGCCTGGGTATTTCTCGTGTCCCCCGAGCATTAGCACGGGGTTCTAGCATTCGCGCTTTGTTTTCGAGCGTTGTGAATAGTGTATTGTGTGGGAACCGAAAATTGCTTGACTTTTGCAACGTCTTTTGTTCGTTTGTTTGTTTGCGTTTTTTACGATCTGCACGGGCTAAGTACCAGTTTCTTGAAAATATGCATACTCAACACAATTGCATTCGAGCGCAGCAGCGCAAACGTAAAATACGCTAAACTACAGCCTAGTAACTGCGTTCGTTTGATTTACTACCTGCCCTCCATTTGTTTGAGAATTACAACGAAGAAAAGAGGTGGGTCCTAGCGCAAGCTGCCTACACGTAATCTGAATTCTAATATGTAACTCTGATCACGATTATCATTTTGTTCGTTCCAAATGGCTTATTCTTTTGTGTTCTTCTGTAGCTTCAAGCGGATATTTCTTGGACCAGTAGGTAAGTGTTCAATTGTTTTAAATAGCACGGCCTTGGCAAGTAGAGCGTTTACAAATGACATCACGTCCACCCTATTTGACAATAAAACAATAAACAATAAAACAATAAAACGGCGGCAATGTTGGTGTTCCAAACCATGTCATGTAGGAGTTGAGCGCTCTATACTGCTGGTTTAAGCATTGTAAAGCATTCCGCGTTTAGAAAATAAGCAAAAATAGAAGGAGACTTACCGAAATTCCTCTCAAACCCTGTAAAATAAACAGAGAACAAAGAAACTGCTTTAGTGAATGGCAAGAATGAAAATGTCCGTAAACATTTTATTACGCGATAAATCCCGGCAAAAGGAAGGAAGAAAAAGAAATAAAATCAAGCGACCTTGTTAACAAGTCACGTTTATCATACAAAACATTACCTTCAGCCCAGAGTCACCCTGAATGGAAAGAAATCAAGCAAATACAGAATTAACAAAAAATAAAATTAAAGCGTCAATAGTTACATAACAAAGTTTCCACTATTCGAAGATATCAAATATTCGGCTGAGTACGCGAGGAATATTCAAAGAAAAAAGCAGATTCTAAGATAAAGGTCGACGACTTACCGAGATACCTTTCTCACCCTGAAAAGAAAAAAGTATATGCGTTAAAGTTTAATACACGTTTTTTTTAAGTTTTAGTTTGAAATGTATAGCATGTGTACATCCGTATCCTCCCCGTAAAGGAGAAAAAAAAAAGACAAAAAGACGACGACTACCCTCTTTCTCTCCCCCGATTTTGTTTTTTTTTGAGGGTAGGAGAAGGATGTATATACCGGTAGGCTAGAAATGCCAGCTTGTTGCCTTGAAATAAAGGCACCATAGATGCCGACGATGCGTTCAAACTTTCTCTAAATGTGACCAAGACCGAGTTCACGCTGATTGGTTCCAGACAAAACCTTAACATCCCGACTGCATCTCCCACTCTAACGGTCAATGGCTCAAACATAAGACAAGTTACAACAACTAAATCTCTAGGGATACTTATTGATGCAAATCTTACATTGTCTAGCCATATCGATACGCTTGCTAAAAAAAATTGACTCCGGCATTGCTTCTATTTAACGGGCCAGACAATTTGCCCCCCCCCCCCCCACCACCACCCATCACCAACATTACATATTATTTACAAAGCCTTAATTCCACCGCATTTCGATTATTGTAATGTTGTCTAGGAAACCTGTGGCAAAAAAAACTATCCAATAAACTTCAAAAACTACAAAATCGTGCAGTCCGAATTATGATGCCGACGCATCACTACTGATGGATAGCCTAAACTTCAAAAACTACAAAATCGTGCAGTCCGAATTATGATGCCGACGCATCACTACTGATGGATAGCCTAGTTTGAAAATCAGCAAACCGGGGTGTCTCTGAATGTGTAGGGTTGTGATATAAATTAATCCACTCCATTTTGGATGACCAATCTGGTAGTTGTTCAAAAATGAGTTAAGCTTTCTTCCACTAGCCTTCGATGTCAGTTATAGTCCAGGTTTGTTCTTATATTCAAAACGACAACCTAACATAGAATTTAAGACTTACCACGTCTCCAGTAGAACCCTGAAAATAAGACAGAAATTAGTGTGACAAATTAAACAACTCAGCGCAAGTAATTAGAAACGTTTAGTTATCCTTTACACTTCTCCTACTTTGTTGAATAACACAATAGCTTTTCAAACATTATGGTCATGTATCTTGCATATCATGGCAAATAATGTATCTCGTAGAGCTTAATAGGCAAGCGTTTCTCCGTCATTTAATTACATTTTTTCAAAACTTGTTGGTTTTTGTTGTTTTAGACTACAAGCTAACATCCTCTTTTACGCTTTTTAGACATGGCAGTTTAGCCTATATAATGTATACATCGAACAGCAATGCCGGTCTACAATAATTAGGAATCACCTCTTAAGGTCTTAAAAATCAATGGGCTAGAAGTCAGTGTTTTGTTTGATATCTCAAATCTTTTTTAACATATATTTGTGACTGCATTAGTAGTATAGTGTGGACCGCTTACTCCGTGAAAGAAATTGACGTGGATGACGTTAAAGGGCACTTCATTTTAGATAAGGTGATTTTATGTTCTCCTTTTATGGTTATTTTTACTGGTTTGACAGGTTTTGATATGGATGATATAATGGGTCATAACCTTATTTGGCGTGGTATGACTCGACGATGTCACGGCTGTTTTAATTGGTTTGAAGAATTTCAGAAAGGCGATTAGTTTTTGGACTCGTTTGAAGAAGCAATCCGCTCCCCCCTAAATGCATCATTTATGAGTTCTGAGTTTAAGTACGAGGCGTAGCTCTCAACCAGTCTGGTATACTTGGAATTTGTGTTTGTTTCACCACCGCAGTACATAAGATGTTTACGTAGACTACGACTAAAAAAAATAATCGGAGAATTTGAATTTGGAAACTCAATTTTTAGAACGAAAATGTTTTCTAAACTCGCGGAAAAGGGTTTTTTTTCACAGTTTCCTCGTCGGGCCACCAACCACTATCAGGTCTGAATCGTTTTCACGTATTCACTTTTTTTACCGCTTAGGTTCCGCAGTTACATTCCATCTTTTCTGGACCGTTTTTGACCAAAAAAATAAGATTCTTGGCATAATTCCCACAAAATCGAACTTTAACTGATGGCAATAGCTGTCTACGTTTCTGTTGCTACTGTTATCAGCATAATAACCCAACAAAGCAGGCCAGCTCATTCGAAAAACTTACCACTTCTCCGATGTAGCCCAGGTCTCCCTCTCGCCCACGCATTCCAGGTTCACCCTAAAATCCAAAATGAAACATAGATTGTTCATCTGAAGCAGGAAGCGAGTTTCTGAGAAACGACGGGCAGTCCATTGTCAAAAAGAAAAGATTACAAAATAAACACTCTCTATTGAGTGGTCCAAATTGTCGATAGCGGATAAGACAAAACCTGCTCTCTTAACTTGGTTCAACAACAATGAATACAGCTTACCCTTTCTCCTTCAGCGCCCACCTCTCCCCGAGGTCCTTCACCACCCACAGGACCCTGTGAAATACAAAGCTAAAAGTTACCTGATATTTCAAACACTCCACGGCAGGAGAATCGAGGGGAATTGAAGAAAATTCCATACTGGCTGAGTGAATCTTCAAATTTACCTTTTTTCCTTGAGTTCCAGCTAGTCCCTTTTTCCCCGGACTACCACGCTCTCCCTAAAAACCAGAGCAAGGAAAAATCTGTGAGTGCAAGAATAAACTGACAAATACAAAAACGAAAAAGGAATCATACTAAACCATTATCATTCAAAATGTCTCGCAGCCTCTTAGTCTGATTGGCTTCAACCCCTCGACTATTAATTCTTTATAACCAGCTGGCGCAAACCAGTTTGGAAGATACGCGCAACAGACAATCGTTGACGTCAGTCACTCTGTCATCAACGATTGTATATTGCCAATTCAGTAAAATCCAACTAGTGGTGTACTATCAATGCTACGTTCTGATTGGCTGAGCAACTACGAGGCTATATGTTATAGCCCACTAGTAGCGAAAAGCGCCGGCTTTGAAAACCAAAACAATGGCCGCTGAATCGAGTTTTGCTAGCTAAAGTTGTTTTGTCTCGATATTTTGACCAACTAGTTGGATTTTAGTAAAACAATTATTCTTCGAGCCCGAATGGGCTCTGAGTCAAAAGCCCAATCATTCAATTCACTCAGACAGCGGCGCGGGCAGCTTAGCTGTTTTTAGTATCAGCGCCATAGAAAAAACGGCATTAGTTTTTCCAAACACCCTCCTCGATCTACAAAATTCTTCGTATCACACTCAGCCTTATTCAAAAATAGCTAGATAACAAACCATAACTCACCATATCTCCCCGCGCGCCAAACCCTCCTCGTGAACCTTTTTCTCCTGGAAGTCCCTGGTAACGAAATAGGCGATTATTTAAACTGAAGGCAAAAGTCGATTTGTTGAGCTGAGAAAGACTTAGTTGGTCAGTTAAGCGTTCCAGTTAACACAAATGAACGGTAGACAAGAAGTCATTTTAAAGCCACGCTTAGAAGCAGTTCCTACCTCGGCTCCTTCGCTTCCTGGGTATCCAGTTTCTCCAATTAGACCCTTTCCTCCCTAAAAAAGGTGCATTTCAAATAAGCGATTAGGTGAGAACCGAAGATAGATGCTGAGCTGGGATTGATGATAAATGAGTGAAAATGTCTGAAAACAAATACATATCTAAATACATTACCTGAGGTCCTCGAGAACCTTGAAATCCCCTTACACCAGGTGGACCAGCGCTTCCCTGGCATATCAAAATAACGTTAGAAAAGTGGTCTCAATTACACTAACATAAAATAACGGCCGTTCTTTAATCAAATAGAAAGTTCCTTTATTAGCCTGTTAGTTGTTGATGCCAATAGAACTACACTGTTGGAGACAGTTTTTTATTACGAATATTACCATAAACCATACAAGGTCCTTTGCATACCATGGGTCCTGCCTGGCCACTGATTCCAAGAATACCTTGGGCACCTGGTTCTCCCTATAATTTGAATAACAGTATTTGTCCTGAAAACTAAAGTCAGCTCTGCAAAATGCTAAAAACATGTCAGGAGTTAATGTCAAGCTTACATCTTAGTGGTTACTTGGAGATGAATTATCAATTTAAGACTAACAAAAATAACCATCTTATGGTTTGCGTTAAGAAGGAAATATTACCTTTTCGCCTCTCCCTCCACCACCTCCTTTCGAACCACGGTTTCCTTTCCCGCCCTTAAAGTAAAAAAAACATATACTCTTCATTAGGTAATTGAAGGTTTATATACGTGGTTCGTTCCAATGTAAAGTATTTCCTCTTACCGAAAGTCCTTCCAATCCAATAGCTCCACTTTGTCCTTTGGGTCCACGAGAACCCTACAATAATCAAAATTTGTGAGTCAGCCACTCAACAATCGTATTCCTGTAACAATTTCAACCCACGATTACAGATTCCTATATTCAAAAAAGGAACATACCTTTGGTTTGCAAAACGCCTGGCTAAAAATTTCGGAAAAAAATATTATTCAATCTAGAAACGATCCCGGAAATCATACTTAAGCTAAGGTACCGCGACAGAGTTACATTTTCTAGCTGATGCACTTTGGTCTCGTAGGGTACTTTTATTGAGTTCGAAACAATGCGAAGGATAAAAACTTGGAAACTATCATACTTTTAAAGGGGACACAAGGATGGCTAGCATTTAAACGTGGAAAACAAAATGAAATTGATGGAATTATCTCCTGCTATATCTTTTCTGTAATTCAGACTCTGTTCTCTGTTAGTTCCTGCTTTCCTTTTCTCCGAAGGTTTCCACAAATCTAAGCCTTTATTACCTGAGGTCCCGGAGAACCATCCTTGCCTTCTTTGCCCTTTTTTCCACCCGCACCCTGAATATGAAATAACAAGTTCTTTTATGAATGCAATGACCAAAAAAATGTGGATAACATTCCAAAGTCAACACCCAGAGGAGAGTACTTATTAAACGATATAGACACCTCACTTTGAACAACTCCAAAACAACAATATTACATAGTACGAATAGTAAGTTTTACTCAAAGTAAGGGAGAAATTGTCAGATACAAATATCCTTAAAATTCGTTTTGAACATCATGAATAAGGTAATTCGAAATGACATAGTCAGTATTTAAAAATAATTTAAGTAGTCTTAAGGGGTACGAAAAATACCTTTTCTCCAGAGTCACCTCTAATTCCACCTACACCAGGGATGCCTGTAATACCCTGTAGATACAAGTGAAATCGATTGAAATAAGCCTTGCTATATATTTCTTCAAGTTTATCCAAATGAAAACTAAACATACCCCGATACCCACGACTCCACGATCTCCAGGTGGACCAGGAGCACCAACTGAGCCCTGCAAACAAGAAACAAACATGTCAAGATAAAAAATTATTGCTCGCCTATAATAACAATAAGGGCAAACTGCAATCAACCCATATAAAAAAGAAACAGATTAAAATACAGTTATAGCTATTAGAACTTTACCTGACCTCCAGTAGCGCCTCTTTCTCCTCTTTCCCCTGGAGGTCCCAAAAAAGCCTTAAAACAGACAAGACAGATACTTCAGTTCTAACTGTTTACATTACATTACATACTAAACCGCGATAAGAAACTCCAGCCAGCTTAAAATGTCTTCATTTTCAGGTTTCTCTAAATAATAATTACCGTTCTTCCAGAGACGCCACGCTCACCAGGTTGTCCTTTCTCGCCACTGAGACCCTAGGAAAATTATAAGACGAAATTTTCACAAAAGGTATAAATATTATTCAAGCCCGATATAACGCTGGGCTATTTTAGAAAAGGCTGAACTTGCTAATGTCCCCTAACTTTTACCGGTCTGCATTCTGTTAACTGAAGTTACGTAGCAACATAAGTATTAACCTTTCGCCCTTTGCTTCCAGATGAGCCTCTTCTTCCTTTCTCTCCAGTTTCACCCTGAAAGAAGTAAACCGGACACCAAAGAGAAAGTTGAAGCAATCCACTTAAATGAATTACAATACGAATGTCGTATTTAATATCCAGCATTGTTCGCTGGCATGATAACTCCATGCAAACGTTCTTATTAGGTAAAGGAATCAGACATGTTACCGTCTCTCCTATGTCGCCACCTTCTCCAATTTCTCCAGGAGGTCCGGACTCACTACTCTGAAGCATAAGAAAAAAGTTTTTATTTGCTTTTTCAGATTACAGCGATGAGAACAGACAAGAAAAATATCAAACTAAGCTAGTGATTGCTTTCACTCAAGAGTTGAGGGATTTGAGCCCAATAGTCAGATCGTTGCTCTGGTGTGGACTCTGTTTATTGGCGAAATTGGTTTTCATTTTCATTTCCAACATGTACATGCACACATGCACAGTTGACTTAGGATACTGACCGTAGGGCCCGCGTCACCCACAGGACCCGGGCGTCCTCGCAAGCCTTGCATTCCCTATGTAAAGATACAAAGACCAATAAAACCACAAAATAAACGACGAATCCTGAATGGGATGATTATAAAAGACACATTAAAAAAGCTCATCTTGATAGACGAAAATACATAATTGAAGTGACTACAGGATTGAATTGTCACATTCTTTAAAGCATTATACTGGGGTCGCATTTCTTTATTCGTTTGAGTAATATTACTCCTTAATCTCACAATGTTGTCTTCGTTTCGGTTTTTCATTCTACTGCTACTCTTATGCTTCGTAAAATGCATTGTAAATGTCCGCGAAGGTGACGACAGGAAGCAAACAACATACCTCTGGCCCTTTCAATCCAGTAGCACCCCACTGTCCAGAATCACCATCTTCACCCTACACAGCAATAAATAATAGGCGTCTATGCAATGATAAAATAGAATAGGGAGAAACGTTCTACGGCAGGATTACAGAGGACATATCACGACACCTTTTGTCCTTGGATTCCTTGAGTGCCCATTAAGCCTGGCAAACCAGAATAACCCTGGGGAAGGAGAGAAAACCAAACAAGATAAAAGTAAGACTTTTAACACGCGTGGAAATATGTCACTGCAGCATTTTACATCAAAAATACCTCTTTTCCAGGTTGCCCTTGATTTCCAGATACTCCCACGTTTCCTACAGTACCCTGAAAGATCACCAATATTATAATGTTGAAAGGGGTACAGACAAGTAGCAAAAACCATAGTGAGTAGTAAGAATCAACTCACCTTCAAACCTCGTTCTCCTTGAGGGCCTTTGGAACCTGGTGCTCCAGCTTCACCCTGACAAAAAAGTACAGTAAATTCAAATATTTGTTTAAAAGACTTAGAAACAAAACCAGCACAAGCAGGAAATAAAGACACTGATATTTTCCTTCAGTGTATCACATGATTTAGTTACTGGACATGATATAGGATAGATTTACGTGCTGTAAAACTTTAGTTAAAGCATTTAAAAAATCTAGGGCGGATATCGACCTAGAATCCCTTATATTTTCCAATTTTTCAAATTTTGAGTTTGATTCATATACCTTAATTCCCCGTGTTCCGTTCCCTCCTGATAGCCCTGGTGGTCCTGGTGCACCCTTTGATATAAACAACAACAGTGTAACGGTCTCTTGTAGTTGCTAAAACAATTTCAAAGTATGGCTACAAAATGTAGCAAGCTGTTTATTACCGGCCTCAAGAAGCGCGACTTTCAAGAGAGACAAAAACATGAAAGACAATTAAAACTTAGAGAAATTAGAGAAAAAATATATCCAGGATATTCACCTCGGGGGTTAAAGGGAACAAACTAAGAATATTGGGCATTACCTAAAACACGTGTAAAACACTTTTGTCTTATTTCAAGGTAGAGTTAAATTTTTACAGCGCGATGACCATTTTTAAGTCCGTTAAACAGTGTAAACAGAGACGTAGATTTAACATTTTTACCTCTTATTCCACACCTTCTAACAAATAGTAATACAAGTTAACTACGCTATATTCTTGCTTCCGGGAAAACCTTTTCTATCAGGCCGTTACCGCGAAAACTAGAGCAAACATCCCCGCTTGCCCTAATTAACATTTGGTGGAGAACCCGGGTGTCCTTGCAAGGAAAGACCATGAATAAAAGCTACTTACAAATGGCCCTCGACTCCCAGGTGGACCCTTTGCACCGGGCAAACCATCGTCTCCCTTAAAGAACAAAAATCATAAATGTCATAGTTACGCACGGTCATGCTGGTGAAGATTAAAAAGTTAAAGCAGCCACAAACCTCTTCACCGTGATTCCCTGTGGGCCCTGGTAAGCCTATAGGTCCATAATAGCCCTACAAAATGATACGCATCGTCAGAAAGTACGAGAATTGTCCTAAGACTCTAGGGTAGTCGTTAAAATTGCAACAACTGGGTGAGCAGCAAGGTCAGGAAAGTGACTAAAAGTGATACTATGGTCTCCGTCAGCTTAGTTGTAGAATTACTGGCAAAAAGAGTACTCGTCCCAAAGTATGAAACGATTTAATTTAACTTCAATCTTAAAAACCTTCACAACAACACTAAAAACAACGCTACAAGCAAAATAACCAACCTGATCTCCATCAGTCCCTGCCAGGCCAGGATTACCCAGTGGACCACGCGGACCCTATGATCATGGATCTAAAGTCAATATTGATAATTCCAGTATTACAAAACTGGTGCGATATCTTTCAACAATATTTAAACGTTTGACGAGGATTTCGTCTACATGATCGAAGAGTATGTTGACGTCTATGGGATTACTTAACGTCTATTCATATTTACAAGTAACGGGTTAAATTGCATTTCTTTACCTGTGGCCCCGGTACGCCAATCATTCCCTCGAATCCTGGAGGACCCATAATGCCCTGCAAAGGAGACAAAAATTTTTATCACTTTTTTTAATAATTACCTATCTGTCTGTATAGGTAAATATTGTAGCCAATAAGCATTAAGATAGTCCAGTCCTCATTTCCCACTGGCAACTTTGCATAGAAACTGTTAGGGTTACGTGAATTATTTCTTGCACTTTTTTAATTAAACTAAATCGATCGCCATTTGCACATCTCCCATAATATACCTTGTTTGCCCACCCCCTGCCCCCTCCCTAAATTTTGCATAACCTTTGTTTTTCATTTCTCCTAGGTATTACAGCCGTCCCAGGGGAAACTGAAAACAATGCTTATGCAAAAAGTGGGGGGGGGGCAAAACAAGGTGCGTTTTGGGAGATGTGCAAGTGGCAAATACTTTGGACAATAACACGTTAGAGGTGAGTGGCATATCGACGACTTCACTCAGTTCCTTACTACAACTTGCAAAAAGGGTTTGTAGATTTGTAGAAGGCGGTAAAAGGCAACTTACGGGATCGCCTGTGCTTCCTTCTCTCCCATCCTCACCGCGTGGACCCTGCAATAAATATGTCTCACACTAAGATCAAACGACCAATTCCTAAAGCTTTATAACGTTGATACTCCTGGCTTTGTAATATGTGAAAAAGAATTCAGTTGGGAAGATGTTGAGAGAGGAGGGAATACCTTTTCACATACGAGTACGACAGTACGGCAGTTTTCTCTTTAATAATTTAGCCCAAATTGACATCATATAAAGTGATAACTAGTCTAAAAGTAAAACGTTTCAACATCTTCAATAAAGATGCCATACCTAAATTGTCAGGGAACGTGATTATTTATATAAAATATGTCAATAAGAACCGTCAAACGAGACATACCAAATCAAATACATTTCCTGTGTTGCATGTTCACGTTTCTTTTTTTTTTACTTTTTGTTTTATTTTTATAAGAAGTGCTCAACTTTTTTAATAGCGTCCCCCCAAATACCGGTTTGAAAATGCTATCAGATAAAACACTGAGATAAAGTTCTATTCTATAACTGTCTTATAGAAACCTGTAACGAAGTCCAAAAGCTCTACGCATTTGCAAGTCGGACTCTTCTCTTTCTTTTCTCCCTAGGAAAGACAAGTGAAGACAGATTAAGTACCAAGATCGATAGAAGTAAAGGAGAAAAGAAGTGAAGAGTCCGATGCCTCCTTATAAGAGCTGCCACAGTTTGTTCTTGGATTTCAATCGCAAATTCTTCTTCTTTGAAACATCTACCAAATTGTGATCAACAACAACAACAGAAGTAAGCACAGACTGCTATTATGTTAGGAAAACAATTTTACGGACAAAGCCATTCTTCACTGAAAGCTGTTAAATGTGCTTGTGTGGCAGCCGAATAGAGAGGTGTTACTTTTGTCACGACTTAACAGTTAATTGACTTGGCAAAAGTAACTATTCGGATAAATAAACAGCTGAAAAAGGAAAGCGAAGCTGAATGTAATTTTGGGGGTGTAGTAACGTGAAACTTGACTAAATGCGTCAATTCCACTACATAAACTAAAACAGTGGTCAGCAAGAGCAGAAGAATGAGATGAAGTTGTAAGAATGATGTGCAGTTAGTGATGGACGCAATTAAACAGTTTTACATAAGACATCTAACTACAATCATCAAAATATTTTCTCACCATTAATCCATCAGCACCTGTTTCGCCAGAGGGGCCAACAACACCCTTTAGGAAAAATATGGCAACAGAAAAACTATTTTAAAAACCAGCAGAGTAATTAGACGTGATCATTGTATTGATCTAAAAAATATTTAAAAGACACCGGCAAAATGGTATTTAATGATAGTGCTGTAACAGATATAAAGAAGACCTTTTCACTATCAGTTACAATAAAAAGATAAAAAGAAAACATTAAACGTTCCATTATCTCTAAACACAATCATTCTAAGGTATCGTCCAGCGTTAAGAAGGCTTTTTTTCAACATTTTAGGTCCCTAAAGTTTTTAATGAATAAATCTGTTGTTATGAGGGTGATTCACGCATTAAAGGTCCTTAATACAGGTTGATATTTCAGCTCTAATTTGAAAAAATGGACAATAGTTATGTTACAAAAAGACATTGAGAAGCGGCTCTACGAAATATAAATTAAACTAACCAGTTTTCCTTGCTCACCGACTTTGCCCTGTAATCCTTTGGCGCCTACTTCACCCTGATGAGCAAACTTGTGATCAGTAGCCATAGTTACAAAAGTTTATGAAAAGTGTTTTGGAAACTCATTTTGGTAAATATGTACTAAGTTTTATTTACTTAGCTATTTACAAAGTAAAATATCATTACACAGCTTATGAAGTATTACTTGATCTCCTTGAGGTCCACCTTCTCCAGCTGGTCCAGGGGTTCCAGTAGCTCCCTTTAAAGTACCAAAAACCAGTTACAGATCACAAATTAAGAATATAATTTAGCACCTGTTTTGATTATGCAACTGACTACAAAGAGAAAAAAAGAATGGTGAATAATTGGCGGGATGAAAGGAGAACCTGGATACGCGAACGAACAAAACACAAGAGAAATGATTGACTGATGATCAAAAGAAGGAATGACAGTAACTTAAGAGAAAGGACAATATAAGATTAAATAAATGGGTGAATGAGTGAGTCTGGTAACTGTTTGGCAATGTAAGCCTAATATATACTTATTCAACAGGGATATTGCATAAACGCATAAACACAGCCCTTACATTTCTTCCTTTTGCACCATGTTGGCCTTGGTCACCAGGTTTCCCATGAAGGCCCTACAAAAATTACCGAAAATAGCGTTATCCTTTAACGATAATAACAGTTGCTCACATTTTAGTTGTAAATTTCTCTTTCTAGATTTAAGGTTAAAGTATGCATACCCTAGGTCCAGGTTTTCCTTCCTCACCAAATGTGCCGTTAGGACCTATAAATCCCTGAAACGAAAACAACCAAAAAACGATTGAAGTTTAAGTATTAATTTATCAAATCAAATTTAACAAGTCAACTTGCACATGGCTGATAGGGACAGAGACAGTATGCTCGTTCATTTTGATAGAAATGAAATACACCGTTTTTCAAACCATCTTACCTCAGGTCCTCTTGGTCCAGGATCACCAAGAGTCCCTCTAGCACCAGGCTTTCCCTAAAACAAATATTACATCCATCGGTAAACTGGCTATTTACCAAAAACAATTGCCTATTATTTCCGAATATGTGACCATCCCATTACACAAGGACAGTTAAGAATTATAAAGCGTCCAAACAAACAAGCGTTCGAATAAAAACAAATCTCATCACTACAGATAATTCAAAAAGACGCTGACAGCCAGAACTAGAATCAGAACTAGAATGTCCCCGGGACCAAGAATACTTACGAGACTTTTAGCAAAACACAAAAATCGCGATGCAAAACGTAAGCAAAAACGAGGTGACTTTCTATTTTTTTACAAGGTGAGCGCAGTTAGAAGTGTAGACATGATATATAGTATCTACAGCTGTATGGCTCGCAATGAGACACAAATGTAATCTGTATTATTTTTGACATGAAATAGAGATATTTCCAAATATGTCATACCATTAGACCCTGTGGACCAGGCTCTCCAATGGTGCCATCTGAACCCTACAAATAAGAAAAAAAGAAACTATGGAAACCTAAATTCAAAGCACCACAGATTTAAAAATATGCCACAAACCGGGTTCTTCATTTTTTTTTTTTGTTCAAAACGAAAATTATTTCTGAGTATTCCACTTCATATAAAATGCAGCAGTAGTTAATGGATGCAGTTGTAAAACGTTCTTGCCTTTTCTCCATGTAATCCCACGTAGCCTTGTCGGCCCTTTCTACCAGGATCTCCCTAACCAGCGAGAAATGAGTACATATAAGCCTAAGTGTTATACTTGCCGCTACTTACTTTCTCCCGTGAAAGAACCATAAGCATAAGATGTATGTTCTACAAGACTAATATTTAGGCATTTGACTCCTTTAAACTCTTAGAATGGTGAATTATGAGATAGACAAATAAAAACATTTCATATAACCAAAAACCAAAAACAGAAAAGAAAACAAGGCAACGTTCTACGGAATCACTGATCATTGGGTCGCTTAACCAGGCGGGTGAAAAAATGCGCAAAACAGTCGCAAGTGATTTTCATTTTGCACTCAATCTATACCATGCATTTTGTCTTTACATTCTTTCTCCACGCAGTCTCTTGGTACTTCTCTCAGTCGGGCTATAGCGAAAAAAATTTATCATATTACTTTTACTAAAAAAGAAGCGTACTCTTTCTCCACGTCTTCCACGGAAACCACGGCGACCGATGTCTCCCTAATAAAACAAAACAAATTTGGTCATCATGTCAATAATGGTAGCTGTGTGTTTTCCTAACATTGTTTGAACCGTTGTAAAGCAAATGAACCTTATCTCCCTTGTTTCCTTTAAGGCCCGACGTTCCAGGTTCACCAACAGGACCCTAGACAGTAAAAAAGTAGGGAGCTTTAATCGTATAGAAACACAATCTACGTTTAATATTAACTCACTAGGTTAAGAGATTAGACCTATTATCATCCCAAAAGTAATTAGTTTCACCACATCTTGTTTAATACAACTAAGTGAGGCTGTGAATTTGAATAACAGCTTACCAACGTTCCTTTAAGACCATGTGTTCCAGCTCTTCCTGGCTTTCCAGGCATGCCCTAGAATAATGACATCAGTTATGTTAAATTTTGAGATCTTTCATGACACAAAATGCTGCTGGGGAATAGAATTAATAACGCAAGGTAAAACAGTGAAGCATATTTTACCTTGAAAAGTGTTTTGATCATTGTCTGAGTATCACCGAAACTTTGTCACAAGGTAATTTCCAGTACGTTAAGTAGAGTGTTGTGTTGTTTCCTCTACCACATCACCTTTCTTTTGATGACGTGGCTGTCAACGCATCGTCAAGTGGGTAACGATTTGCGACAATTTTAGGCAGCAGTCAGATGAAAACTAAGACTTTAAGAAGCCACAACGTACTAAAGAATAAACGCTGGCTGATACCAGGTCTTTTTGAGAATCCTTCAGTATCAATGCCGAACACAACAATAACAGAAATGATCCATTTTTGAGCTCCCACGGCCTTTGAACATCTAGTTCAGTGATATCGCACAGCTTAATTATATGCCGCGATGGTTTTTGTAACTTCTTTAGGTAGCCTGCTCAGTTTTGTGGTTGCTCTCCATAGAGCTGCATGGCTTTAGTTCGTGAGCACACATGTTGACGACGTGATAAATGAAGATCCTGTTATGAAACACTGATACTTATCCCAGAACCCACACCTGAAACACGCTGACCGTCTTTTTAAAAGCCTTACAGGTTTTGACAAAAAAAAAACACTTTGAGTGTAACAGCAGAATTGAGGTGCATTTTTCGGTTGAAGTTATGAGACAGGTAAATCACGTTTTGTTTAACAAGATATTTCTATGTACGCTTCCATGACAGCATAAACATCAAGTTCAAGATGTACCTTGTGACCTAGCAATCCTGGAGAACCTTTGCCCCCTGGATCTCCTGGTGGGCCCTATAAAAAAAACAGACTTAAGTTACACGATGACAGTTAAACATCATAATATAACGGGCGCTGGTTTGTCTCACCAATAAAAACCTAAGAAAGAATTCATATACTGATCTTACCCTTGCTCCTGGTAAACCTTGTTCACCTCTTATTCCAGCCGGACCAGAAATACCCTAGTAAACACAGTAAAAAGGTAGTCAATCCTGCTGATGCATCTGATGGTAAACTTGTGGTCAAATTTCTTAAGTGGACGCTTACTAAGGGCAGACATCTCTCTGAACACTACTTCTGAAGGTCACAGTAAGTTCACAATTTAATCTCAGATGAACACCTCTGAAGGCACGAAAACTGTTTTTTAATAGCATTTATTTGTCATTTTGAGTTAAATGCAGTTCCAAGTAGATAAAGCACAGATTTGAACAATAGCGTGACTGCCAGAAGCAAACCTATCCTATTGAGTATGCTAGGAAAACTGTTATCCCGTGTAATACAATACCTTATGCCCTTTTTCACCATGTCCTCCCTTAGCACCTTTAACACCAGGAACTCCCTGGAAACATAATACAAATGGTTAACAAATATGAAAATCAAAACCATAGGCCCCGTTCGCACTACGACCAAAAATAGAGTTGGGCGTTTGCAAAAAAAATAAAGAAAATTCTGTAATCACCAACAGTTTGTTTTTGCAACCTTATAGGTCTTCGCCTTCGAGACAAGCAAAATTTCTCGTATAAACAGACGTCAATTGAAGAAACTCTAACTGTCATGCTGGCAAAATAAGATGGCCCGACGAAGGATAACAGTCAAGGAACAAAGGATTTTGTCGCCTGACAAAAAACTGTAGGCCTCCAAAACTTTCCGATGGCATCTTTGAAAGTTTGGTGACACTTGAGAAAATTTTGATAGGTGAAAAAGATCGTTCGCCTTAGAAATGGCTTCTTGTTGACACGTTTTTTTGCAAGACAAAAAATTTTTTGGTAGAGCGAACAGGGCCATAAAAAAACAAGCCACGCCCATGACGCTGTATAATTCAATACTCACCAAGACCTGAAAACAAAGCTTTGGGGTGGCTACTTATTTTCTGGATCGTAATCTTCAGGTAGCTATGTGCCTAGAAAAAATTTCAGGCACACTTTGGCTGGTTTGTAACTGACGTCATGGCAGACATGTTGGTTCACAAAAACAAAAGCATTTCCTTTCCGTGAGAACTTGGATCTGTTTTCATGAAAATTCTTCGAAAAAAATTTGTGTGCCTGAGGCTTTACTGCTGTAAAGATTTGCAGCCAGTTTTAAACTGGTATTGAATCAAGTTCAGGTATAGCTTAAAGTAATATATCACCACAAGAATAAATAACCATTCTATTTTTTGTTACGCGATACTTTGCCTCTTCTGATCGTGCTTTGGGACATGAACCCAGACTTGTTTACATGTGTATTTAAAACCTATGTATTAATGGCATCTGGATATATCAAAATTGGAGCAAAACTGTTTTTTTTTTCATAAACGTCTCCTCGCACGCCAGACTTGTATGTCATTGTATGTCAGCAACAAGAACAATGATGTCATCAGCCCGGCGATGCCACGGGCCTCTTTCCGGAAAAACACCCTCCAGTTTCTTGTTATTCCCCTGTAACTCTGCCTGCCAATATCCACCCTCAATATCCAAAGTAGAGAAACACCATAAAACCTGACAAGATGTGTACTGCTCCTTAAGATCTACCACAGTTGTGCTTATCACCATGTTGCCATTCCTCAGCAACGTAGATGAACAAATCATCTGCTTGTAGTCAATTACATCGTCCCTCAAGACGTTCACGCCTGACAGGCTCGGTAACAGTACCAATCCAAGGCACAAGGCGTAGCATATGTGACCAAATGCTCTAGCATGGCCTCCTTTAAGAAGGCCTCTATCATTCACGGGTCGGACTCACAAATGACACATCCACTTCAACGTATTTTTTCTGTTCTAGTTTTACAAAAAAGCTGGAACCACAGGACTTCTACCTCCATCCGCATTAATTTCATGGTTCCAGGTTCGTTACCCGTATGGACTGCCCAGCCAGTTGAAAACACTCGACTTACTAAACGTAGCATAAATTCTATGGTCTCAGTATCTTCCGTATCTCTAAGATAAGAGCTCACACAAACACCTCGCTCCAACGTAAATAACGCACACACCACAAGTCACATTTATCTCGTAAACAGTTTTATAAAAAGGGATGTTTTTCAGGCACTACGGCTCGTCGAATTTAAGTTATACACTTCAGCAGTATACAAAATACCTTTTTGCCTTTTGCTCCAATGAAACCACCACTACCGGGTGTACCCTAGCCATAAAATAACACAACAAAGTAAGCACCGTAACGATCCATTATTTAAACACAATGGTGTAGTTACTACCAGTTTTTAGAGAACTTACACCACCACGACGACGGCGGCAACCAGGACGTCAAAAAACAATAGGTTTAATAAGGAAACAACAACTCTTCACGTATATCACACTTTTACATATGTTCGGTGAAGTTTCGTAGTTTCACGTTTCCGGAAGACGTTAACATATAACGACAATTTCTAAGTGACGTTTTCGCTGCTGTGACCGTCGCAGTTGCACAACCTCCCTGTTATAATGAAATTGCGCTACCTATTTTCAAGAAGGCAGGTCTTAAATGAATATTTCCATTTAGAGCTCAGTTTGCGAAAAAAACAAAAAAACAAAACAAAACAAAACAAAAACAAAAAGAAAACAAAACACCTGAGCCAAACAACCACAGATTAAATGCCTTCTTAAATAACAAACAACATTTCAGACTGTCATTAACCATTATTTTTGAACCTTCAAACAACAGAAGTTCTGCTATTTTACTTACTTCGCATCAGCATAATTATATAGTATTTTGGTGTTTGATAGTCTGACAATGTGCAATGCCGCATAAGGAACATTACGATTACTTAAAACAACAACTGTAAAGCAAACTGTAGAATCATTGAAACATGTCTTCTTACTTTTGCTCCTCTTTTACCGAGGTTCCCTTCGGGTCCGTGCTGTCCACGTTCTCCCTGATAAATTGGTACGTCGATAGCAGTCAGGAAAAATTGTTACAATTGCCTTGATTTTAGATGGTTCTGGGTTATACATGTAGATGCACTGTGCTCAAATGTAACACTACTACTATATATGAAAATATAATAGTAGTGTTACACATTTAAAACAAGAAATGTTACACATATACGCCTATGAATATTAAGTCAGCCTTGTTACGGTATCACCCTCAAAACGTACAATAAACACGACCTGTTGTCCTTGACCCCAACGTGCTTCAGAAAGATACCAGAAGCCCGTTTCAGTTATTTTGTTGGCTCATTGGTTAGTTCGTGCGTTGGAGACTGCAGTAGGTGGCTATTCTGTTGCTCCATGCCTTTTTTCTTTTCAATTACCAATTAGGAAACTATTTAGAAATATATTTCTGCTTTGCATTTAGTGTCGAGTGTACATTTTCTTTTGCACGTCCCATTTTCTCACGAATAGCAAAGAAAAAAGAAGGTACTAAAAAAAATTGGCATTTAGGAAATACAACCATAAACTGCCGGGAAAAGAAGGCAGTCCATGAAGTTTACATTTGCAGTTTGACACTTGCCTCATGTCCAGGAAATCCTCTAGGACCTGGTGGCCCTTGGGGTCCCTTAGAGAAAATAAAAGCAATTACATTTATTGAATAATAGGAGTGATTTAATACTCACTCTAAGTAGAATATAAAACGTTGTGTGTTTATTCCGTTATTGTTCTGGGAGGAGGCAATAAATGCCGATTTCACCCAAATCTTGTCCAGACTTCTCTCAAAACCTTCCCTTGCCACGTTTTGAAGCTGATTGGATCGTTTCTAGTGACCGTCAGGCCAAAACGCTCCATAACTACCCAAAACGCTGTTTACAAGTCAAGTACTTCTCGATCTTTTGTCACTGATGTTAAATATCAGCTTCTGAAGTCCGGGGATGCGCAGAAAGTAAAATTTCGAGTTTTGGGGTTTACAAGTGACACGAATTTACCTATTGCTTTCTTTCCCCTCCTCCTTCTCCGTGTTTTCATTGGAATTTTTGGGTCAACGTCATATATTTATCTGCGTTTTTCTCCGACCTGTAAAACGGACGTGGATCCGCACGGACGTTCAAGTGTAAATGTAATTTTTCACACACATACCCCCCAATTATCAAGATTGGTTGTCTGGAAATCCATCCTTTATGATTATCTACTACATGGAAAAGCCCAAATGGTATTACTCTGACTGGCAGTATCTTCCCAGCTGGTTTCTTTATTTGTTTATATCTTTATGAGTACAGTATACTCGATTGCTTATGAACACTACCCAACGCTACACCAGAATTTCTCGGCGCCCTCAGGAATTTCTCTCAGGGAAAATAAATGATCTCCGTTGATAACAGCATTACTATATTGTCTACAAAGAAAGGACGTGGCACTGGTATATGCCCACTTTTAATTCAAGAGTAAACCACTATGTACTCACAGGTTTTCCTGATTGTCCTGGGAGTCCCATGGGTCCGCGGGAACCCGGAAAACCCTATAACACAAAAGAAAGTGACAATAAAGGAATAACATTTTGCAAGTAGTAAAAAAAATTATTGAATCCACACTTACTATGGGTCCTGGATCTCCAGGGTCACCAGCCAGGCCTGATTCACCCTGTTGAAAACAATGATAAAAACACAATACAGCAGTTCGCTGAAATGGCTACTTATTCTCAATTAATTTAAGATGCCACGTTCAACAGCAGAGTAAAAATGAAAACTGTGCTCTTCCATTGTTCTGCAGGCAGTCGTAGAGTAAAGTGCTAACTTATTGACACCTGAACAAAGGGAAACACGTATTTTGTTTTCAGATGACCATGCACTGGTATATATGAATTGCCGAAAACACCCTCACCATGTTTCTCCGTTTGGATGTGTCCAATCATCTGACAGTTCTACGATTTGGATGCGTATGGCTATTTTCTAGAACAAAACACTATAAAGGATGCACAGTATACTGACAAGTTCCACACTGCAAGAATTTACAGCGCCTATACCTGAGCACCCTCAGCTCCTTGAAGTCCAGCCATGCCTCGTTCACCTGGATCTCCCTGAAATAAAGAAAAGGGAAAAACCAAAAATTACACGGCAGAGAGTTCAATTTTTTTTAATCACAGGTTAGCTAATCTATGTAAAAACACTTGAGCAAATGTACAAAGTTTTGCCACACCAAATATGAATTTAGACCTTCAATACCCACCAACGGTCCTGGGAGTCCCTTTAGGCCTCTCCTTCCAGTACGACCCTAAAGAGTATGATGTTCTTCTAAGTTCATATTTATTAACAATAAATGATTACTTCAACTGTGTTAAAGTTAACGTTGGAATTCCCACGTTTCCATGAGTATGCATATCCTGACTTTTACTTAAGTGAAACTGCAGTGTGTTGTACTTTGTGGGCAGAAGAAATAGTAATTGCTATCTTAGGAAACAGGGTTGCAACCTGTGCTCACATTTATACGCTTGATGCTTATAGTACCATGACTGTCAAACTCAGTACAGTCGAACCTCTCCACAACGGCCACCTTAGGGACAGAAGAAAGTGGCCGACTTGTGGGGAGGCAGGGGTGTAATATGACAATTTTTTTTTAAGGGAAGTACGATTTATTTGTTGGGTCAAGTTCTTGCTTACTGTATCCCATAATGATAACGCAAATAAAATACACAAACAAACTTGATGTTTTGAATCAAAATGTCAAAAATAAACAAAACGAGCAAGGTTGTCAACGTTCGTTATAAGTGTTGTGGACAATTTATGTTTACTGCAGCAGTATAGATGGAACACAATCAAAATACGATTGCTGCGATTAATCTTCATCGTGCCATACGAATCAATTCTTGACTTTTTCATCGGTTGCTGAAAAAAACTGGCCGTTGTTGAGAGGTAATTAGGCTGATTTAGCAACAGGGCGGGAACGTCATTTGACGACGGGAAAGCGCGCGGAAAGGACTAAACACGACTTCCGGTGCTCAATTTGCCGCTCTGCCATTGGTCAAGCAAGTTGTTTGATTTGCGCGCGCCGTCTTCAACTGACCTTCCCGTTCTGTTGCTAAATCAGCCTATTATGGCGTCTGGGGACGCACTTTAGTGGCAGTTGCCGTTGTAGAGAGGTGGCTGTTATAGAGAGGTTAAAACAAGAGTCAATGTATGGACTGTTCGCCGAGACAAAAAAGTGGCCGTTAGTGATGGTTCGACTGTACTATAAGAAAAAAATAACAGGTGTACCTTCTTTTGATAGCTCCATTAGACTATCTGTCTTTATACTTTTGTTTTATTTGCAAGACACAGCAATAATTTCAAGAAACATCAAAAACAAGTACTACTTATATTTTTACTAGAATTGATGGGTCTGGTATTACAACATACCATCTACCTATCTTTACCTGATGTCCAACAAATCCAGGGTCTCCTTTAAGTCCAAGAGTGCCCTGCAGAAAGCATGAACTATTTTCTAACTGGAAAAGTATAAGAGACTGACTAATTGTCACAATTAGTTATCTTTTACCTTACTTTTGCCATTCTTACAATTAAAACTAATATTTTACTAGTTTTTTTTAGTTTGAGGGGAACACATGCATTATCCTAGAGGCCTGGGAGAGGTGGGGGGAAGGGATACCCCCTATTCAATTTGTGCAATATTCCCCCCCCCCCTCCCAACCTCTTTCCATCTGCTAGGTTGCTTTTAGGCAAGCTGATATAGCTTGAAGAGGTGAGAATTTCCTGCCTTGTTAATAATGTGGCTTTGAGATGAGCAATTCTTGCCACCTCTGGGGTCACATAGGAAGTCAGGGAAATCAAGAATGATTGACAAATAATCACATTTACACTATTGACAGACTAGAGGTAGACGTCAATTAATTTAAGGTCTTTTTTTAAAAGCCTTGCTTACCTTCTCACCTGGAGGGCCATGGGCACCATGTTTTCCACGTATGCCAAGTGGGCCCTGACAAGACAGACAACTTGTTAAAAAAAAATTAACAGCTGGAAGAATTTGCTGAAGCTTAATTATTTCAGGTGTCAGTAGTCAGTATTCTAAAGTGACTATTTCCACAAAATACATGAAGAGCTATATCTGTTCTTTCACTATTTGTTTAAACAATTCCCTGACCTTTCTTCCTCTGTCACCTTTAAATCCCTTTGGTCCTACTGCTCCAACTGCTCCCTAACGAGATGCAAATACAAATGAAAATTAAGTTTATGTTCCAGTTTGGTTGCCACGTTTAGTCACTTTGCTCTCTAAACTTATTTATCTCTCCACCCTATGGTTGCATTGAAGCTAAGACGTGACATCAGCTTATTCTAATTTGTCATGCATTATGTGCTTTTGACGTCACATTATTGGTAAGAGTTGCTCATTTGCATCCTTCTTTATCGTAAATCTGCTGGGTGAATTCAAATTAATAACAGCAAGTTACAGGCAAACCAATAATTGTATTATTGTGGGCTTCATGACAGAAAATAAAATCCTCTTAGTGGTTCAGGTAAAGATTCTGAACAAAGTGTGGTTCAAGGCAAGAGATGCCAAACATTCATCATTGTTTTATAGTATACTAAAGCAAAAGGAAAAAGGTTAACCCACTTGAACTGTTTTTAAAGATGGCCATAAATCCCTGAAGTGTCAAAACACTTCTTTGTCAATTTGGCTTTCAAGTAAAGAAGTTTTGTATCAAATGAAATTACCATATTCAAATAAAAAAAAATCAATAGATCAATGAAAGTGTTCATGCCCCTAAGTTGAAGCGCACACCCCTCAGCTAAAGTACATATTGTGTCAAGCTGACTCTGGGTTCCAGCTGACATCATACATGCAAAACAGGAGGGCCCTGGTGCCGCCTGGGGGCCATTGCCTAACCTTGAATGACGCTGGGCTAATGCTTCACTCAAAATGCCTATGCCTTATCCAGGGACACGTGGATACGTAGATGGCATTTTTTTTTTAATTGCTGTTGATTATTATGTTACTGTAGATAAGTTGCACCTGCAATTTTAAGAACCCCAAAAGGAAAAAAGTAATAAACCAATAGCACCAACCCATGAAAGTCACCTTTCATTCTGACTAGCCTGGATACAGTCTAAGGTCTCCTATTACCTTTGCATAATGTTTATAATGCCACTATGCTAACATCCCTATCATACTTAATGAAACAAAAGAAATACAGGACATTTGCAGGGAGAGTAATTCTGGCACAACACTTCACATATGTTGTGAAACCCAGTAAATGCCCCCCTCACCTAACAATAACCTTGTATTATATAAATAGAACATAGGCCTCAACGTACGGGATGTCCTGGTGATTCAATAACTCTCATTACTCGTGTAATCACAGGACCCTTGGCATTTGAATTACTTCCAGTGGTACTCTATAATTGACAAGAGAAAACAAGATAATTATTTTATGTAATAAATTACTTCAACAGACTTATTATGCTAATACACTTCCAGAGCTTTCACTATTATTACATGTGACCAGTCAAGCATGGAGGTTAGATGAGAATGTATTTCTCAGGGGTACCCAATGTCAATTTTTGGAAAATATCTGTTCGAAGACGATTTGAGAACTAGAATTTTCGGAACATTTGTTGTAAAATTTCTTGCTTGCCTGCCTCTCCTAGGATTTTCAAACATCTAAAATACGGTATAATTGCCCATTTTTAATGGAATTTTTTCCCTAAAAAGGTCACCTAGAATTTTCGGGAGCCGTTTTTCTGGCGGAAATTTTTGAAAAGGTAAGTTTTGATCCCTAAAATTTTTGGATCACTACACTTTCAGCTAAGAAATCCAAAAGCAGATGAAAGATTTTGAGGGGATAAAAATATGCCTATATCTGATTCAGCTACCATTTAAATACTAAAATACATTAAACAATGCTATGTTTAGGTGATTTTGAACTATATTTTCGATGTGTGCCCCTGATTTTTTACCTTTACTCCAGAAGGAGCTGGCATGGCAACCTACAATAGGAAAGGTAATAGATATCAATTTGAAATGAAGTACCTTAACTAGTGAAAAATAAATAAGGGGCCTTAAACTGGGTTTAATTTTGATATTTTACTACTGAACTTTGAAGAATATACTGAAATCATCACTTATATACCTAAATGTGGACACCGTCTCTTTCACAAAGCCCCCAATATCAACCACCCCTCCACCCTCTTATAAACAAAAGTCCACCAAGTCCAAAATTATACTATGGGAGTGGTTCAGGACATTATACAAAGTGTTACATGAATTACAAATTCCCTTTTTTGATGAAAATAAAAAAGTCTTGTCAGTAATAATACATGCACTCTGAAGATTTGGTAACTGGTATGGGAGACCAGGAGATTTGTGCTCTAACTGGGAGACTCCTAGATAATGCGGGAGAGTTGGCAGATACGTAGATTATGACTGACAAACAGAGCATGGGCTCATAGCAAACTCAGAATGAATATTTATTCAATTCCCAGCAGGTTGCCAAATGTTTCCCTCTGGCTTCCTGTTGTGCAATATTTTCCAACAAGGGAAAAAAAGATGGTTGTAAAAACTTTTTGGAAAAATCATCTGTTAATCTTTTTGATAAGGAAGAAAGGTATAGTTCACTTGAAAGGAGAAGCAATAAAAAATGTCAGGTGCTAGGCTTAATTTGCAGGTGCAGGTGGGGTTGCAAACAAAGGTGTTAGGATAAGGCTGAGGGTTCAAGTTACATCATCTGCAAATCACAAATAAACCTTCCGTAATGTAATACCACATCTAGCCAAACTGTATGAACAAAATGTAAGTTAATATTCAAATGTTTCCCCTACTTGTCTATGAAATCATGAAATCATGAAAATCGCTGGTCTTCGTAAAACTGAAGTTTATTATAAACTTTAAAAAATGGACCATCATACAAAAAAGTCTGTCAGAGGTGCACTACACTGTAACTAATTTCTCCAGGAGAAAGTGTATCTCCTGTAGATAATAGCATACTTACAAAACCTTGGCCTGATTCTGCTTCTGTATTCATGTTAGTTTCCTATCAAAAACATTACAGAGATTGACATAATGCTTTGAATGCATGTTTATATTTTCAGCTTTTGATTCTGGGCTTCATGAATGAGCATACTTGTTTACGTAAGCACGAATAGCACTTAAACTTAAATTATGTGTTAATGGTGCAAACTAGATAACATCAGACTTTTTGAAAAATTACCAGCCACTGAAATTGGCCCTCAATGGATCCAGTTCAAAGTATTAGGGTAATGAGTTGGTGATTTCATTTTAACTGTTAAATCAACAACACTCAAAGAACTCTCACTCACTGATGTCATCTCTAGAAAAGGTAAAAGCTTCTAACTGAGTTTCATAAAATAAAGACATCAAAGGCTTCAGAGACCTTAACACTAAATGTGTTATATTGCAAATTGGTTGAATAGTGGAAGGATCTGTTGTTACCGTTTTGATGCTCAAGACTTTTTTAATACACTCTTCTCTTTCTGAGAGATCCATCCCCCATTTTGTCTTTTTGCAATCCCAACAACAAAGCATTTTTTTCCTGATTGGGCAGCTTTGTCATAGTCAGGCTAATAAAAATGGGCCATAATTCCAAGCTCAAAATTTAATTCTATCCCAGACCCTTCAGTAACTAATCCAGTTAGTTCAATTAAGTGTGAACTAACAGTAATTAACAGCAAAAAAATGAAATAAAAAGCAATTTTCCAAAAGTGACTAAAACTACCATGGCTTTCCATTTCTTCTTAGAGCTGTTGCTATCATAACAGATAATAATACAAAATTTCAACAAGAAAGCAAACATAAAATGGATTCTGGTAGTTGCAGTCTCCGTGAAAATGGCTCACATTATTGGAAGAAACATTGTTACCTGTATCTGTTTGGCACTGAAATTTCCACTGCTGGAGCAATTACTGGATAAAGGAGTGTGACAGAATTCTCGAATAATGTTCTGTTCATATTCTACCAGCAACAGTTCACAAATGTTCTCCTAATTGAAATAAGGAAGGGATCACTTACATCAAAAGAGAGGATCTTAAACTTAATTAGTTCAAGCTAACCAGTGTAGCTGATGAAGTTTAAATATCGCAATTCACCCTGTCTAATGGAATGTGGCACAATTTTGAAACTACACATTACATCTTGGCAGTACTAATTTACAGGTTTTTGGTTTTGGGAATGCATTCATTGTCTGCCCATTTTTGATGAATATTTTTCCTGTTTGTGTGACAATTAAGTCTGTCTAACAAGATCAGAACATTCATCAAAACTTTTTATGATGGTTATAAACAAAACAAAAAAGTAGTGTCACAGAAACTACCCTTATACTTGCCTGTATACTGTCTTCAGAGTTATCCATTTGAGCTGTAACCATAATCTTCTCCCATTCTTCCAATTTAGGTTTGCTTGGCAGAGGTAAGTAACTGAATTCTGCACACTCCTGGGTTAATGATATTTCTCTGTGATCAAAGCTTACTACTAATTTTTGCCATGACGATACACTTGCTAATTTAAACAGGCCAAATATAGAATTATTACTGTAAAACAAAGTTGTCCTATTTTGAACTATAATAACAAATAAACTTTCAGATAAACTTCCTTGGACAGCATTCACATGTACATAAAATCTGCTACTGTCTAATTTTTGTCTGAGGTTAAAAAGTAAAGCATATTGAGAAGGGCTTCTTGTTAATAAATAGTCTCTGTCTGATAAAAGTGGCACTGAAGTGCTAGTCTCTTCCTTGTAATGTACATTATTGGTTGGATTTCCACTGGTAATGTTGTCTAATGTTTGCGTATCTGAAGCATTTAATCCAAGTGTATCTAAACAAACAAACAAACAACACAAAATGTTTTAGTATTCCGAGATGAGCAGGTGCAAAATACATATAAAAAAACAAGGGGTTTCAATGTCTGGTAAGTATGAAATTAGTGAACGCTAAATGACAAAAGGCTTGTGCCAGGAATTCAGGGGTTAATATGCCCAAAGTCAGGAATTTAGCCATCAATTTGCCCACATTTTTTTGTTACAAAGTTCATAGCATGGTTAGTAGTGCAATGAGGGCTGTGTATAAAAGTGGGACGCGGACAAGGGGACGAGAACATCGGGACGCATGTGTGGTGACTTGGGACTTGGGGACGCGAGACGAGGGACTTGAGAACATCAAGTATGGGACGCAGGGACGTGTGGGACAGGGACGCGGGGATGTCAAAAGCCGGGATGCAGGGGATGCGGGATGTGAATAATTATTGCAAAAGTCGGAGGTAAATGCGATATCACTATCAGTCACTTTCCTCGCAAATATGTTTTGGTGGAGGCAACCCACCCTGCCCTCCTTAGGGTTCTTCCATGCCTGTTTACGAAGCAAAGACTCAGCGAAGACCCCTGCATTGAAGAAAGTGAAACCGTTGTCCTCGTCTTCTTTCTGATGGAATATTGGAGCCCAAAGCAGGGTAGGGTGGGTTGCGGTCGCCAAAATTTATGTAGAATAACAGCATTAGATTCCAAATAAATAAAAATTAAGTGGCATAAACGAGCTTCAAACACCGAAGTGCTAGCTCCGAAATCCATCGCCTGTACCACTAAACCATGGGGGCAATATCTATGAAGCGATATTTATTTTGTTCTCCATATATTTTTAGTGGCAAACCTAACAGTAAATACTTGCTAACAGTACTTAAAGGTTGATTTCCACTGAACCGTTTTTGGCTAAGCACGTTAACGCAAGTAAATTTTAATCACGTAAATAAGATAGGGGCAAGATATAAATTGTTGAAATTAAACGTGAAGTTGACCGAGATTCTACTTTTACGCTTACGTACGACCTTTCATACATTGCCTCTATTTTATTTGTGAACGTAAATTTTACACACGTACGCATGGTAAAATTATGCGACAGTGGAAATCAACCCGAACCCCCCAATCATGATAGTCAGTGGACTTACTCCTGTTATAAAGAGACGTATTTTGTGTAAACATCATAAGGTGTCCAATGTGGTTTTGGAAGATGGAATCTAATGTTGACCATAAATAACACATTTTCACAAAGAAAGAGATATCACATTTACCTCCGACTTTTGCAATAATTATTCACATCCCACGTCCCCCACGTCCGCGTCCCACACATCCCCGCATCCCATACTTGATGTCCTCAAGTCCCTCGTCGCGCGTCCCCAAGTCCCAAGTCCCCACACATGCGTCCCGATGTCCCCGTCCCCTTGTCCCCGTCCCACTTTTATACACAGCCCGCAATGAGTACATATCTTTGAGCCTCTCTATCGGTACCTACAAATGTCTCTTTTGTCACGCTTTTTCTATCAAGTCTTCTTTTTGTCAACAAAATTGTTACATATCAAGAGTTTTTTAGTGTGGTAACACAACTAGTGAGTGCAAGCAACCATGAGAACGATGACGGAAATTCTAGAAATATTTGTTGTTCACAATTTTGTGAGTTTCACATTAATAAAGGAATTGAAGACAACATTTTTTCTAACCTGATTGAGTTAACAAAGATGATTTACTAGCATTTCTCTTGTGATGTCTATCAGCAGATACAGAGGTTATGAGAAGAAAAACTAAGAAACATCTGCAAGAAACCAGTACAGTAATAAACACCACAAAATTATTGCAAATGGACAAAATTAGTGCATTTGAAACACATTACTGATGTAATTACAGTTGACTCCCCATGATAACTCGAACCTTCCACTAACTTGAACCAAAATCTACTTCCCCTGGATTTTCTTCATACATTTACTATAATTTAACCTTGGTAACTCAAACCCTCGATAATTCGAACCTCCCTCTAACTTGAAGTAATTTTTGTTTCCGTCCCTCAGATCATTTCTATACTAGGTATACCTATCGATAGAGTGCCAACGAGCAAATCATGAGTAATTGCTTAGGAATAAAATTCGGAATAAAATTCCTTTTTTTTTCCCATTTGACCGTTTCTTGGTCCCTTCCTGTTGCAAGGATTATTTTCTTGAAAAGTTCTCAGATTCAGTCTGGTGGCTTTACAAACCTGCTATGTAAAAGTGTGAAGTGCCTTGAAAGAATAAAGTCAGCTTTGCTGAGGAAGCGATCGGGAATATTATTAAGTCCAGCTACAAATCTACTGTCGGTTCGGTTTCACATTGTTGATTGCACAGTTTAATCAGTTAAACCTCCTTTCAAATTTCCCGAGGCTTTTTATGATTCGCTGGGCCATCTGAAATGTTTCCAAGGACATGCGATGTATGGCACGTTGGTATTTAATTTTAGTTCATTATTTTTATACTGAACTCGGCCACATTTCGAAAAAAATGGCGTTGTTTTCTTTTCCTTTGTCGTTCGCTGTAGGCTTGTAATTCGTTTTTGTTCTCATTGTTTTTGTTTGCTGGTTAGATTTTTTCCCCAACACCAGATTTTCCAAAAGAAGCGACTGCATTCTTCGTGTCAAGCTTTCCTTATCTCCTCGTGTAATCTGATCCTTTTTAATGGTGAGAATATTGCTTGCTGCACATAGAACACTTTTGCTGTTTTACAAACTTCTCTTCGTTAAAACTTAACATTATGGCCCCTAAAATTAATAGAATATATCAAGTGCTCATGTCTCTTGACTGCGGTGGCCGGGTTTGACGAAAAAATTTAGGTAAATAAACACAGGAAGTCGCGATGGCGGAAAGTGTGTGAAATTTTGTTTGTTATTCAACTTGAGCCCATGCGCCAGGTACTGCCTTTTGATTGGTTCACAATTGACCACTTGGTCTCAGGGGAATCTACATTACATTAGGTTACACTTTTTTCAGCTCGATCGAGAAATTTTCTGCCTATTGCCCAGTCTTGCGCGGCTCTATTCTGCTGCCGCCTCGCCATCCGAGCGTCTTCGCTCGGATGGCTCGTTGGCAATAAATTTACCCTCGATAACTTGAACCACGCTTTAAGCACCTGACAAGTTGAAAAAAGTGTACTGCAGTCCAAAACATTGAAATTATTTTAACAACCATGTATTATTTTTTTGTCAGTCAAGTGTCCATGGCCAGCACTGTGCATTCATCAAGTTTTGAAGTGTGCATGTTACTTGCATTCATTCCTCATCCCATTTTCTTTTTTCCAGTTATTTGCTTCAAACTCCCGTTAACTCCAACTCCCACTAATTCGGACCTTTTTCAATTTCCCCAGAAGGTTCGAGTTATCGAGAGTTGACAGTATTGTATTGTTAACACCTTCACTTATGTGAAATTAAACTCATATAAGGCATTAACAATTGTTGGCTTAATTCACATTAGAAACAAAGTTAATTTCAAGTAAACACTTGATTCAAGTGCACTTGGAAATCTTAAGTCGCTCTGTAGAAAACATGGCTTCACACTGGTTGACAAAGTATATTACTTAAAGGACAAGCATAGTTATTAGAGGAGACTGGTTATGAAAACCGGCGAACATCAATTTATTATATAAACAATGGTAAAGCAGTTTATGTTTGAAGCTCGCTGAAGGTGCACGATCCCTTGTTTTCTTTTGGCAAATTGTGACGGAATAAGTTAATGTGACGTTTTATTGGTCGATACGATCAAAATGCTTGGAATGCTATTGAATATTGTCCACCTTCAGGTCCACAAAAACATATAACAAAGGAGCCGATGGGTTTCATAGCCATTCCACTCCATTAACTATGGCACAAGCTGTCAATCTTCTATCATGGTAAAATACTACCACTGAAGCTACAGGCCTGGGCCCTGGAAAAGACTTTTTTGTCGTCATTTTCGTATTTATTTTTTTGTCTCTTTGAACTCAAAGGGTTTTGACCCTAAAAGACATGCTTACATACTCTTTTTTTTAGCAGTGATGCAGAAAAAAAACACAGGCAACGTCTTTTTATGTATTTCTTTAGAATGGCTCAACATCACGTTTTTCGGCAAAGAAATCATCATAGGGCTTGGGCTGGGCCTCTTCCGCAGTGCTCTTAGCTAGCCAAGACATGGATCCACTGTTGAATGTTTTTCTGTCCATTCATTAAAATCTTGCAACTGCTGCGGTGCACATCGTGCACGTAGCTTCCACTTCTTATTGGTCAGGGCCCGATTCCTGAATGGCCGATTAGCGCTAATCCAGGATTAATTTTTTTTGCACTTTTTGTATTTACCTTCCTATGCATTGCTCAGAGTAACAATTTGTGTTATCATAACTGTATTTCAGAGTAAAAGCTTAACAGTATTTTGAACGTTTGAGTTACATGACTATTCTTAGAAAAGAAAACCTTGCTTAAAATTTGGTTTAATCCTGGGTTAAACTTAATCATACTTCGAGGAACCGGGCCCAGGTGTGTTCTCAAGTGTGGTGTAGGCCATACTTGGCAGAGAACTTACGCTTCTTTGAACTACAGTGGAACCCCATTGATACAATCACCAATGGACCAAAAAAATTTGGCCTTATTAACGAGGTTTTTTTTTACAAGAAAATGTATGGCGGTTTTTGCCAGGCAGCCAAAAAAAAGTGGCCTTAAAAAAGAGGTAACCGTATTACCAAGGTGGCCATAAGGCAGGGTTTCACTGTAAGATCATTTCCATGATTGAACTAGGTACCCCTTTTACCCCTTCACACTCAAAGTAGGTTCCAAGTACACTTACATTATACTTACAAGCTCTATTGTGAAGCCAACAAATATTCTTAAGGCAAACTGCTTATGTATCAAATTTAGTAATATCGTATTGTGCTGTAAATTTTTTTTTATAACCACAGTATATTTATCTAGAGCAAAGGCAAACTCAAACATTTACAACATACTGCTTGAGCCATAGCTTAACTCCAAATTTGCAGCTATGATTGGCAGACAACAATAGAACTTCAAATGACAATCACAAAAAACATTTCTAAATTGCATGGAAGTACAATTTAACTGAAGTAATGATGTTATATACGGGACCCATGAGAATGCAGCAGAAACATTAAAATAAATGAGGTAGATCCAGGGGTCGATAATGGGATTAGGCCACAGCTAACTTTCAGCAATTAAAACTCTCTCTTCGCCCCCTAGAAACCACATTCCAGAGGTCTAAAATTTCAGAACGTTCTGATCTGAGGCAAGATGTACCTGAACCCCCCTGGATAATTCACCTTTAAGGACCTCTTTATTAAAACCCCTTTAAAAAAAATCCTAGATCTGCAGCCAAGCAATGTAAATAACATAAGAAAGAGATGAGTTTATTAAGAAGCCTCTAAAAGTTCATTCACACTATCCAAGACCTTTACTTGATCATGAAAACATTTTGAAGGGGGATTCCCTCCTTTAAAACATTTACTGTAAACTATCATAACCAAATAAGGGGCATTTTAGACATTAAACAGGGTCAGAAAATTCGAATCAGGCGCTTGGATCAAAATGTTGGCTTGTGAGAAATATTGGTGTTCATGATTTGTTTAATAAAGAGTTCCCTAAAATTCAATTTTAGAACGAAGTGGAAAATTAGTTTTAAGTTTCTACAACAATTTGAGGTTATTACAGAGTTAACCTTTGTCAAAAACGAATTTGAATGATTCCAAACAGCTCACAACTCTGCCTATAAACCAGCACATGTTCAAAAAAAGGAATTTGATGGCCGATTTGTTTTAATTACAATTAAACACATTTTACAGACATGCGAAACGAAACAATCAATCCCGAATACCACAACTATTTAACTAATTGTTCTTCGGTATTTCATATACTTCTGCTTCCTGAATAATCTCACTTTTTCGAGTACTCCAAGCAAAACATTCATGATCAAACGTTCCACTAACAAAGACAGCAAAACAAAAGAATTTATAGATGACCTACCTTGCAAATCTACCAATAACAAACGCATCCAAGGAATTCAAGGTGAAATCTCCCACATTCACACGGGTGGCTACGTCCTTCTTCACAGGAGACAAGGTAAGCATCCAGCTGATCATCGCACGCTCCGCGAGGCAAGGCTTCAAACGAAGGAATGGTAGTAGATTAGATTCTTAGCCAAATAGAAATTCAAGTACATAACACCCCGGTGAAAGGGGCAACGTTTTCGTTGATGATATTATTGACAGCTAACTTAAAAATGACAACGTATCCATGAGAACTGTCACGCAGATATGAGGGTATCACGAAAGAAGAGAAGGTTCTGCACATTGTCGGTCCACAAGAGGTTAAGTTCTGACTTCATGAATTTTCGCATTTCGTACATGTAGATTGTGGCTAGGGGAAATCTTATTAAAGTAAGAAGTTGAATACGATACTAGGTTTGATAATCCAGGTGATTTTGCTATATTTATATGTTGAGTTGATCTATTTCTCTGACTGATCACAGATTCTCCGAGCACACAATCTTCATCACCAAATGGCGCTAACAAAATCGCGCGCGCTTGTTCCAACGTTAGCTGATTTATACTCGTCTTTCTAGGATCATCTCTCCAGGAATACCTTACCTACCTGTAATCTTCAATCTTGAGAATACTGCCAGCCTCCTTCGGTGTTAAAAACTGCACAAGATCTTCAGTGCAAGCCATGCGTCAGGACTGGATCCAAGTGTCTTTGTGCCCGGCCGTCCCAATTTAACGACAACAACAAAGTCTTTGTTGCCTTTTATATACGGAGCACCTTTTTTGCCCGATTCTCTGTAGGTGCAATACACCAAATGACGGCGGTGTTTTCGATATGAACGTTATATTTCGAACTAGGCAATACTCGAAATGGTGTCAGATCCCTTAAATTTTCGAATGAAACATCGTAATATTAAAAAGACGAGGAGTCCATGATCGAGAAGCGTGCGAGTGCAATAGAAGAAGCAAATGTTACAAGACGTCACGCAATCTCTGAGTCTTTGACTTGTTTTGGACCGACAATAAAAAGGGTGAGATGTCCTTCAAAAATGATTTTTATCAGAAAGGGCTAGTTTTAAGAAAACGAGATAATTTCGCAACAATTCGATGTTCTTTTCTAACGTATCCTCTAGCTTACAATAAAAACAACTCATAACACTTAAAGATTCATTAGTCAAATCCTCCTAACAAAAAATTATCGTGCAAGGCCGCTTTTTTGACATTAATACAACACAGATAACTTTAAGAGATAAAGAATAAATGTTAATTAAAAACTTTAACAATGGTGGCATTCTTTGCAATTCTGAATACACTCAGTTTTAAGAGATTCATATGAAAGAGATTGGGAATACTGTAGATGCGTTAGGTATGGGTCAAAAGCGGATTTGGCCTTTGAGTTAATCTTTTTTTTGCGGATTTGCGGATTTTTAAGTACGGATCAGGTCGCTTATTAATACACTGGACTTGATTACACGACCTTCTGCAGTGTTTCATAAGTTTTCAATATCTCCAGGACATTGTTCCCAAAGTGGGGGATTTGTCATTAAAAGTCTGCTCGGGGCGGAAGATCTTTTAAAGATTGAGGTTTTTCGCGAGAAGTCACGTGACCAGGACCTTGCCGACGGCTAACCGCAAGGTGTTTTTGCACCCTAAAAATCAAAATATTGATTTTTTTGTTTTCTAAAACAGCCATTTTGTACCCTCAGTAGGGTTCAATTCTTACTTCAAACTATCTACAATCAGAAACTCATAAGGGTTTCTAGTTCAGAACATAGAGACTGATATCAGGAATTAGAGATACCCGAGATAAGATAGCAGAAACGATAGATAGGAAAACGAAAGTCTCACCATTTCTTAGCCATCACGAATGGGGGTATTTTACAAGAATGGATACAAATTGTATGGACCAGCTGAAATTAAGAGAGAATAAGCACTCTCCCTTGCTGAAACTCATGACAATATAGTCAAGCAAACAGGTACTTCGAAGGTCTCTAAGCAAACATCTTCCACGCAACCACGAACACGATGATTGATTTTTCAGTTAGTTAGACAAGCTTAGTTTAATTCTTCAGTAATTTTTATAGCCTGATTCTCTCATTCTATTAAAAAGTTGAAAATCCCGGATAAATAAATGGTTATTTGCATTATTATATACACTTTTAATTTTTTTTTTTTTGTTCTAAAGAAATAAAAACTAAATCTTGTGAATTTGGACGGGAACGACAATCGCGTGTGGAGCTTGAGGTGTAATAGCCATGGTTAACTGAGGGCAAATGGCAACTGATACCAGAAACGAATTCTTAGGAAACTTTTGAAAATTGAAAAATTAAGACAAGCCAGTCCCCCATCGTGTAAGTCAAAGAAAACAATCACAAACAGTACTAATTCTCCTTGCTCTAAGGATAAATTCAGCTGTTTTTCTACTTAACAACCGTTGACAGCTCTTTCGACTGTGGGAATGCAATATTTAGCATATACATCACACATGAAAAAAGTAAATCATTCTGTTTCCTTTTCACTCACAGTTTCTGATTACCGGTTTTTAAACGCTTTGGTGACGAATGTCTTTGTTTCGTTAGCACATTCGGTACACATTAGGAGATGTTTTATAATGTGATCGAACTGACAACGTAATGCCACATTTTTGACCGTTTAACCTTACCTTCGGGGGACAACGTTATCATCTGAAAAAACGATTTCCCTTGATTTTCGCGTGGACATGAAAGAGCTTTTGTAATTATTTGTGACGCACTAGTGGATGGACACTGAATTTCCGAGACGGCCGACCATCTTTCTTAGCCTGGGAGGGAGGAGTGATTGCCCCCCATGGGACTTGAGGTATAGAGACTATATGCATATATGGGTCAAGGATTGTGGTTGCAAGATTGTAATTTATGAAGTTCATCAGCATCAAAGCAGTTTCAAAAAGTGGGAAAGCTTGAGGCCTCAGTTCCCTGTCTGTCTGTATGTGCAAAGCAGGTCAGTAGCACTGCACATGAAACTCGGTATTTTATGTTATTTTTTTCAAAACCTGACTTTTATGATCAATAGTACGAAATTGAAACACTGGAAACATTTAACAAATTTTGTGACTGAGAAAACAGGTGCTGTGCATAGTCGAGAGACTGCCGAAAGTGCAATCAGTCAAACATCAAACACAGCTATTGTTTTTTGCTTAATATACTGTCTTATCTTCTCCTTTCTAAAAGTCTTGTTATGTCTCACATTTATTTTGTCAGTTTCTTGATAACTTTGCTCATTTCGCTGTAGCTGTGAGCAGAGCCCCCTTGCCGAGAGACCATCTTCATCTACACTGCACTGTATGTACAATTTTACAGGCTTCCAAAGACTGAATTGCCTTGGAAAACCTCTAACCTTAAAACATTCTTTGCATAGGGCTGTCTAGCTGGAAGTCCTTCAAAGCAGTGGGCGACTATACTTATCCTCCAAGGAAAATTCCTAAACTAATAATTTGCATGCAATCTTGAAAACTTAGTAGATTGACCTACCCTTTTACGTCGTTTGTGTTTCTTCTGATTTCGCGTCGTGCTTAATCGAGTGGTTATCATTTTACACCTTGCGGGTTACAAGGGTGAGTTCTGTTAGTCACGAGGTCATGTTTATTAATTAATCACCAGTAACATTTACCTAATGTTTATGGCAAGATGAACCATAGAAGATACAGTTTCCTTGCCGACCCTAAAAGATCAACGAGATTGTTGTTATTTTAACCCTCGTTGAAAATATGTTAAAATATACTTCACTTACCGCACACATTGTTATAATACACGCCCATGTAAAAGGTTCTCCGAAGAACAGTTGCCGAGTATGAACACCGCCCTTCCCCCTGGCCCGGGAGTGGGGGGGTACTTTAGGAATTTCTCGGTGGGGATGTGCCGCTGGACCCTGGAACCCTTAACCTATACCAGAGCTGGTTCAGCTGAAGTTGCTACCCTATACTAGAGTAAACTCCCAGAATCCCCCCTATCCTAGAGTAGCTGTTTCCCTAGTCTAGATAAAATCTTCAACCAACCGATCAGTTTCCTGAAAAATGATACCCTATTCTAGAGCCAAACGCTCTGATTTATATACCCCATCCCAGAGTAAACTGCTTGAAAACCATACCCTTCACTGCGGCATATACCTATATGGCCCATATATGGCAGTAACCCCCCCCGGGTAAACTATGAGGTTGTCTGAAACTATTTCAGTTTTAATTCATACCTTCAAACAGGAGTATTCAACAGTATTTCTTTCTCCGCTCAAAGGTAAAACCATCTTCGTTCGTCATTTTTTATGAGATAGCATCCGGGCAGGGGCGGTACAGAAAAATGGACGTATAAAGTAGTGATCTTTTTTATTATTATTTCAGGCATATACGACCAACAGGAAACAAAACATGCGTCTTAGGATCAAGTAGAATTTGAAAATTTTTGACAAAATTTTTAAATTTGCTTAAAAGTAAATCTGCCTACACGACTTGCATGTCGTTATAGAGGACACCGAGGGCTTGTTTGAAGTCCATCAGCTCACTTTCAAGCTTGCCTGCCGAAAAAACAATGATTATTTTACGAGAAGTAGTCAGCAATACCTAGTGTATATGCCACGATTTAAAAAATGACAAGAAATTATCCCATTTCCTATATTAAAAGAAACATCAGATGTTCACAACTGTTCTGAATTAAAACAGGTGAGTTTTGTTTTTAAAAAATGGGAAGTCATCACCATCACTTGCCCATGTATTTTCACATTGTCGAGTGAGAAATCATCATACGCCAATTTAGTTGATTTCTTTCCCTGGATCAGAACTGTCGGCAACATCAAGAAACAAGTGCAAATTGAATTAACATATATTTAACTTGTTATATGAACCCACATATATTCATCACTGACTTGGCATCGATGGCTAGGTCACGATATGTTATTTTTTTTCTACATGCACATCAGTTGTTTATCCCCTCTAAACAAAGTCACGTTTAATTGATTTTGAGTGGCCTGAGCGCGCCTTCACTTCCCCTTTGCCTTCCCCTTCAAACGCCTGCCACGCAGGCTAAATTTTCAGAAGAATATCTCCTGACAGTATCAAAATGAAGTAGCTTTCACTAGGCTAGTAAGTAAAGGAACCAGCAACGGACATTGGAGGAAAGGAATGAGAAGTGCTGACAGTTCATGCTTTTAGATTTAAGAGGTTACTTGAAAGCGACGAGAAAAGTGGCTGTGTTGAACGACAGCTTATATCTTTCTTTCAGGATCCACTATTAATTTACGTTGGGTGTTGACTAATCACGTGGATTACCTGCTGATGCCGGACCTGTATTTCCATGGCTTCTTGGAGGGGAAACACTGCAAAACTATAAGTCGAACTTTTCATGCGACGATCAAACTGAGTGAGTTTAGTTCATGACAATTTGGAGGTTTGTCTCAGATTAAGTTCATCTGACTGACTTTGGATCGACAAACACGTTTCAGACGGACGGATGGACGGTGCAAAGGTGCTGCAACAGTGCAGTTCACCCAAGGGCAGTTTATTCAATGGAAAATATACGGAGGCCGAGCTGTACCCTGGGACAACGATAGCCTTTTCCAGAGAGATTGAGAAAACTGATGCTAAAAACGCACGGGGTCTGAGGGGAGAGAAGGCGCTCGCCCCCTTTCTCAGATCACGCGAATTCTATTTTCCCTTACATTGACCTTGTTTTCGCGACGTCCCCACTGGCTGGAGAGCTTGTCACGGGCGAGGACAACGAAGACTGTCCGTTATAGCCTGCTTTCCGCAAAGCGGGGTTCCATCCTACGCTATACCAGGGGCACCCAACGACAATTTTCGCAATACATCTGTTGACTCTGTTCGAAAGACGAATTGAGATCTAGAATTTTCGGAACATTTGTTGTTCGCCTGCCTCTCCTAGGATTTCAGAACATTTAAAAAATGGTACAATTGCCCATTTTAACGGATTTTTACCCTTAAAAGGTCACCTAGAATCTTCGGATCACTAGACTTTCAGCTAGGAAATCCGAACAGATGAAAAAATTTTAGGGACAAATATATGCCTATATCTTCCGAAGTGGTTTTGAACTATATTCTCGTTCGGTGCCCCTGCTATACGACTGTGAACTTTTTCGCGCAATTTCCTTTCAACTCTGAGTTCGATATTAAGTTCGACGTTTGATTTAGTAGTCGAAAATAACTAAACTAAGGACGACTCAGAGTCGGCCCAAATACCAATTTGGTTCGTCTCATGAAAAGTTCAACGTTTGGCCTTGGTCTTAGATTTCATAAAAAATCAATAAATAAACGACAGGACCCTGTAGCCGACCGACGATGATGACTAGTCAGTCAGTCCACAGGTGGGTGTTTGTCATTTACTTTTTTAAAAGTGTGTTTGTTCATATGTGGAACACCCTCCCACCGAGTTTATTAATAGAGAAAGTACACTTACTTATCCTTTCTAGCACTGCAAATAACTCCTGAAGTTTGTCCTGGATGATTTTGCTGTGCTTCTCATAAGTTTGAACAATGCTTTCTTCCAAAACATTGCATGACGTGTTGATTTGTTCTTCCAGAACCTTCCGGAAATCTATAAAATTTTAAAAATTTAAAAATGCAATTCTGTGCTCAGGTTGCAAAAAGAACTCGCATTTTCGTAGCTGAATCTGATAGCTACCTGGACCATACCAGCTCGAAATCATTTCAAACTTAAATCTGACAATAAACTTTACTTCACTTCACTTATTTATTTGATGTAACCTCTTTCATTAAATGAATGATATAATATTTACATCTCAGATAGTTTTGATAGTGTTGATAGTTTTGATGTCATAAAAATCACGATAATGCACGATATTGGCTGCTCTCTTCGAATGAAATGAAGAGGTTGATTACAGAATATCATGACAACTTGTCAAGTCTTCTCTTGACCTTCTAATGAATGTTTTTTTTTATCATGATCAATAAACCATCCTAGCTATTCGAGTATCAGGGATAGATATTAGATAAGTCGTCGCAGCTTTGTTCGTGCTGTGATAAGAAGAAAGGCCCCTCCATGCAGCTCGAAAACGCTACGAAAGGCTTACAGAAGGTCAAACCGGAGACTTAAACTGACTCCAACTATTAAACCTCAGCGGACTCGACCAGTACAATCAACTATGGAGTAAACATATTCCACCTGATCAAACACGAGAAGAAAAGTTTTACAAAAAGAATTTCAAAAGCATCAGTAGCTTAGCAAACAGGTTTGGATGAACTTTGATTTGCCCAAAATAGTACCTGTACCTGTAGGTTGAATGCACGCCTACTAGCTTGCTTGAAGTCATTTAACACTGTGAAATCAGGAATTTAAGAAAATGGATGAAAAAATAAGAGCCAAAGAAAAAAATTTTTGTTCTACCGTTTAGTAAATCAGTATCTCGCTTCCGCTTTGCATTAATGTCATCGATTAATTGCTGACAACTTCTCTGAATATCATCATGGGAAGCATTTTCACCGCGGTTCACGATACTGGCGTCATGTCTTGATCCTGCTAAACTGTTGTTTCCTTTGTCCGGTTCCTTGGCCTTCTCTTTTGGCTCACTAAAAAAGTTAGAAAAGATATAATCATTGAAGAGTCAGGAAGAAGAATCACACAGATATCAAATGCCGAGGGACAGAAAAAATAACGGAAACTTCATATACCATAAGCCTTACATTACAGCTGGGATAAAAGAAAATTTTTTGGAAGCATATAAACACCAGTTTCCTCGCCAATGAACACTGCTTCCTTTTGAGTAACCTCTACTTAACAACAACAAAACAAATTCCAACATTTGTCTTTTGAATTTCAATTATCATAAAATCAGTGGTTGAGGATAGAGCGCAAATGGGGGATTGTGTGGTATGTTCCGCTAAAAAATTAAAGCTAGCTGTTGAATCACTTTAATATAATTTTCAGTCACCTTGGCTTAACATCATCTCCTTTCGATGCCACATCTTCGTTAGTGTTTTGTTCTCTACATCCTTCAGGGTCTATACTCTTCTTTGCTACCTTCTCTTTTTCCATGTGAAGTGCCACTGAAAACAAACAAACAAACAAACAAACAAACAAAAAAGAGCATGCACCGAGTTGTACCGAGTCATTTGCGTTTGTGGCCTGCTGAGAGCTTAAGAGACAAGGCAAAGCCATCTTTATAGCCGATAAAACTAGACTTGTAACAAAACAGTACTCTTACATCGGATTATTTTGGGACGAAATTAAAAATACATAAACATTTAGTTGAATAGCAGCGTGAATGTTTCGTTGCATTTTTCAAGCTGTCAAAAATAAACCTGAATTTGCTCTTTCTTCAGAGTATCGGTAACCCCACATACATCGATCTGTTCGCGAAACTGAGAACTCCTTCGCCAGCGCATACATACAGCGTAGACGTACCTCTCTGATCTGTAACGCGCACTACGGGAAATTTGAGGTCAGTACACAAGTCTTAAGTTAAAAAATTCCAACAAAGACACGTCAAAGTATTTCAAGTTTTTCTGGCGGACTAGCGGACTACGAAAAATATAAACGCATGTAACCATAGTTTGTAGAGGGCTGGCAGTCGGCTGGCAGGAAGCGCCGTTTCCCGCCAAGAGATGAAGAGGGACTGACAGAGTGGGGACTGAGCACCATAAAATCACAAGGCATTAGCTTACCCTAGTCTCCCTCGCAGCCGTTTTTAGCATCGTCACGCAGGAGGAGCGTTGCGTGACGATACTAAAAACGGCTGCGAGGGAGACTAAGCTTACCCCAACATTGTAAAAACGTGCTAAACACTGTATCGCCAGTAATACAGTGAGCGACAAAACATTGGATAAAGATCGATAAAAAGCCCATTTTAAACAAAGTATTCATTACATCACATGGGTCTCATATGGGTCTATACTATCACTCCACTACCACCTAGTAAGTCACTTCATTGCCAACGGACAATGACATCATCAGTACGTGGCCAAATCACGTGCCTTTAGAATTGCAAGTGAAAGGAAAAATGGCGTCCGGAGGAGTTCAGTTATTTGTTGCTGTTATTCTGGCTTGTCTATTTGAGCAAGTTGCAGCGTTTGACGGCGGGGATGCAGCAGCCCTCATTATAGGCCTTATTATTGGTATTATGGGAATATGCGCTTGTTTAGGAGCGTATGCAAGACGGCAACAGGGAGTGTGAACAATGCTTGAAGGTGTAAGAAGGACAATTATCGAACTTGGATGTATAAATAGAGGAAATGAAGTGCTTAACAAATGCTTCAAGACTGTTATTTGGAATTTATTCCTTCATACGCATGGATCTTCTTGTTATTTGCTTTCCTTTTGATTTGGACAGATTCTTGGAACTTCATCTTGATTTTTTATCTGTACTTGTAGAGCGGAACTATCGATAGATCTAATAGTACAAGTCCCTTTGGATTCTACTTCTTTGACCCAGTAAATTTGGGGAGGACAGACAGACAGACGGCAGATTTGTAGATGAAGGCTCGCGAATTGATTGCTGATTTCCAATGCTTTAATTGTAACGGGATTTGAACGGACAAACAACCGTACCGTACTCAGTACCCCACCATCGCGTGATTGCTCATGTGGCAGGATCATTATTGCAAGCGTGCTGCCTATTATAAGATCGTGGGATAATAGCTTGGTTTAGGAACTTCTCCATACTTATTGCAATTGTAATCTTAAGTAATATTGTAAAGAAAAATAAGAGTTCATTTTTCATGGTATCAACTTGATACCATGGTAAAAATGGTAATTCAAGTCCCTAGCTGTGAATGTGCACCACTTTGTACCTGCAGTATGGTGGAAATTGTCCTGGAAGAGTTAAGTTCATTATTTGAACACCAATGAAATACCAGGTGAGGTTTTGCACAATAGCGTAATATCCTCACACATGAAAAGATTGTCATCATTTAGTTAAATATGCATTTGAGCGTTTGGAATGCAAAAAATAATTAAAGTGAAATGGTCTGGCATTTTATTGGTGTTTATGTAGTAAAATATAGAACATTACTTGGCCGCTTGAAGATCCAACAATTTCTCTTCTTTTCTTGAGCAACATATGGAGAGAAATTTGGTATCTCTACATGGCCATGTGAGATCCTCTATGTATTCACACAAAACAACTTGATAGCTTGAACTTTTTCAGTAGAGAGAGAAGTATTAATTTAGCTAAAGTTTTATTGAAGTGTTCAGTTTAAACATGCAAACAAGCTAGGAGTTTTCTTCACTACTCTTTTGCTACTATTAAAAGTTTAGATGAATGAATTCACAGCTTTGTTTCAAATGAAGACTGTTAGTAATATTTAAATGATAATATTTTGCATGCACTGTGACTTCCTGTGATATTCCTTTCCAGGAATATCACAGAAGTCACGTGCAAACTTCAGGCACTCAATCATTCTCTTGTGTTTCTGCTTGTGTGGGAGATACATGCGGGGCAAGATGGAAGAGAAGAAAAAGTCTCTCCTTTTCTGTCTCTCCTTCCCATTTTTCCCTTTGCCAAGATGCCATGCTGCTCTCCTGTAACTGATCCTGAAGTGTTTTTCAAATGATAAGAAATCAGCTTCAAAATTCCTAATCTCCTTTCACATAAACATGTCAACAAATTTAGGACAGAATGTTTGGGAATGTTATCTCTTGCATAAATTACCTTTTTTTCATGACTAGTATAATAATATTTTATTACCACTACTGTGTTTTTGTTACTTTTGATCAGTATAACATTCTTTACCCCAGGGTACATGTAAGCCTCAAATAGTATTAAAGCAGAAAGCTAAAAAGCTTCATGAACCCTATCGCATTTATTTCAACAAATGCATTATTTTAGTAAGCATACTTGATATTGTGATGCATACGCCATGATTAATGGTTACCACTGTTTATCATCCAAGTTGAGAAGATCTATGAATGCAGAGTAAAAATATGATGTGTCTCAAACGCCCCAGGAGGATGAGGTAGTAAATGCCTCAGACAGATAGTTTAGTAACTTATGACTGTGTACAGAATTCTGGAGGTGGTTGTACTCCAAAGTAATCGTAAATCAGCATATTTTTTCACAGTCATTAATAACTATATTAAGATTAGAGCTGCAAACGACCAGTCCAAATAAAATTTTCATGATTCTTTGTACTTGGTAATGAGTGCCACAGTGCAGGGGCGGATCCAGGATTTTTTTTAGGAGGGGCACTCGTCTCTTGCTCTACTTCAACACCAATAAACCACATAGTTTTTTTTTTTGCAGAATACCAGTTGTATTAGAAAACCGCAGGTCATCTCAGGGAGGGGGGTGCGCACCCCCTGCACCCTCCCCCTAGATCCGCCTCTGCAGTGTGTCTTAATATTTTTGGCAGTGTAATAGTGATGATGATGATGATGATGATGATAATGATAATAATAAATGGTTTGTATAGTGCTTATGCATTTCTGATCTAAGTCCTTTAAAGTTACGAACTGAAAATTAAGAAACTTTAAGTTAGACCAAAAGACGTTAACAGGCAAAGAGGCTTCTCTGTTTTGTAACAAGGCTCACCTGATTTTTACCTGGTACTATGGCCATGATCACAAATTATCTATTAAACTAAAATGAGACTAATTTTTGTATTATTGTAATTTCATGAATGCACAATATTGAACCATGGATTCTGGAGTGAAGTTGATTGAAACTTTATGAAAACCGGAGCCTATTGAAAGCAATCTTTTCACTTTTCTTGAAATTTTAGATTAATTAATCAAATGAAACTGTCTCACTTGATACGTGAACTTGTTTAAATATTCATATCATAGTAATCCCCTTCCAGTGATGTGTTTTCTCAGTTAAAGGTTTGAAAGTTTCTTCTGCTTTAGCACTTTATAATATAACAGTAAGGACCCGCAAGTAAGAAACTGGACTTGCCCAAGTTAGCCTAAACAGGTTCTTACATATATAGTAATTATCATAATTTAGGCTATTTAGGTTCTTAAAAAGGTTCTGAAGAAAAAAAAAGCATGGCAGCTATGATTATTTTGTGGTATTCAGCGTATTCCGTCTAGAAAATCTGCATACCAAATTAATATCTGATTTATGAGGCCCTGCCTGGGTAAATTCTGACAAGGGACATGGCCCAAAAAGTAGCGACAGGGCATAAAATGAAATCGCAACAAGAGACAACCTCCCTCGGCCAAATTGTGACAGTGACGGGAAAGCCGATGATAAGCGACAAGCATTTATAAACACCGACTCGAGACGTTTTAAATTCAGACGGGCGAAATGGGACCGCCCCTGGCAGGGCCTCATTTATGTTATAATGACTATGAGAAGGACTGAAGCACTGCAGAGAACAAGAATTTGTACGTAATTATTTTTGTAGATTTTAGAAAGTAAGCTCCTGTTTCAAACTTTAAGCTTAACATGTTATTGTATAGAGGGGTCCTAACTGACGAGTTTTAGCCCAACAGATTTTTAAATTCCAGATTCTTATTCGCGGGTTTTTACCGCTCTCATCGGCATCATCATCATTTTTTTCTCTAGAATAGTATACGGTGGTTTACATGAAGTACACACTAACAAAATGGCGGCGGGCGGGAATGTGGAAGTCGTTTGGAGCAATTTGGTGAAGTACCTCTCGCCCTCGGCTCCCCAAGAACTTGGTATTAAAAGTACGTACCATGTAAAATGCCTCATTTTCAGTGTTAATTGTTTGTGTGATTTTCTTTCAGGGACTTGCAGGTCTTTGGAACAGTTGAGACAAAACCCACCTTTGCTCGCACTCTTGCGAGAGTGGTTCTTAGGTAAGCTGGCAGCTGCAAGTTAAGGGCTCGGTTGTTCAAACACTGGATTGCACTATCCAACGGATAGATCGTATAAGTATTGGGAAAGCCAATTGTGTTATCCACTGGATAGAGGTTTATCTAACTAGCGGATAGCAGACCTTCCAACCCTTAAACCATGCAAATCTGGAGTGGAGTGAAAGAAAGCCCACCAAGACCTGGAGATTGGGACCTCAGACTTTGAGATTTACAAAATACGTGTCAAGTAAAACCAAAAAGGCAGATAATTTTTGTCATGTTATGTACCCTGTCAGATATAAGTTACTCCATTCACTTTTAAATGTTGTGCAATATCGGCTGCTCTAGCCGCTGATTTTCTTTTCTTCTGAAGCTATCTTCTGTTTCACTATCCATGTCGATAGGACGTTTGACTTTCCCATAGACCTTAGCCAACACATTTTTCACAGGAGTGAGGTTGGAATTGGACCCAGTTTACCCCCTCCCTCCCCCCCCCCCAAAAAAAAAAAAATCAGTTTTTCATACAATTCGTCCATTATGAAGAAAAAGTTTTGGAAATTACTCAATTCCCAATGAAATTGTCTGACAATTGGTGGTGCCAGCTGCTCTTCAATTTCCCAACACTACGTGCATTCTTTGAATTGAAATCATATTTTGAACCATGGATGTCATAAAGATATGAACATGAACATGACCTTCGCAGTAGAATGTACATTTTTTCAGGTTCTTTTTCTACTATGAAGATCGTGTTCACTTTTATACTGCATTCTTTACTGATGCAAAGCTCCTTATGCAAGCATGCCCTTTATGGTCATTTTGCGCCCAAGTCATTTGGCTCAAGTCATTTGGCCCTGGTCATTTAGCCCACTAAGTAACCTTTTACATCGCTTGAAGAACAAGATATATCACATATTTTAATGAGTTGAAAATAGGAGTCTAGATAACCGGGGCGAAAAGACTTAGAGGTGAAATGGCCGCTTACCCTGCAAGCATATCAAAGCTATAGTTTATTTCATGAGATCTTTTTAAAGTCCTTTTTTAGTTATGAAATAGAGAGAACTTGAGCTGTCTGGGGCAGATCTAGCAGGGGTTTAGGGGGTTCATTCGAACCCCCTAAATTAAAACAGCTGATGTCAAAAACATTTAGAAATATAAAATAAATACAGTCAATTTTAAACGCAATAAATTCATAACCAAGTTAAGCCTCAGCTGCTCAATAAAGCCAGTCACTTCAGCAGACAGTGAGCAAGCAAACAGACCACCATCCTACCATGAGAACGGAAAGACTGTCAAGCTTGACTATGATGTACATTTACTAGGAAAAGCCTGTTGACTACGATCCTGTGGTTCAGCTTTTTGTGGAAAAGGTACCCCTGAAGAATGCTTCTTGTTGATCCTGTCTTTGACGAAACACAAAAATTATTGAAAAAAAGATAAATATAGTGTATTTGCATCGTTTTTACGCAGCTTTGTTATATTTTTAAGCAAAAAGAATGGCACTTTCACTTTGAAAAAAGAGATATCAAAACACGCTGACTTTGCCTTAGGATGGCGGAAATCACATTTCCCAGGTCTTGAAAGCCGCCTTTGGGGTCCCCTTTTCATAAAACCCCCTTTGCTAAAAACCTGGATCTTCCACAGACCTCTTATGAGGTATATTTCTTCTTTTCAGAAAAATGTCAAAAAGACCTGAAAGATCAGTTTCGCCCTCAGTTTTGGTCATATTTCCAGGAAAAAGAGGTAAAATTTTCCAGTTCATCTCAGGGTGTGAAGAAAGTCAGTTTTATAGCTTGCCATGATTTGGGCAAGCTGTAGCTAACATATACTAGCCCAAGTTGGGTCATTTTAATTAGCCCGAAAAAAAATTTTTGGTGAGCAGAATTGATTATGGTTCTACTGTAATGTGACTTTCCTAAAAACAATTATTTGCCTGTCGGGCAAGTTAAGAACAGAATTCACTAGCTGGTAGCAAAATACACTACTAGTCCCAGGCTATCAGACATGACTTTCTTTGCACACTGCATCTAATTCTGAGGTAATTAGCTTGGTTATAATCCAGGTTACAATTTTGTGAAGAATCTCAGCCCATATTTGTACAATAACTAAAAAATATGTGTGTATAACGTGTTTGGGATGGGTGAGTTGTGGGGTGGGGGTTGAGAGCCCAAATGTGTCTTTGTGTATATGTTTATATTCTTGTAGGGTGCTTTCCATTCAACCATAACTTCTGGTTTGAATTTTTGGCAACTTCTGGTAGCAAATGGAACAGTGTTTTAAAAATTTCCAAAAAGAGGACAATCTCATGTGGTGTACCCAAATTTTCTAAAATTTCTTCTTTAAAGTTTTCTTCCATTCATTTTTGCTCTGGGAAGTTTCAGAGCTTTTGGTTGAATGGTTTGCATTTCAGAAACTTAACTGTTCTCAAACTTTCTGGAAATTTTCCCAGGAAATTTCTGTACCATTTGGCACCATTTCCAAATCTTTAGAAGTTTAGTTTGAATGGAAAGTGCCCATAGTCATGTATGTGTCTGTATATAGGGATGTTCAGTTGACTTGTATTTTTTTTCAGATCACAGCCCGTTCTTCCATTTTGTCACACTATTTGCTACCGGTATATATTTTTTAAAAAGCTAAAATGTTTTTTCACATCAATTAAATTCCAAAATAATGGTCCAGTTTTGTTGTTTAAGGTTATATTTGTGAAATGGTTCCCTTTTGTCTATTGCAATGAATGACAATGGATTGAAACTTGAATAAGTTGGGCCAACTTGAAGTTTTCCAGCTACATGTGTATGCCTGCAAAATCACCAAAAAAGAAAGTCTTTGAGCACTAGTTCATTGCTTAGTGAAATAATGACCCAGGTGTGTGCTTTAAATTTGTATTGACTCTTTTCACATTTTCTATTATTCTGTAGAAAGAAGTAAAGACAGTAGACTCTTTACTCAGTGCAGTATGTGAGCTCCACAGAAATGTGTCTGCCTACAAGCCATCTGTGGAACTCCTTCAATCGTTGTCAGGATCCTTTGCCCACAGGTACATTCAAACATAAAACAAATTATCATCAATAATTATAAATATTATTATAGTGATTAGTACTTGACACTAATTTTTTTGGACATTAGCCATTGGGCTAGTGAGTTTAATAAATCACTAGCTCACGAGGACAAGCCACTGGTCCAAGAAAAATTGAACTGGTTCAAAACATTATAGTGTTTGTAGCCTGTACTAGGGGTTCAGAACTTTCATGACTCTTTATCTAGCCCAGACAGAAATTTTCTGTTCCTCTGACAAAAGCATAGTTTGATAATCTCTCTGCGCGACTGTCTGAGTCCACACAGGTTCCACAGTATGAATCACGTTAGTTCTATTTATGAATTCATTATTTGAAAATTGAATCTGGTGGTTGTGGCCAATATCAGATTCATTTCTTCACTGTTCCATAAGAGAAAGTAGTGTCCAGTAGCCCAGGGATAGTGGATTCTGTTAGGGGTTTTTTGGGGAATTCAAATTACAGAAGAACTGTTAACAATCCTGCCCACCAAGAATTTTTTTGGGGTGGCCGATTGACTTTTTGGCTAGTACATGCTAGTTACAGCTTTGCCGGATAGCAAGCTGTAAAACTGACTTTCGTTGGACCCTGAGCAGTGAATGTATACTTGAAGTTATTGTAGTAAGTTACAATTTCTTTTTGAACTTGATATAATGGTCTTTATAGGAATTTTATTGATTCAAAGTGTGAAAGAGTTTCTATTCTGACTGAAAACAGAGAATTGTAGTCTCAATTGTACTGTTCATTTGTCATTCAGAAATGCAGATTCATCATTTGATACCAGTGGTGACAATGACTAGTAAACAGTTTTAATTTTCTAATAATGAAATATTCATTACTGCGCTTTTCACAAACATGTGAACTCTAAAGTTCAAAAGCCGCCTTCACAATTGCGGTTTCGCTGCCGTCAATCATAATTACGATCACAAGCAATGAACCTGGAAACACAGAAACACACAAAACGGATCGAAATCCACCAATCACAAATCACAAACCTTGACCTTTTGAACCCGTTAAAGTAAAGTTTTGTTTTCTAAGAGGTCCGTTAAGATGATTGACGGCAGCGAAAAACGCAATCGTCAGTTGGCTTTTGAACTTCAGAATTCGCATGTTTGTGAAAAATGCAGTAGTGAATTCTCACTGCTAACTTATTCCTAGTATGAAAAAATATGAAGATATTAGGTGCAATGACTAGTGCATGTCTATGTCATGACTATGGTTTTTTTTCTTTCCTTTTCAGCAACCTTAATCTTCAGTTTGAAGTGCTAGTGAGAGCCATTGTCTTTTGCAATGTACCTAAACAGTTTAAAGATTTAGTCAATAACTTCTACAGCCAGGCATTTCAAGCTTATCAGTCTATGAACAAAAAGGGAAATAAACCAATGGATACATCAGGTATGGTATCTGCTGTGACTGTGACGGACGTCTTTACAACATAGTGTCCATGATTGCCCTATCTAAGTCCTACTGAGTTGCTATGAAAAAGTTCTATATATATGTGTTACAGGTCAAAATTAAATACAGGTTAGAATTTTTTAACCCTCAGGGTTGTCAAAAGTAGTCGGCTGCCGGCGAAAATCGCCCCCTACTTGGTTAGTATTGGCTGGCTACTCTGCATAGCATTTCTTTACAGATGGCATTTTTTAAATAAAATATCCCTGGACTGGCCGCTTACTTTGACAACTCAGCCGTCTATTTCAAAACTTTCTGACAACCCTGGCCCTGTTGATTCTCTGTTTCCTTTGTTTCCTACTACCTAGCCCTAATAAAATCATTCATGGTTTTGCTCTTCAAGTGTCCAATAATCAAAGACCATGAATAAGAACTTTCTAGCACTTTTGGAATTGAGCCTCTAGCCACTCAAACCAAGAGCAAAAGGCAGTGAAAATGTTCCGCAAATAAGACCCCGAGTCGCTGAAAAGTCTGGCACGAAGTCTGACATTCAACCGGATGGAAATGAAGACTACAAATTGATCTGTGTCAGGGAACATCCAGTAACACAATATATTTTCTATAAAACGTACTTTATGAATATTGAAGATACTGGCCATTAGGTGGTGTTCTTGCTTGTTTCTCAGGTGAATCTTTAATGAGTGTTGAAGATGAAGAGGCAGCAGATGATGATGTTGAGTCACTCACTTGCACTGGTTGCACAGAAGAAAAGGACACTTGTCACTGTGCAAAAATTATTGAGGGTTTTTCACAGCTAAATTCACAGCTCCACTCTCTTGGGCTGGTAAAAAAAGTAGCTGAACCAGCTTTCCTGTTGGTAATTCACACAGAGGTAATAATTTGTGTAGAGAGGCTTGTCTAGTTCTAAGACTCTAAGAAAAAAAAAAAGTTTTTTGAAAGCGTCGTTTTGTTGACCTTTTGTTGATCCTTGAACTTCTTGTTGTTTACCATGTTAGTTCGAAAGGGGACCTGCTAAGTGCTTCTTTCAAATAACTTAGTACTTTGTAAGAAAGGGGAGAATGTAAAATGAGATCAAGAGTCTCTTAACAATAGGCTTTCTTCCATGCACCCCTTCATTGATATTTTAATTCTTTTCCAGCAGATCCTTGATTTCAATATTGTGGGAAAGGGTATTAAATGAATGCATATACTTTAAGAATCAAAACTCATGTCTGGTAGAAGGAACTGAACTAGGCTCAATTTCTACCTCCCTTTAAAACAGTGGCTGGTAATCAATCCTAGAACTGACTGCTCACCCTGAAAATATTTTTTTGTTTTTTGTCTACCCTCAGGAAATCTAGGTTAGTCCTTTCTGTAAATTAAAACATTTTGTGATCAAACCCCCTCCCCTTGAGCATTTCTAATGACTTCTGTAGGGGAGGGTTATAAATGACTTATGGGAATTATGCAGCCACTACTGAGTCAATATATTTTCTGATCAGCGTTCAATTTTTTCTTTATGATATTGCTGCTAAACCCAACATAAAGATCACAAGAACAGAGAAAATGATCACTAAAGATAAACTGTCTTTAGTTTATTATTAACTTTCTCCTGAATTAGTACCATAAGAGAGGAATAATTTTAAAATGCAGTGTAGAAACATGTAACACCATGGATAAGAAAGGGTATAGTCATAGAGCACCACTCCCCAGGAGCAGGGCTTTTGCTGAGATTTCAAGTTGCCTGTTATATGTATTAGTAGATAGGGAACTGAATAGCTAGAAAGTTCTTTTAATTAGAACTATTTTCGTTTGTTTCCTACGAAAGTAGCACAGGGTCATGCTTGTAGTATCCAGGGGAAATCTCCAGCCCCCATGTCTCAGTGGCAGCCCTTCCCTGGGGAAATACCAGAGAGAAACTTTGCCAATTATTAGTTAAATGTAGAATAATGTAGACTTTTTGGGAATTAAACAACATTAAATAGCTCCTGTACATGGACATAATTTGTATTTTTATCACTAGCCTAAGACCAGCCTCTGTGATGGAGGAAAAGTTGAAAAAAAATCGGTGAACAAACACCACTCGCCTCATTTTGCTCACGGACTTCTTTTTCTGTTTCACCCCATATTTTGTGTTTTTCCCCCACTAAGTAGCCTTGTCCCAGACTATTTCATCATGTCGGTGAAGGTTGTTTTTTTGTTAGTGACAGTATTTATAACTATTGTGATGTTTTGCTTAGATTCAAAGGAGAATTGAAGAGAAGTGCAAAGGAGTGTTTGAATCTTCCTTTTTGACATCCTTGCTAAGTTGGATTGATACTGAGTTGTGTGGCTGGTTAATTTTGATTTTTCAATCTCCAAGTAAGTGTACTCCTGTATTCCTCTCTACTGTGCAACACAGACACTCTTCCAGTCACATCAGGAACACCATTTCATCACTTCAGTCTCCATAATAATGGTTAGAGACTAATGTAAGGGATGTATTCATGATACAAGAACAAAAGCTACTAGCTAGAAAATGAAAAGGATTATTTAAATACAGCCAGAAAGTGTATTTTGTTATATTTTTTGCATTTAATACAATAAGCTAATGTCCAGTTGAGTTTTTGCACCCTTGGGGAAGTATTACTCTTTTCACATTATCATGAGCTTATGAGTGGTGTTTGACCTGTCAATACTTAGTTCAAACTTGAAACAGACCAGCTTCATGACTTCTTAATGTAAGACTAAGTTTCATTGGCAAAAATAAGATTTGCTCAGTCAAAGCTTAGAATGCTCCAGGCATGAAGGCAAAACCTCTGTTGTTCAAACAAACTCTAAGGTTACATTGCACATTATCACATGCCTATAAGAGTCGTGTTTGGCCTGTCAACACTTTATTTCCAAAAGTATTGTCACTTAATAGAGGTTCTGTTTAAAGTGATTTACTGATAGTTTTGTCAGATGGGACTCTAATAACTGGCTGCCAGATAAAGGGGTTGGTATGCATCTTGAAACTCCTTGAATTTCAGGGGTCAGATTTCAAGCCCTGAAAGTAGTTGAAATTGTTTTTTTGGTCTTTTAAATTCCTTATTTTTTATACCCCCAAAAATATCTGAATTATCAATGCTTTAAAAGGTACTGAGTTTTTAAGGTAGAAATTGCAAATGCAGACAGCATAAATTGCTGACAAAATTTAGGTAAAAACCCCCATTTCCCTTCACTCTCTCATTACTCTTGCATTGAACTACATTTATACTGAACCACGGGGGCACTGCACATTGTCCTTGGATACATATCTTGCATGTGATTCTATAATAACTCAAACTCTCATGAATTTGTCATGTTTCTGGATAACCCCCTAACAAAGGCCTTGAAAGGTTTCCAAAAAGTCCTTGAAAAGTCCTTGAAGTTTTGGGCTTGAAAAAGTTTCTGAATGCTCTAAATAGGTGTAGAGGCTGGTCATGTCATAAGATGCCCCTCTTTTTATGCCCAAATGGTTAAAATTGGAAGTCGTTTGTAGTCCAGGAAAGTCATGCATTGTAGGCCATTAATGTACTTCACTCAGTCAATAAAAAGATATGGACATTGAAGAAATTTGAAGGAATTAAAACACACAGTTTAGAGCATTGTGTTTGTTTTGTTAAACGAATTGATGCAGATTCTAGAAGCACCAGTGAAGAGACATCATTAGATGAATGGAAACCCAAACTTCAATACTTCATGTATAAGTCATTTGCTGATCTTAGGTGTGAAATATATTTCTTTGTTCTTCTATTAAATAAAACTACTTACAACTGTATGGTTAAGGTTATGGTTAAGGCTAATTAGAACACACTTTTTACAGGACAGTACAGATTAATAAAGTCATGATTTTTATTAAAATGCCACTAGAAAAAAAGTAAACTCTCATTGTAAAAATATATAAAAAAAAACGATGTGGCAACATCATACTTCTAAAGTACCAAAAATTGAAATTTAAAGTAATAGCATTGCTTGTGCCTTATCCCAAAATAGGTTGCTCTTCTGCTCTTTCTGTATTTAGTCTTTCTGTCTTATAAGTAGACTTGCTACAAGTCGACGCCTTTGCTTGGCGAGTGAACGAGCCTTTTTTGGCCACGAACCGGCCGACTGGCACTGCGAGCGACGAAGTCGTGAGAGGTCATCCCGCGCCATATGAAATCCGATGAAGGACTTTTTTGAAAGTCTATGCTATAAGATTCCTTCAAGTATCATTCCCTTCCCCTAAGGGATAAATATCCTGTAAATAAAGCCGTTTCAAGCACCCTATACTTCTACCCAAAATGTCCCTCATGGTAGCACATGATAGACAGCAGCTTTATTTCTAATCTAAGGCCAGGGAAAAATGTATTTTTTGTGATCTACAGGTCTATGGTAATTTTCAGTGTTTTTTAATTTTCATTTTCAGGATAAGTGAATTGTTTGACATAATAATAGAATATCCAGACTCTCTTCCTGCAATTTATGATCTGAAGGTTAGCATCAAAAGACATGCTCAAGTTTTTTCCATTTTATATTCATCTTGTTTTAGCAGTTGTTGTTTATTTTGATTTTTCTCTCTTGCTCCAGGAGTCCTTAGAGGTCACTGACCAAAGGAAAGAGCTTATAGTGGATCTAAGAACAGCGTATGTTTACTTTCTCATGTGGTTATGCACTCATCATCAGTAGCCAGCCTGGGTCAACTCCAGGGACATACATAGCATGACCACATTTGTGAGCTGTTGTTGACGTTTGCTGCCCATTTTTAGCCCATGAAAGGGGGATTATTGTACATCGCTTTTGCACTTTTGTAGCAAGATCTCTCTCAAAAACACCACATCAACGTGAATACAAAGTTTTGTACCTACCAGCAGGGCTGTCATTAAGGGGATTTCCCCTGACTACTCTGAGCATTACCGCCAGCTCTACTGTGGAACCTCGATATAACGAAGGCCAAGGGACTGGCAGAATTTGTTTGCTATAACGAGGTTTCATTACATCGCTTCTTTTTCATATATTTTACAATTACTGGGGCCAAGAATGTTGTTCATTATAGCGAGGAGTTTGGTACGTAGAGGTTCATTATATTGAGGTTATACTGTGGTTCCAGAGGAAGTGAAAGGGAAATAGAACCGAAAGAACTTCTCAGCTGTTCAATTCCTGGCCTACTAATCGCATATACCCAGGAAACTTGAAATCTTAGTGACAGCCCTGCTACCAGTAATAGCATAGTGGTCAGCAACTATGCAAATTTCTTGGAACAAAAGATAGTTTTTGCATGAGAAAAAAACTCAATCCCCATCAATATGGCCACCATTTCATTGTGATGGTCCCCCAAAATGGCTGCCACAAGATATATGAAAACTAATGAAGTGTAACAGCTAACTTTAGGTTGTGTGTTATGAAGAAGATGACCTTGAGGTAGCCCTATTTTTTTTCAGGTTTGAGAGGCGGCTACTGCATCCTGGTGCCAACACATCTGATATTCTTACTCAGTATGTGTCTGCTATCAGAGCTCTCCATGTCTTAGATCCTGCTGGGGTTATTCTAGAGCATGTCTGCACTCCTGTTAGACAATATCTTAGGTAATAAAAGATATTTAATTATATGTATCACAGTGCTGTTGTTTATGAAACCAGTCCCTGATTTATCTTTCTTTTTTCTTCAGAACTCGTAGCTCGCATGGAGTGCTGAGTTTTATATGTCTCTAGCACTCACACTAAAATACAATTCTCCCACTTCACAGGTGATCTAGTGCTATACAACTTATACACTTGTTCACATCAACACATGTTAAAGGTGTCACTGTGCTGCAGCCTTGATTCACCTCTCTTTACTTGCTGCAGAAGCTATAACTAATAAGCCTAGCTTGGCAGTTCTAGAAACTACAAGCAGTAAACAAGGCTAATTACTATTGAATCCATTTTTTAAAAACATTTCTTTTCTTATAGAACTCGAGAGGATACTGTACGCTGCATTGTGACCAGTCTTACTGATGAAAACAGTACAGAACTGGCAGAGGTGATAGATCTGTATTAGACAGTCTGAAAATAATTTTTTAAGAAATGTACTAAGCTCACACTGAACATAAAACCATTGAATGTGATATTCCTAGCAAAAATAAAAATGCTGTTTGAAGCTTCTTAAGCCATGTCCTGCTGACCCTCTAGATGAAAGGGCAGAAACAACCAAAATTATTTATTACCAACTGTATTTTTGGTTGGTGTTTATTTAGACTTCTTTCTTCCTGTAGTAAAATTATTTGAATTCAAAAGATTCAAGGAGCATGATAATTTACTTCAAAAGTGGAAAAAGTGGCTATAGTTAA